TTATAGATTTTATAATTGCCTTCTACAAGACTTATTCTTTTTAAGAAGTATATAATAGGCCTAATAGTCCTGTCTAGCTTAGTCTAGGAGAGAACTCCTGCTACTATGTAGTCTAAGGCATTAGCTTCTATAAGTATTAGTAGTTTAAAGTTAAAGTAGTAAAGTATTAAAGCTTTAGTAAAAGCTTTTTTTAGCTAGTTAAAAAACTATTAGTAATTTAAGTTAAAGTTAAATTAAACTTCTTTCTTAGTAAGTGCAATTATAGGGCTTACTAGCTATAAAAAGTTGTTAATAAATTATTAGTAAAAGTTAGTAAATCTTATAAAGGCTTAAACATTCTTTATGTCTTTTAGGTATTGCTAATCTAGCATAGTCTAAACCTTAACAGGGTCTATTTAGATGCTATCTATAGAGATTACATATCCTAAATATGTAACCTTTAATTAGTAGAACTTGCATTTGTCTATGTTAAGTTATAGACCTACTTCTTTTATAGCCTTTAGCACTAAGCGTACATGCTGTTTGTGCTTTAAAAGGCTATTACTATAGATTAGAATATTATTAATATACGCAGTGCAGAACATGTCTAGGTAAGATTAGAGTAAGTTGTTTATAAAATGTTAAAAAGTACTAGGCGCGTTAGCTAAGCTAAAGGGCATTACTAGGTACTTAAATAGTCTATATTAGGTCTAAAACACTGTTAGCTACTTATCACCCTTTACTATCCTTAGCTTGTTAAAGGCAGTAATAATATCTAACTTTATAAAATACTTTGCTTTACTTAGTTAGCTTAGAGTTTTCTATAAAAAAGGAATTAAGTATTAGTTTTTAATAGTAATAGTGTTTAGTCCTTAGTAGTTAACACAGAATTAAAGCCTACCCCTAGGTTTCTTTATAAATAGTATAGGTAACACTACTAGTAAAAAGCTAGCTTAAATAAACCTTTTTTTTAGGTTCTTGTTAAGGTATTTTTAGAGCACTTTTAATTTGTTTAGTAACATCCTATACAGTGGCCTATAACTAGGTTGTTTGCTAGGCTTAAGAGTTATCTAGTAATTATACAGACATTATATTAAAAGCTTATTAGACTTATTTTAAAAAAAGACATATAATAGGTTATAGTAGTCTTAAAAGACTATTATTCTTAAGTTAGTGTGTTTTTAAAGAGCTAAAGCTTAGTCTATATTAGAAATTATAACTGCGTAGATTTTGTAATCTAGTTGTTAAGCTAGAGTTATAAATAGGGCAGGTCCTATGTAGCAGATGTCTATCTACTGTTTAAGTCCTAGTTTGTGTCTAAATTAAGTAGGTAAAGGTTCTTTAAAGGCTTTCTCTTTTTTAGGTTTAAGTAGTTGTTAAATTATTTTACATAGCCTATCTTAGTAAAAGGCCTAGCTTGTTAGCCTTACTTAGGTAGTTTTTCTCTAAGTTATTAAGGAGTAGGTCTAAAGACCTTCTATATTAAGTGCTATTTAAGTGTTATTTAGGTGTAAGTGTAAGCATACATCTTAGCATTAAGAAAAGTTAAAGTTTAAAACTTACTCTTAGTAATTAAAGGCAACCTTGTGCTAATATAGCTATAGTTGTTTTAGAATTAGGTTATAACATCCTATGTTTATTACATAGAGCTTAATCTGCTTCTTATAGTGTTAGTAAGTAATTATAATAGTTATAGTATAAAAGATAAAACCTTCTTTAAGTTGTTTTCTATTAAATCTAGTTAAGTAAATTATTTAGGTAAGTAGTGTTAATTAAAGATTTAGTTTATGCGCTAGTTCTCTGTTAATGTAACCTATGCTATTTACTTCTAAGTTAATAAGAGCTTATATTAGAGCTAATACAGTTTCTTGTTATAAATATATAAGAATATTAACTTAGTACTTCTAGTTATTAGTAGGGGACTTAGCCTATAGGTTAGCAGAGATCTAGTGTTAAATTAGTCCTAGAGGGTGACTTAGCCCTAGGACAAGCTTTTTTGTAGGCTTCTACTGCTATAGCTGCAGCTACATTAAGAGTAGTAAGGGGGATTAGAGCTTAAATACAAGTTAAAGCCCTTACAGAAATAAAATTAGAATAGTAAGAATCTTTAATAAGTGCTAGCAGCGCTACTTGCGCAGACTTAAAGAAGAGGAATAGAGCAGTTTTAAAAGATATAACTATGCTTACTGCACTTAAAGCATTAACTTTTCTTCCTGTAATTTTTACGCTTTCTAGAACTAACTAAAGCATAATTTAAATTAATTTTTATTATATTAGGGTCCTTATTTGCAACTGCGCTAGTTTAGGGGCGTATTAGGGCTTGTACAGGGAGGAACCTTATGTTATTATTGTAGGTAGTAATTAGGTTTGCATACACGTTAAGGTTGTTTAGAAGGGGTTCTCCTACTATAGCGCGTTATAGTTTAGTTAAGAGGGAGTTATATAGGGCTATAATTAGACCTATCTTATTTAGGCCTGTATTAGATGCAAGTTAGTAGAACTTAGCAAAGTGTAAAGTAAAGCTTTTTCTTTTTTATTATAAAGTGTTTAGGCAACTTAGGGCTGTTAACTTTTTATTTAAGTCTTTATAAGTTGCTTATAGAAATGCTATAAATTAATCTAAGTTAATAATATTCTTATTTATTAGTAAGTTAATTAAGGCTGTTACATTATAGTTAAGTTAAGAGTAGGCATATAGTAACTAAGAGTGTTTAAAGGGGAATTAGTCTGTGTTTCTTTTAAGTTTATATTAAAGCTTACATAGAAAAGAAAGTAGGTTTTTCTATTTTCTGTTAAACAGCAGAGGATTAAGGAGTTAGTTAGATTTTATTACTAGGTTAAAAAAGTTACAAGTTGTAGGCAGTGTTAGGCAGGAGAGAGTTAAGCTATCTCTAGACTTCTAGGTAAGCTTTAAGGCTAGTAAGTTCTTAGTTCTTACTACTATAACAGGAGTTAAGGCAGAAACAGACTACTTAATAACATAAAGCTGTTTTTTAAAGTCTTTTTAAAAAGCTTTAAAGCTTACAACATAGTAGCTTTCCTATAGAGTAAGCGCTTTTTAAAAGGCTTTTTAGCTTGCTTTAATAGCTTAGAGTTGTGCAAGTACTAAGCTTATTAAATTAGATTTAGAGGCTATTCTTAGCTAAAGTTTTAACATAATGTAATGTTATAATTATGCATAAGTAAGGTTATAGAGCTTTACAGAAGTCTAGTTTAATTACTATATAAGGTATTATAGTAGGTACAAGACATTGTGTAAGGAACAGAAAAGTTTAGGAGGAAATTAGTAATTAAATACTTAGCTTAGAAGTCTAAGCGCTTTAGGTATAAATTAAGCCTGTTCTAGGTTTAGTTAGTGTTAAGGCGATTTGTGCTTAAGTTCATGTCTGTGTTGTGTCGTGTTTGTGTCAGACGTGCACTAATAATACTCTAGTACGCGTCCAATACAGTTATGTCTGGGATCCGGGGAGGATACCGTGACAATAACTATAAAAAAGCTTTTTATAAAAGTTTTAAAGTAATTTAAAGTAAGTTTAGCCTTATAAAGAATATTAAAGCTAAGTATAGTATTTAAAATAATAACATATATAACTTTAGTAAAATAGACTTTATTATAAGCTAAATATTTATTAACTATACTTATACTTAAAACTTTACTTTAAGCTTTAAATAACACTTTATAAATATACTAGGCTAGTTTATGCTAATATAGCCTAGATTATGCTTAGTGTGTAAAAAATTAGCTATATTAGCTATAAATGCTATTTAAGAGAAAAATTCTTACACATATAGCTTAAGTATAGTTTTAATAATTACCTACTTTTTATTACTTAGCCTTTATAAGTTAGCTGTAAAATTAGCTTATAAAAGTTATCTAGTGCTATAGTTATTTATTATTCTTTAAAAGACTTTATATATAGCTATAGCATATTTTTTTTAAAAGTTTTATGTTTTATTTAAAAGTTTAAAGTATAAGCTATATTTAACATTTTTTTAGCATGTCTAAGTAGTGTTATTAGAAATGCATTAGTGTAAAAAAAGTAGTTTAGTAGAGTCTTAGTAAAAGTAAGCAACTTAGGTGTGTAAGCAACTCGCCTGTAAAGTACGTTACTAGTAAAAGTAAGTTTTCTAATATAATATAACAGCATAGGCAAGACAATAGGTCTAAATGCAGTAGGAATCCACTTAGAGGCGTATAGGAGTGCGTAGGGACTTAATGACCTGGGATCTCTGTTAACACCTATAGGCCTTGTACAAAGGATATTAGAAAACTACTAGGCTAGCTACGGGGGCGAGGTGCGACTAAATACATGAGGGAATAGGGGTAACAGCAGGGGTTGGGGCCAGGTCGGGGTCGGGGCCGATACGGGGGCCTTCCGGAGGTTCCGGGCCGCCCGAGATGGAACGATTCATGAGAATCGTTACAGCAAAAGGCAAGTGCAGGTATATACTTAACACATATAGAAGTTCTGACTGCACTTATTTGTAGTATAAACGCGACAAGGGCTTTCTCCTTAGGTAGGGTAAGGTATTGCTAGCTCTAAGCCTTCTCCTTCATTAAAGGTCGTCCGCGCTTCTAGTAGTATGTGGTATGGTAAGGGATCTCTTCTTCGGTCTCTACAGGAGAAGCATAGTCTGCAGGCACATCTATAGGGTCAGTTTGCGCTGGCACTTATCTGGCCAGTTCCATGTTTGCTGTGGTGTTGCAAATGGTGCCATTCGGGCCAGCACGACTCACAGCACAGCTCCAACCGCACCTCTAAACCTGAGGGTTCCCGCTTATGCCAAAAATAGAATGCACGTGATCTGCGTCCATGCTTCAAGAATCATGCGCCACACTTATCTCACAAGTCAGCCCCTGAGCTCATAAGCGAGTGCTCAGGCCATGGGACAGACTTTTTGGAATGACTGTACAGAAGGAGTTGCTTGCAGTGCGCGTGCTTGCCAAAAACGGCTAGCGCATTGCCACACTGAGTTCGGTATCTCATTGTCATTTTCTCCGCAGGACTCGTACTTCCAACCCGCAATCGAATATGCCTCCACGATTGAATATTGGATCATTTGCCCGTGGAATTCGGTACAGAGCGCAACGGCAATCGCAATGGCGAATCCAGCCCGTCATACGAACGGCGATACCCCGATGCCGCTTCTACTCGGACGAGAAAGACCCTCCTGTTGCAACTCGATCAAAACGCATTGATTCGCAATCTCTACCAGTGGTTAGCGAGGAGGCTGCAAAAATGGCTAAGATCACAGGCACGGAAGGCCCAGAATTGGAGCAGGGAACACCCATCGAGGAGGTCCGTCAAATCTCGACTCATCTTCCAGAGTGTGTTGACTTATACTTACTAGGTTGTTAAAGATGACAAAGAGGCGATATCGAAGCTCCCCAAAGTTATGCAGAACGCGCTCAAAGCAAAGCCCTTGGATTCGACACCCAAATGCTCCCGCTCGTACTCTACGACTACTACACCAACTACCGCCGGCGGGGTTGATTTGGGGCTCGTGGATTTCAACCTGAAAACAAGACCAGAAGTTCCAGGCGTGAAATTTGGGCTGCCAACACTCCCGATTCCTAAGGATGCGCACGTAAAACATAGATACGACCCAGTCGTTGACCAAGTCACCAATCTGCTCATGCGCCATGGTGAGAAGAGCGTTGCTCAACGGGTAAGATCTCGCCTCTGTTGCATGTCCTTAAAAAGATGTATTGGCTAACATTTCACTAAATAGAATATGGCCCTTATTCTTGAACATCTCCGCACCGCTCCCATTCCGACTATCAACCCAACCCGACCCTTAATTCCTGGTGCTCCTCCACCATCACACCTCCCTCTCAACCCTATATTATACCTCACCCTCGCCATAGACTCAGTCGCCCCTCTTCTCCGCATTCGAAGCCAGAGGGGTGCCGCGGGTGGTGGTGTTGCCTTGCAGATCCCGGTCCCCCTTGGCCAAAGGCAACGACGGAGAACAGCAGTCCAGTGGATTCTTGCAGCAGCGACGCGGCGGAGGCACGTAGGAAGTGGAAAGGGTGGATTTGCACAGAGAGTAGCGCAAGAGCTGATAAGCGTGGTTGAAGGACGCAGCGGGGTTTGGGAGCGAAGGAATGCCGTACACAAGCTGGGTGTCGCAGCAAGAGCAAACGTTGTCTTGCCTAGGAAGAGATGAGAGGAAACGGCGAGGATGCTTCAAGAGTCAGATCGGGGTATGAATGTACACTATCGGACCCTAGCATGGTGTCAGAGGGTATTCCGCTGTATCAATCTTCTTCACATATATGGATAGCCGGGAACTACATCCGACGCAATTGAGACCGTAGTTCATCCTCGTTGTGATCGACTCTGAGGCTGTGGCTGCTGCCCTGTCGGCTGTTGTCGGTGCACGTCCTCATCGGCAGCTGGATCTTCAGCGAGCATCATGTGATTGTGCCAAGTCACTGCCAAGAGATGCATCAAACAAACAGATAACACAGACTTGCCAGTCGTTTGATATAAATGTCTCGGTGTAGCTCACCTAGCTAGAAGGTACTGCATGGTAGCGAGCCGCAACTGTAAGAAAACCGTGAAGACGCTGTAAAGAACATGCGACATGAGGACAACCCATCATAGGATTCCAGGTGCCAAGCCCCTGCCCAGGTGTTCATCGCATCGTCCTCCAACCCCTCAACATTGCCCTAGACTAGCAGACGACCCACGACGTATCGTGTCCTTGTCGCGCTTATTGCCTCCGAAGCCCCATTCATTCACTCTTCAGCTAAATCCGCTCTTCCATATGTCTTTCACATCCACCACCGGTCTTGGGAACCTCTTGTTCTCTGACAGCGGTTAACAACTCGAGATCGCTCTATCCAGCTAGCCCTCGCTTTCTTTTCATTCTTCCATTTTCTTACCCCGCCGTGTCCATCCACTATCCATCTCCTCCTTCCGCTCGAGGCAATTGGTTGCTGTTGTTAGCGGACGCTCCGTTTGACAGCCTGGAGCTCCCTCCGATGATGACATAACTCCAGACGACTGCCCCAGGTACCCTTCACGGTACCACATCACCCCACACGCGCCCGCACCATCCACGTCCCTGTCTGCCTCCCCGTGATTCGCCGCTTCCACAGTAGGCTCTCTATTCGCAACCCTAATCGACTGCCATTCCGCAAGCAATTTCCACCGAGAACACTGTCTCCAACGGAACTACCGCCCACGTCTAAGTCAACACGCGTCACTACATCGCAGAAACGGCACCTACAGAAGCTCAGCAATAATGTCTCTTGAATCGGCGCTCGACGAAGAGAGGAGGGAGGTCATGGCGCTGCTGGAAGGGCGGCCATCTGTTCCTAGGCCACCGCGCACCGAAAGCCCCCTTGCCCGCGCGCAAAGCCCTGCTGCCGCAGTATCGCCAGTGCGGAGCATGCTCGACATTGGCCCAGCCCCATCCTCAGCTCGCCATGCCTCAGTTGCGGGCACTGGCGTCGGCATCGCAACTCCCTATGGCAGCATGCTCGACCCTTCCTCCCCACGAGCGAATCGAAGCTCCAGTCGCGGACCTACGTCTCCGCCGCCCTCTGCTCGCAGCCTTGCAAGTCCCAGAGCGAACCCTGAAGCCGCCTACCAGTTCGAGATGATGCCGACCATAGAGGCCCACTCCATGCCCAAGCGGGTGTCACAAGGAGGAAAGAAGAAATCAAAAGGCGCCATGTCTGCAATATACGGAAACTCATCCGATTTACATCATGGCGGCACGAGAGATCGAGAGCGGCACAATTCTCTAGGTGGACTCCTCGGCAAAGGCAAATCAGGCTCGCCAGATCCTGGCAGGTCAGCGTCTCCCGGAGGACGAAAGCTTAATACCAACTCGTTTAATTTGATGCCTGATCCTAAGAAATACGTAACGGACTCGGGGAAGATTGTGGATATGCAGAGTGCATACCGAAGATTGTCGGACGCTGCTCTCCTCCGTTCGGGCGGGGCACTCTCTACGTTGCCTGTTCGTAAGGGCTCAGATCCCGTGAAAGGAGAATCACTTGCGCCCGGTGGGGGAGTGCGATTAGCGATGGACGATTTCGGTGACGATGAGGCTGCGGTGGATTCAAGCGAAGACGACGATTCAGATGCAAGTTCAGAAAGGGGAGACTGGAGTTCGTCGAAGAGGAGAGGAAGACGACGTACCAGACAAAGCGACGAGACTGAAAAGCGCGGTGCTGAGAAGAAGAAACCGAAGAGTCTCTTGGCAGCAGCTGAGGACGAACGTAAGTGCTTTGTGCGGCTTTCACTTGAAGCGCCGTCATACTGAGACTCTTCTAGGTAAAGAAGTATCATCGAGCTACAAAGTCAGGTCTTTACTCGAACCTACCGTCACCGTCACGAGCCCGGATGGCGAGAAAATGACAAGCAAGAAAACTGGGGTCCATCCCCACACCAACTTCGATCAGGGCGGATCGGGATACTCAACCCCCTTCAGTTCTGACACTGAGGCTGACTTTAACGAAATAAAGTCAGCACAGCAGCTAGCTATGAATATCTCCCCAATCCATTCAAGTCCCGAGGCGCATCGTTGTGTCCGACAAGTCATTCGCGGAAAGTGGCGCCAGTTCCAGGAGGACGCTGAGAAAGGCCTACGACGGCAGCGGGTTTACCTCGTTGCAACTGATCTCAGCGAAGAGGCCGCTTATGCTTTAGAGTGGACAATTGGCACGGTCTTGCGAGATGGTGATACTCTCCTAGCTGTGTATGCCGTTGATGAAGAAATTGGCGTCGGCGGCGATTCCTCTGGGGCTGGCACAAGTGGAGGCGCTACGGCCCAGCAGGAGTCAGACTCTTTGTTGAAGACACTCTCAAGTCACGGAGGCTTGTCAAACGAAGGACTTGGGCCCGGACCCTCACCATTGCATAATAGTGTGTCAGCATCCGAAGCGGATGTTAGCACCATGGGAAAAGCGGAGAAAGAGCGATATCAGGCAGCGGTGGAGGTATCAGATCGATGCGTCAAATTGCTTAGAAAGACACGCTTGCAAGTCCGGGTTGTGGTGGAGGTTTTCCATTGCAAGAGTCCAAAGCACATGATCACGGAAGTGGTGAGCACGAAACACCTTTTGACACTACTGGCGTTCTACTGACAGACTTGACAGATTGATTTTCTCGAGCCAACATTGGTCATCCTCGGATCTAGAGGCCGAAGCGCTCTAAAAGGGTATACCTACCTTTAATCTGTTCACCGCATGAAAGCTGATCGTTTCGCAGTGTCCTATTGGGCTCTTTCAGTAATTACCTCGTCACGAAGTCCTCCGTCCCAGTGATGGTCGCTCGAAAACGCCTTCGAAAACACAGCAAATATAAGCGAAAAAATCTGCGACTATCCAATGTGCTCACGAATCCAACCGGGAAACTTGCAAACGCCAAAATTGATTGATCCATCTGTCTGGAGATTTGTCATGTGGTCTCAAGATTGTTCATCTGGGCTGAGCGCAGTGGGATGTGCGATGGCGGGAAGTTGGAGTTGCGAAACGGAAACAGTTTGGCGATTGATGAGGAAGGTTTGGTTTGGCTGTTTCTTGCACCTCGGTTGTTTGGGGGCTATTTTTGTTCGCTTTCGGTTTCATGCAAGATGCGCTTCAGATCATGAACTCTATGGAGGTGCTTGAGATGGCCTTTTTGGCATCTCGAGATGGCACACCTGTGCAACTGGTAGAAATTATGGATTGCTGTAGGCTCTTTTCTTTTTTTCTTTCTAGGAAGTCAAGTGTATTTTGTTTGATTATGATACGATCGAAATCTGCCTTATCTACGCTGCATATTCATATTTGTTCTGTAAACGCAACGGAATGATTCTTGAGGGGCGTTTGTTCCCGACGTCAGTGTCATACTGACCCGCCCACCAGGTTACTCCCCAAACATCACCACCCCAGACGGCTCGATACAATTGTGGCGCCGAACGGTAATGCAGAAATATCTCAATGCCAAGAGGACCTCGATGAAAGGATTCCATGTCATTGAAAAAGAGATCTAGCTGCCTTGCTATCCCACATCAGCGCTCTGTTACATCTATTTGCTCCTAAACCATCATTAGGGTTCTACGCATGCTTCCTCCAATGTCTGATCCTTTCCCTCGAATGGGACATTGCGAGTTCCTGGAAATTGACAGAGACGACCTCGATACGTCGACTCTGCACGCGCACGTGGTTGGCGAAAATGCAAGACGCGGGATACTCGTCGACCGGCATCCCTGGGTATCCGACACTTCTTCGATTGACGCCGAAACTTTATTGCAAGACCTCGGTCGGCTGGCGCCGACTGTTGCGAAAGACTTTGTGCCGAAAAGCAAGGCCGTGGATGATTTGGTGTTCCGCCTCATCAATGATGTGGAGAATATCGCCGAGGAAGAGACGTCGTTTGTTGCGTTAAGTTATTGCTGGAAGGATGGGAGTATGGTATCTCCACGGAAGGAGGTTTCTCCTGTGGGTAACCTACCGTTTGGCTGGGTGAGAGAAGTGGAACAGTTTCCACTTCCTACCTCGCCTGCCATGTTCCAGGCTGTGCTACGGGAGAGGCAAACTGAAAGCGAGGGACTATGGTTTGATCAGGTATGCACCGTAGGGCCAACAGCTCGAACTAACATTAAAGTGTCTTCAGGTGTGCATCAACCAGGACGACGAAGAAGAAAAGGCAGCCGCTATTGGTGCAATAGACACAATCTATAGGAACGCCAGAACAGTCGTCGTCGCACTCGATGATATTGTGGCTGATGAGAAAGAAGTCGCCTTTCTTCGACACTATCTCGATCAGTACACCTATTCGAATCTTCCAGTTTATCAACATCCGAATAGAGGCCTTAATCCACCCTTTATGCATGCTCAGAGCCCGTTCAGATTATTTTTCGAACGCATTCTGAGCTCTACCTTCTTTGAGAGAGCGTGGTGCGGACATGAGATGAGATTAGCCCGTAGCCATGTGTTCTTGGTTCCTTGCCTTACCGGGGTGGATGACGGTTCATACTCCTTCATACGCTTCACTGGTGCCTTCTTCCTCCACATGCTTACACTCGCCATGGAAATCGTGAGCGTATATCCAAAACACCAGGCTAGAAAAATATCACTACAGCAACTCTTCAACCGCCGAGCCAAGATGCAAGAGCGGGAAGTGCTGCTCGCAAGGAGTCCGGTTACGCCTCTAACTCCTATGATAGAACCCTTTACGTATGTTACGGCTATAGCAGAGACCTTCAAGATGAAAGCAAATGGAAGCCCTAGACTTCCAGAATACCTTCGAAGGCTTGACGCGAATCGGGACAAAACCTGCATTGCACTGAATGCTTCCGGTCTTCCTTTAGTTCTTAAGCCAGTCTCGCCACTTCAGAGACCTAGCATAGAAGATGAATGTCTTCGCCAGCTTCTCCTAGTCGGCCTTGCAGCACGAGACCCCGTATCTCTCTGCACGACCGGGCCGCCTCTTCAACTCCACGACGGCTCTGTATCCTGGCTGGCTCGGCCTACAACACTTGATATTGTGTCATCATCACAATCGCTGCCCCGTTTCAAACCTCCCACTACACAAATCACGCAAGCTTCGGACGGCAGAGCAGAATACGTCCAACTTGATCTGGTATTCCTAGAACTTCCGCACCGCGCATACCCAAACCCTAATTTCACATCCCACGTCCAACGCGCGCGTACCATCATCGATCTGTGCCTTCAATTCACAATCCCTAGTCACCCAACCTGGACATCCTGGCAAATTCCCAACCACACACGCGCCCCGTCTATGAAGAACATATTTGTCCAAACCCTCGCTTGTTGTTTCGAATGCGGGGCAAACTGGCTTCTCGATCTGTCCACGCGGTACCAACCGAGTGCTCAATCACTGTCGAGAGAAGTCGTAGACGTTTTCTGCAGCCCTCTGTTCCAAATCCAGAATTACGTCACTACGCCAGAAGGTCGTCAAAGCTTCACACTGCTGCTGAACTTCCTGAGTGTGTTGATTACACATGGTATTCCCTGGGCATCTTCTGCAACAGAACGTTCGCATGGCCCGATGGTTGTTACACTCCCATCCACACACCCTTCTTCATCTCCCTCCTCTATCTCTACCTCTGCACCCATCCCACACCCAATCTCTGCCCCAACTCCCAACTCATGTTTCTCCAAAGCAATCATCTTCGCTCCCTTCGAATACTCAAAACAACTCCTTGTCGCCGTCCCGCAAGCCGTCAAATCCACCGACTATGACTCTCTAGCTCGAGGCTGGATTCTAACGGCTATGAACCCATATACAGGGAGTCCGCCGGGACCGGTCGTGAATTGGACACTGCAGGGTAAGTCTAGAGTTTTTGGAGATAGGGGGTTTAATGCAGGATTAGCGGAGGGGAAGGGACGCGGGGGGCATAGGGTGTTTGGGCCACCGAGGGCATTGGTGGGAGGGGGAGGGTAGCAATGATGAGGAAAGGAGTGAGTCAATATCGAGGATCTTGGACCGGTTCTAAGATATGGGTGGCAAGTGTAGATACATTTTTCTTCATTGTGAATATTAGCGGTTATATTTTCTTACAAGGAACACATATGCTGTTTGCTGAAGTGTATGTTTAGGTGTAAAAGTCGAATGGTTGAATGGGATGTTTTCAAACAATTCAGCCTCTCCCGCTTCAATTAATGGAATACCCAAATGTGTTATTCAGAATCAGAAACCAAACCCAGTATCCTCAGCCCTACGGCGATGATTAATTCACCTCAAACGTGAGATTGGACTTGCTTTTTTGTATCACATTGCTTCATCGTATTCATGAAACACATGTTTTCTCGGCACAATATGCTCCTCTGGATATGCCCAGGCATCGCATGAATCCCCGCCGCTCAAACAAAACGATTTCCGTTCCGAAGTATCCGGCTTGAAACTAGGTTCAACTTTGTTTTAGTTCCTTGTTCATATCTCCGTGCATCGCTGGGAAGTGCGGTTTCATGTTTTCCCCAGCGGATACTTAGTATCTGAGCCCATTTAGGAATTAGATTCCTCGAGGAGAGAAAGTAAGCTGTCTAGGTTTAAAGAGACTTCTTGCACAGAATGTAAAAGATACAAGGCATCGTTTGTGTATAAATTTACTTCTCTTTCCTAAACGAGCAGTAAGCTTGGACTAGCGCTTGAGTGGGAGGTCTGAACGGCCCAACGTACGGTCGACGCTGCCCTTGTATCTTATTAATTTCATCAATTTCATCGCCACCCGAGCTCACCAGACCTATCACGCCTATCAGGCCCCTGCTCTTGAGAGGAGAGAACACACGTAGGTGTCTCTCATTTAGCTCATAGAGCTCCTGGCTCATGCTCACGGCCATGACCTTAAAGGAGCAAATACGCAAGAGGGCTAAGCAAGGCGGAAAGTTTGTAAACAGTAGTAAATTCAAGTCCTCCGTGGGATACGAAATCTTCTGAATATCTTCTGACACAGAAATTGTTACTACAGCTGCACTAGAAGCCAGAGAGGGGCTCATGGTGGGGAAGGAACGTGGAAAATAAGGGAGACAATTCCAGGCCGCTGTCACGATCCCTTGATCTTGCACCTGCAAACTTCAACACTACTTCTACGTCATTGCTTGCTTCTCAGTACTTAGATACCTAATATCATGTGGCTCGGCCCATGGCATGTGCCCTAACAAAACTTATGCATACAGTGTTCCTTCCTGCAGCGGAAACACTTCCTGACTAGTAAACGTGCAGTGCTCAATCATTTCCCCAGACATATTCTTCACAACGCCCCATTGAATCTTCTTAGGATACGCATCAACACTATCTGGTGGTGGATGGCAAGCAGCACTGATCACCGCGCTACAGTGTTGTGCTGGTGGAATGCAAACATTGAGATCAGACCTAAGGACCAGATACGATACCGCTCCTAGGAATCCCAGGAAAACTATGCTAAATATAAGGAAACTAAGTGGAGAGCATTTCCAAGCGCATATTAGCGTTGGGTAGAGCTCACCTTTCTATTCCGCAAGTATATGCGTACAAGCAACAATGTAGCACGCCCGAAGTCACTGTAAGCAGGATTGCCTAGCGGTACGGTAGCTGAAGAAAGTGCGTCGATCGTTGGAGACAGTGAGGTGACGTGATTCCAAGGCTTTTGCGATGGAGAGCGTATTGATGTGCAAGTGCGACTAATCGTAAAGTAGAACAAAGAGGGTAGGAATTGGGGCAAGTTTTCCGCCAGGCAGTTTTTAAAAATTTCTTGGTGTCGAAGGAGGATTTCGTCACCGGAATCAGGAAGTACCCTTTGCTTGCCCTATGGTAAGCACTATTACAGTTACTAAAACAGCGATAAATCTGGCTTTGATTAAAAGTATTCACGTACCATTCGTGACTGACGCTTACAAGGCCACAATTGGGCCACCATGTATTCGTTCTATCACAGAGACTACTAGTTTCTCCTAAAGGCGCCAAGGATTAATTCGAGTGTGCGTGTTAGAGTTTACTAATTTTTTCTCGCTCAGCGTCCATTTCCCGCTGGAGCTCTTTTTGGGACGACCGAGAAACGACGAGGTTGCATCTCCAAGTGTTATGATATGACCGGTGGAACATACTCTAGGAGTAAGAAATGTGGCGGCCGTCTTCGCTATATTTGCTACGATGACGACGAGAGTAAACAGTAATGCAATCTGGACATTACTAACTGATTGCAAGGGTTTGGCAAGTAAGTGTTGAATCTGGAGTGGGCACTCGTTCAGCCATGACGAGGTAGGGCAGAGCTTTACCATATCCCAGATTGCTTTTTTGGTGCTGAAGTTGAACTGCGGGAACCAATTTGCTTGAATTCTGACTAGGAAGGCCAGACATGTTTATCCAGGGCTTCCAGCAGGGCGTACTATGGTCCGTACAAAGTGAGCCGTAACGGTCACGTGTTCAGTACGAACGTACCCAATTCGTAACCCGCACCATACGTTTTATGATACCCTAGGTACGCTACGTAGTACAGATTGTATTACCCTTTTAGGAAGCTTAGGGCTCTAACAAGCAGTATGCCTGCAGTAAGCATTTAGGTTTTTTTTAGAGCTCTAATTTGCTAAAAGTTTTGCAAGGATGGTTACTCTTTCCAAAGGGTTTAATTAACCCACCTGTAGTCTGTTTCCTTAACAATTCTTATTACTAAACCTTTTCCTATTGCAGATTTATCCATCTATGCGCTTTGCTACCTACACGCCTTATCTAGTTACTTAGATACCTGTTGTCTATTTTGTGCAGTCTTGTCGGCTACAGAAGTTAAGAGCCCTCTACATCGCTTCCATTATCTCATCCTGCGATAGTACGATGTCTGTAACCGAAGATTAATCGCAGCAGGGCAAGAGGTAGTAAGCAGTGAGCTTTTAGACCTCCCGGCTTATGTTGCTATGGTCTAATAGTTATATAGACCTTAATACTGCTTCTCTAGAGACCTATAATCTTAGCTGTTTTAACTAGAGTACAGGGTACTTTAATTAAACTGTACTATTCGTACAGATCACGTGAGCTGTAACAGTTACAATACGTACACCTATTTCTCATCCTCCCTGCTGTACGAACATACACAAAACCTCAGCCGTAAAAGCATTAAAATCGTCCAATTGTACAGTACTATGCCTCGTTGGAAGCGCTGTGTTTACCACTCGTCTATAGCCAGTGAAATCCTGTACAGATCGTACTGCCGGTGGAAGTGTCGAACTGAATGTTAAACTGCAAGACGGGGGTGTCAACCAGCCATTCTGCCCAATTACAGTGCTCTTCTCAAGAGTTGTAGTTTGGTGCATTGAGCAACAAGTTCCAGTCTGTATCAATCTTTATATTGAATGAGGCATTGTGGGCCACGAAGCCCAAGTCCCCATATCCAGAGACATACCGATCACAGTAAATTCCGCTCCACTCTGCGTTGGACAGTCCTTTCCAATCTTCAGTCGTATTACCGGAATTTGTCATGTTGACTACGTTATTTCGATAATCTTGTCCAGTGTTTATGAGAAAATTGCTGCTTTGAAGCTAGCAGCGCGGTTAAATCCAAGAACAAATAGATTAAAGCTGGGCTTACAAGAGATAGAGAGGGACAGAGATGAATTCTAGTGTTGCCTATAAAATGTCTCTTTTCCTATTGATTTGACGTAGGTTGGAGAAACGCACTAGTCCGACATTCGCCCATCTACCTTGCCTGTGTGCATCGTCGATTTCTTGTTGTGTGGGTGCGCTTAAGGTCTGCATTGCGTAGTTTCTCGAATTCAGTAGGATAGTTCTGAGGACGTTGATGAGGACGTGGTAAAGGGTGCTGATTTGTTGGACTTCGTCAACATGGCCTTGGGCAATCGTGGCGACACCGTCAACATATCCCGTGTGAGAAAGACAGCCAACTAATAAGATGATAGCATTCCCAACGAGCACTATAAGCAAGACATAAAAGCCTTCAAATAGACCAAATATCCAGCTCTGTCCATTAAATTTGCGTCCCATAGTCTGGCGGATTGGGGTGCTTTTCGTTACAAACCATTCTCGCACAATGTTAAGTCCAAATGCAGCGCCCTTGTCGTTCCCCGGATATTGCTCGAGAGCCTTGCATGAATTAGCTTCAGAGGGTGAGGCAATGTTTGTCTTGGTCGAGTTCAATATCCATGCAGTGACCGTAAACACTTTGTTCTCGAGCCGTCCTGGGGTATTCGATATGTGTATTGTGAAAGCGTGGTACTAAAGTGGGATGCTAGCGGCTTGGAGGAAAGGTGGGTGTTATCAATATTGAGACGGGACAAAGCTGAAACTGGGCTTTGTAGCGGCGATCGTGCTGCGCCACCTGCTGTGAACTGTGCTCCTCTCCTATAGGTTGTCTGTCGTGTCCGAACTTCCCATGTCCATTCTCATGCCAACTGCGATTCGTTGAATACCTAGAGAACAAGCGTGCAGCCACACGAGAGGATTGCCATCGTAGAGGCCTGACTAATCCAAAAGGAGCAAAGAAGGCCGGAGAATGAGCCGCTGGATATCTGGTGTGAGAAAGTCTTAATAACAGTGCAGAAGAAGGCCTAGCGCCTACAGGCTAGTGTCCTGCATGGGCGGGCTCCCTGCTGATGGACTAGTTAGTGCCCATGTTAGGGGGTGATAGCTAAAAAGAACACCCCCTCTTAACCAAACTTGTAGAATTCTCAAGTTATGTAGTGAATTTTCTGGATTAAGAAATTACGAGGTAAAATTTCAAAATATATAGCACACAATAGTGTTTGTCATACGCACATAGGATAGCTATAACAATGGAATATATTTACCGACTTTTGGTTTGCTAAAACTGCTGCGCCTAAGTCTGTGGGCTCCACATCCATGAATCTGGCCTATATTCGGCCCGCCTATGAATACCACTGCTACAGACAATATCAAAGAAACATAACGATACAGGGACTGGGCCTGCTAGTGAGAGTCATGTGACCTTGTGCGTGATTGCGTTCGTCCTTATAGGCAACAGAAGAGTTGTAGATTGCCCTCTTTTGAACGTTATTCCCTGTTCGTTTTGATATCTTATTGGCCTGTTGTTAATGCCTCTTCTATAGCATCTAAATTGCTGTTAATAGCAAATTCGATCCTGACCGCAGGCTAATTTATATTAACTAGGAGTCTAGGGACTGCGTCTTCTCCAAAAGGGTGAAAAACTTGAATTTAGGCGTTACTGCGACCTACATCAAGTTCAGGTGATGTTGACTCCATTTCTCGAAAGGTTGTTTGTGACGGCTGTAATAGTGGAGCACTAATTTAGGAAAGGAGGATTCTACGGAAGTAGATCAGAGAAAGGGGGATTGTAAGGGATGGTGGTTTGTTGAATGCGTGAAGTAAACAAATAGCCACGGATTCTCACGCTTTTATGGCTGACTCAAGGTTAAATTTGATGACGGTTTGATAGTAAGAGTCGTTATTGATCTGTTGGCGCACAGGTTTGTGTCTGTATGACATTTCGCGCATCCAGGATGGGTGTCCCTTGGGAAGACAAGCTGGCATTCGTTCTTTGGTGCACCCAGATACCTGCCTAGTCTACTCAGCACAGCCTTGTCAAAACACTGTGAAGTAGCTCCTCTCCAGCAGCCTACATGCTCTCCTCCCCCAACCTCGTTAGATCTTCTTTCACAAATTGGGTCGCTGAGAGCAATGCCGTACTGCCATACACGATTCTCCTCTTCTGCCCGGTACCCGCTGCACCGCCTACACTACTCCTCTTCGCCCACTCTTGTAAGTTCCCATACTCATCCATGCTCCCGCCGCCTACCGTAAACACAATGGCCTCGCTGAACCCCTGCCTCCTCTGTCCAAAGCTCGCCTCAATACCCCTTCCAACTGTGCTTTGCTGATTTCGCGCTTGGCTAGCAGGGGGGAGAGTTCCGCGCGCATTGGCTGATCGAGGATCGAAGTAGAGGTAGTTTTCAGTCTTTGAGATGGCGGACGAAGAAGCATTCTGCGGGTCCATGAGGGATTCGGTGATCTTGGTTAGAGTGAGGTCCTTATTTGCGGGGAGAAAGTTTTTGATGCCTGAGACTAGGCCTTCGAGATTGGCGCCGAGACCGGCGTCCTTAAAGCGGTCGGTGACGCGGGATGAGAGACTACTGAAGCCTCGGAATAGCTCGTTCGTATTTTGCGTGGATTGGGTGGGGGCTGAAGATATCATGGTCATACGGGTGAGTTGCCAGACCGTCTTGATGTATTTGATAGAGGTTGTGTCGGCTCCCGCGGCTTCTAGGGCTTGTGTGAAACTTTCGAGATCGGCCCGAGATACGTCTTGTTCGGTACTTAGATACCTGGGTGCTGTTAGCTGCAGTCTTTCAATTGAGAAAATCAATGTACCATTGCAAAAATAGTCTTAGCTTATCCAGGGGCTCGCTTCCTTTGTTACCGTCCTTGATGAGGTCCATTACTTGGGCTTTTGTTTGCTTCGTAATGTTTTCTTCAAGTTGAAAGTATTCGTCTAGTTGACGATCTGTACGGTGATTAGAGATGAACAGCATTTGAATGACTTAGCAGCCATACCTTTGATGCCTTTTAATAGTGCACCAAGAATGTTCATGTGCATATCAAGAGTTGACTTCCGTTCTCTCAGCTCTGGCAACAACGTGATTGCCGCCTTCAAATGCGCAGCAGATTGGCTAGTGTCCATCTGCAAATCTTCTAGTGATGAAGCGCCAGTCTTCTTCGTCACTTCACTCGCATCCTCCTTGTATTTTGTTAATTCGGTGTCAATGTCTTCTGCGACTTGAGGAAATGGCAGCGAGGCATTTCGTAGCCAGAAATAATCCGAACTTGTCAGATCGTAGGATTGTTTTTTCGTTCCTTTCTCTGGGTTGTTATCATCGACTGGCACGGACATGGTAATCCTATTGAGGTGCATGGAGAGCACGTCGTAGATCAGGCTTTGATACTTCTCGCATGTTAGTTAATCTGCATCAGAAAGTGCAATCGGAGGAGCGTACCGTCCACGAGTGGCTTAGCATGGGAATCAAATCCACGTTTCGGTCAACTATAGCCAAGGTTAGACGCGAGCTCTCTAAGCAAAGGGCAGGTACTTTATACCAATGATGAGCACTGGCCGAGACCCTATAGCTGGGGAAGATTTCTGATCACCGCCGGAGAAAAGATTCGTTTTCGAGTTCAGGATGTGGTCTCGGAGTTTGCGATCTAGCTTGGCACAGATGAGTTCCGCAGCGCCCCCTTTGGGACATCGAATTATAGGTATTGTCCCCATTGTTACTGTTACTGAAAAGAGTCCAGTCACGATTCGGTCCACAGCCGCATCCAACTCCTGATCGGATGTCCGCGCACTGTTAAGAGTGCCATATGCCCCATCCATTCCAAGAGAAAATAGGTCCGGCTCGGAGACGATAAAATTCAGGTACTGGTCGTATATCTGAGCCAGGTGCTCCGAAGTCCCCGAGGCTACGGTTTGTGCTGCAAAGTCTTCCTTCACGATGTCAACCCTTGCCCACGTCTTCACATGCGAGTGCTTACAAGGAGTGGCCGAGGAATTGAGGACAGAAAGTTGATGTACGCGGGGGAGTAGAGGTTGCGGGAGAGGTCAGAGGTTATTATCTGGAGGTTTGTGGGAGTGGGCTCCACGAGGTATATGACTGGTACCTGCATTTGTTAGATTGTAATTATTCAAGGAGATAGGACATGTGTACATCGGGGATGGCGTGTCTTGTGGTGTTGATGTTGAGATGTATTGTAACCTAGTAGTTGAATATTAGTGTAGTAGTTAGATATGTGGGAAGGGGTTGTGGTACCCCCCATGCCCGCAGGTCGTTAACTCTCAAGACGCTGGATATAACATCCCGCCCCATATCGTCGAACACGAGAGCCTAGTTCTGTCAGACTCTACCTCTCTGTGATTTATATAGCAATGATTCACCTTCCATATCGGCTGGCCGGACTCCGAGAGTATTGGGGAGTTCGCGGGAAGCAGGCCGTTGACGTTCGCGTCATGATGGGCATCGGCGGGCTGGGTCTGCACGTTGAGGTTGAGGATGCGCTCAATAAAGGCTGCAGGGCGGCAGTGTCAGTGAATACACTAAGGATTGTGAAGCAGAATTAGGATAGGCCGCAGTCAGCCAGAAAGGTACTGTACCTATTTGGCGATCTCGAAGAGTAGCCATAGCGATTGCTTCTCGCTGGCGCCCGCCAACATGCACGTCACCTCATGTGCAAGTAAAGGGGAGCGGTCGAGTGTAAGCGCAGGTAGCGTTCAGAGTGTCTGTGAGAGTAAGGGTCGTAGATAATTGTGGCCACTTTACCACAATCGTGGTTCTACCTTTGGCGTTATCCGTGGACAGCTTTCACGCTTGACGAGCCCGGCCCATTGCGGCCTAGCATGCCTTAAGCGCCAAGCCTACTGGCGTCCTTTTCAAGTCGCCCGCCCTCGCCATCCTCCTTCTCTCCTCCAACACACTCTCACACCCACAACATCCGTCCTTCTTCCCTTTATCCCCCATGCCACTTCTCAGTGACCCCAAGCCCACTAATAAGGGTGTCTGCTTCTGATCTTAGATCAATTTTACCGTTCCTCGCAGCGGGAAAAGTGGCGTGCAGCGTTCAGGCAGTTGGCGGGCGCTGTTGTGCGGGCTCGCACTCGCAGTCGCGGTCGGGAAAGGCAGCAGAGTGACACTTCCAGTTACAACTGCTAACACAGCTCCATCGACCATCCATCGGGTCTCGCATCAAGAGGGCTGGCCAAGGCTATCGCACAAGGCTTAAGCAGCTTTTGGCAGACGACAGACGACCAGCGCGTGTCTCAGGGGAGTCAGCGCAGCGGCCGTCGTGTGCGTGTGCGTGAAGGTGCGCAGTCGAGCAAGTGACGCATCAGCAGTGTCTCCCACTCAATTAAGCGCAAGGCCTCGTGCCGCTCCTATTAAAACCAAAAACCAAAAACCAAGGCGAGAGATCGTGGGCAGCATCGCGGCATTTGGGGAATTGTTGAGACACGAGTCTCCTTTTGCGCGTCAGGCCAACTCTTACGACTTGCCAGACTGCTGTACCCCCCGCAAACTCTGAGGACTCGCGAAAACGGCCCTGGGGGAGTCTGCAGAACCAAGGACTCAGCGCTCATCGGGCTCGCACTTCACCCGTATCTGGAAGTATTACTGGCCATTCCTTTCCTCGCAACCCCGAATCGGTTACTTTTACGCTCTTTGTGAAGTGCAACACGCCAGTTTGGCGCTTAGTGCACCTTGCGTTGTCTGCATAATCCTCGTCTGTTGGGGAGAGCCAATAAGCAGACAAGCCGGTCACGGCAGTCTTAGCGAAATCCCCTGTCAAATTATCCTGCACCGCCACCATGGCCCAGAATCACGTGCCCTCTGATCACCTCTCCATGCCGACCCAGAATATATACACCGACCCTAGCTATGACAACCTGTTTGGCAACGTTGACCAGTATGGCACCCCCCCATGGAGCCAAAGTCAACTCAACCCCCACAACCCCGGCTTCGTGCAGTCAGGTCACCAAACATCCAATTCACCGTCCTGGCCTCACACATTCTCACAACAGTCTTACAACGCCATTGGCCACGGATACCCCAACGCTTCTCCCTCTCCCTACCAATACGGACAGTTCGGAAATCATGCCGCAGTGGGCAGCTATGCACATTCGCCCGTCGTCGACCCAGCCTTGGTCGACCCTATGGCTATGCGACGGCATTCCCCCTATCAGATACCCTCTCGTAATGCCACCCCACAAGGCCAACCTAGTACTGTAGCTCCTCAAGCTCTACAGCAGAATGTAGCTCCAGTTTCTAATGCGGCCAAAACCGTGTCATCCTTTCAGGTAAGCACTGAACGCTCGTCCCTTCCATAATGATTGACCGACTGAGATCTTCGCAGGTGCCCAAAAGCACAACAGAGATGTTCTCTCAACGTGCGGCGTCGACGCCGTTGGCTATGCAGCAGCAGCAACAGCAGTTGGTGAACAATATAAAGTTCGAGGTACCAAAGGGGGTGACGGCTGGTGGATTCGTTCTCATTAACTCTTCTGCCCTGGCAAAAGCCACTAATTCTACTCCACTGAATAAATTCGTGACAATTGGCGCACAACAAGTGAATACCGCCCTTAATCGATGTAAGCCAACTTTGCTGCTAGAGCAGTCTATGTTTTCTGCAATATCTAACCCGAGTGTAGCCGCACTGCCACAGTACAACGCCCGCTCCTCGGTGCGTGATCTGAAGAAAATTGGTGACAAGAAAGTCCTGGCCAAACTCTCCAAGAAATCGGTGTCCACGAAATCATTCCGCCTAAATGCAGCCCCAGGGAGCAGAACCAGTGCTGGTAGCCCGTCCACCCTCAAGCGGGAGGAGGTATCTGATAGCGATAGTGTTTCAGATTCAGATGATGATAGTAGCGATTACTCCAGCGATGACGATGAAGAAGAGACCTCTCCTTTGCCTGCCGCACGGCCTGATGGACCTGCTGAAGCTGTCCGCTATGACGTAATCAAAGCCATATGGCTCCCGCGAAAGTCGAAACCAAGCTCCGAAAAGATCAAAGCCGGTCTTCACCAGTTCTGGGAGGTCCTCGCAACCATCCAAAAACGGTGGAGAGTGGATAGCAAGGCTGTCTCGGAGGCGGAGGAGCAAAAGAAAACGAAGGAACTTCCCGTCCTCAAAAGCCGTGTCACCAGTCAAAGGGATTTGCTTGAGGCTGCCCTGCAGACTGCTCTCTCCCATGGCCACCCTGATATTCTCTACAATCTTGGCCAGGTCAAGGCCTTCCTCTACCTGTGCTACCAGTTTCTAGCCAACCGATTCAAAGCGCAAGATTACAACGGATCTCTCTCTTCACGCATCTATGAAGTCCTATCTCGCTGCAAAGGCACCTTAACTAACGAGCTCCTGGAGGAGACTAAGGTCATCAAGGCACTCAATTCCATGAAGAAGGGAGCGAGCGACCACAATAAAGAACTCATTCAGCAAACTATCGATGGTGCTGCCGCTGGGTCTAAGAAGCCGAAGGTGAGCTCACCGCCTCAGGAGGAGCCCATGGACACTAGAGGTGGCAAGCGCGCATCAGCTGAACCTTCCACTATAAAGAAGCCCAATCCTGCCGCTCCTACTACAGGCCAAGCAAAAAAGCCGACACCAGCGACGACGGAAACCAAAATTGCTACCGCCTCTATCGGCGCCCAGAAACGTCCTGGTGAGAGACCTACCGTAGCACCTATGAAGGTTCGAGGCAACCAAGTGGTCAACAAGCCTTCAACATTCTTCTCGACGCTCAACGCTGCGAGCAAGAAAACTTCTCCCACCGCTACTCCCGCATCTACCACAAAGTCGACCCCCCAGCAGAAGACTGCTAATGTCGTAGCTAAAAAGCCAGCACCCGCTGCAGTAGCCAAACCTGCATTTTCCTTCGCAGAGACAATGGCCAGCCTTCTTAAGCAGAAGGAAGAACCCGCAGCGCCTCCGAAACCGGAGAAACAGCTCCCACCCGAGACTGCAGAGGAGAAAGCCAAACGTTTGCGAAGAGAGTCTAGGAGGCATCTGCGCGTTAGTTTCCGCCCGGATTCTACTTTAGTCGACATTCGATACTTCCATCATGATCCGGAGGAGGAAATTGGTCATGATGAGAGTCTTGTTCGCGATGCGGGCGACATCGGGGGCGAAGGCCGCATGTTCAAACAGCACAAGGATATGGACTATGAGGAGGATGACGACGAGCCTGAACAGAGCTATCGCCCATGGATCGATCCTACGTACGTAGATTTTAGCCGCATTGATTCTGAGGAGCGACAACGGAACTTTGAGCCATATGGCGGTGGCACGAATAAGCCCATGTCTCCAGAGAAAGAGGCCAATCAGCTTCGTGAGAACTCAACATTGATGGTCTTCTATTCCCATCCGTCTGATATTCCGACATCCCCTCGAGAACCGCTTGAGCAGGCTGAACAACAGCCAATTAATGTGACTGAATTCGGGGCTCCGCCTGACTGGGTTGTAAATCGTTCCCCGAATCCACCCGCACCTGCGCCTGCCCAGGCAGCGGACTTCAGCTCTTTAGAAGCCATCTTCCGGCAACACGCTATACCACAAAGCACACCTCAGGCTACAGCAGGCCAGCCCGCTTATGCACCACCTCAGCAAACGGGAACCCCGGTACCCGACCTCTCAGCCATTCTTGGAGCTTTGAGTGCATTGCCTCAGCAGCAAGCTCCGGCCCAACCCCCAGTTCCACAACAACCAGCGGCGGCTCAACAAGCTGGGTTTGACTTGGCGGCTATTCTTGCGCAAATGACTGCTCCTAGTGGCGGGGCCTCCTTCCCACCTCCTCTCACGGCCTGGCCATTTCCACAACCCTTCCAACAACCCCAACCGCAACAGCAGCAGCAGCAGCAGCAGCAGCAGCAAAACAACTCAAGCTACCAACAGACGCAGCAACCACAGCGGAACCAGCAAGCTAATGGAGGAACGAAACGTTGGCGTACTGAGGACGACACTCACGAACGAGGACACTCTTCCTTTAAAAAGCAAAAGGGCCACAAGAATCATCGTTTCAATGAGCGATTTCAGGGGGATGTGCCGCACAAAGTCATACCATGCCGATTCTTCCAACAAGGCAAGTGCGCCAAAGGCGATGAATGCACTTTCATTCATGATCGAAGCCTTAAATGAAGACATCCTGAAATTTTTGAACGTAGCTCAACTCTTTCTTGAATGCAACTGGATACGTGTAGGCAAACGCAACGTCGTGCCGTCTACAGCATCCAGCTAGTGCATATCCCGAACTGAAGAGCAGCTGGCCCTGGAAAGGCATGGCAAAGCTCTCAGTTTTGGGACTCTGTACATTACTTTTCCTTTGTCTTATAGCCTTCTGCATGCATAGCCGGCGTTCAACTACTCATACTTTTGGAACTTTCTGAAGAGACGGCATCTACCGCTCACAGAAGCAGCATCGGGACGGCGCTAGGGAGGCTGAATCGCCCGTATGGTATATAGTCTCTTTAGAGAGATTCGGGTTTATCTGCCTCACGGCTTTGTGGATCAGAAATACCTTAATGAATTTGAATTCTCAAGTGTTTCTTGTTGGTGATGTCCGTGGACACTATCTGTGCACTGCGGGAACTTCACTTGGAACGTAATGACGCCTCTCGAGCATCTCGCTCGCTTGAAGATGTCCCGAGCCTCTTTCCCGCGTTTGTGGGGATAGTACTTGGGTATCGTGGAGAACGGCAACTTCCATATGCTTAACCTGACGTGGGGGGTTATCCCTGTTGCGATCCCGAGACCATGCCAATGTAAATCTTTGACCGCATTCTGTGCACTTTATTCTTACCATCGCGCCACGTCGTTACCACTCCTGGTTGTTCGCACAGGAGTACATGTCTCATAGTATCCCTCAAGACTGATCTTAAGTTAAGCATGGTAAATAGAATTCTTGCCGCTTACAAAATGTACACGACAGTTGAAATACCCCACTCGATGCGGAGTTCCTACCCATGTAGATGGCTACTCCAAAAGAAGCATTGTCCTTGATCAAAGTGTCGTCACTTCCACACCGAGATGATGCAGGTGTTCCTTGCTCAGCCCTGGCTTTAAGTTCCGAGCTTTGATTGCGAGATTCACGGCATCGAGCGCGGCATTGGAACCTTGTGTAAATCAAGGTGAATGGCAGATGTTGTTGTGAAATTAAAAAGGTCGGTGTTTCCATGTACTTCGGTTGCGGGCTCTCGGAATTCCTTCTTTTTGAATGAGTTATCTGAAACATGCGTACTGTAATGTTCATCATCACGACGTCGGCATTAATAAACATCGCTTCTACCCGCAGTCCCCTCTACGTCGATCGCGCCCCTAACTTCGTCCGACCCTACATTATTGAACACTATGCGAACGCCCAAGCGGTCGCCATAGGCCAACAAGTCTACCGATTCCCTGTAACCGGCGCATCAAGTGGTGGCGCCTTTTCTCTTCTCAGCACTTCCTCCCCATCCTCCCCATCCTCTCCAGCCCTTGGTGTCCTCCCTCACCATCACCAAAGCTACCATGAGAACTTCTTTTGTCTCAAAGGCCGTTTTCAACTCTGGACTTCGGATGCAGTGGCAGTAGCAGGGGTGGATAGTAACGAAATTCAAGCTCGTCTCTTAACAGTGGGAGATTATGGATCCGTACCCCAAAATACTACACATACGTTCCAAATCCAAGATCCAGACACCGAGGTGGTTGGAGTGATCTCGCCTGGTGGGTTTAAGGAGCTATTTTTCTTCCTCGCGGACAGCAATTACACTGCTTCGACTCAAACTCCATACGCACCTGTGGCCGCCACCAGTAACGGCAGTGGCAGCGCAGGCCCGCCCCCTGAAGTTCTCCAGCAGTTGCAGCAATTCGACGTATACGCTGAATTAGATTTTAATCCCCGGAGGGATCTGGTGAATGGGTCTGCACCTGCAGGGATTGGGTGGCATGAGAAGATGGACATTATTCCGGCGATGGCTGGAAGGAGTTATTTCGTGGCAAAGGACCATGGACCTAAGTTCTTGAACCGCGATACCGGGTATCAGATCGTGCAGCCGCTTGTTACACCCACGACTGGGGAAGGGCGGTTCACTCAGGGCACGATTACGATGTCGCTGCATCCATCAAACGGGTCGTTGTTGATGCACACGCTGGCTAGTCACACGGCTTTCGAGGTCCTGGAGGGCGCGTTGTGGATTTCTATTAGCGACGAAAACGCTACATTGATTACGGGAGATGTGGCTTTAGTCCCAGGCAATGTCACGTTTGCGTATTGGTCGGAAGTGGCGTTTACGAAGGTTATGTATGTGAGTGCGGGGATAGAGGGGATTGTGTTGTTGGGGAGTGCGGAGCAGTGGGGTTGGCCTGTGTTTCCAGTTGAGTGAATGGAAAGTTTAGGGGGTGATGATTGCAGGATATGCATGATGTGTTGTTGTTGTTGTTGTTGTTGTTGGATATTAGATGCGCTAGAAGTGAGATGGGGGGAGGTTTGGGCGATCTTTGAATGGAAATAGCAGTTCGTGCGTTCTCAGTCAGCTTTGCGATGTTTTCCGCACCTGCAAACACACAGGCGGCGATAACTGCGGTAGATATTTGAAACGTTACCAAAATATAGATGCGCTAGAAGTAAGACAGTAGCCATTTTGGGTGAGCCTTTAATGGAATCAATTTTCGTGTGTTTGCGTGCGAGGGATAATAAGAATGCATGATGCTGGAATGACAGTGGTGAGGTGGTCTGCCGACAACCGCCTCATTCACCACCAGCCACAGGCAGTTGCACCGCCACATGGCCAACGTTTCAGAACAGCATTTTCCCTCTGTATTGTCAAATTCCCTGAATTTTCATTTGCAGCTGGGGCACATATGCACACGACTTAGAGCTGAGCGCAGGTCACGTGGCAGGCTGGAAGCGTCAGCGGAGGCCTCTGCAGCAGATCCCTGCACCAACGTGTCGCGTTGTTGAGCTGGCGGCATCCTCATCAGAAGACGCTTGGCTCAGTCTTTTGCGCGCTTTTGCATCTCCCTCTCTCCGGTATTGTCATCCAATTGCGACTTCCAGGCGGCCGACTTTCGCTGGGCGCTTTTCCTGTCGAGTGCTCTGGACTCAGATCTCGCGACAGGGTTTTTGCTCCCCTCGTACCGAGCCGGTGCGTGCGGCAAGTTCCACCTTTCGCCGTCATATTTTCTGAACATCTCAGGCAGGTATCTGGAACCACTAACACCTCATCACTTTACCACTGTACCCATCAACCCCCATCACGGCTGCCGGAACTACAGCCCCTCGACCCCGCCCTTCCTGCCGCTGCTCACGCCCCGTCTCCCCCCGCTGAGCCTGCTCCGCAGCCGAGTCACCGCTATCCATCCCCCGATCTGGCCGAGCAGTCCCCCCCAGGTCGCCCTCCATCGCCCTTCTTGGTCCCAACACCGCACCCGCTAAGGACAGCCATGGCAGCCCCCAGGAAGAGAGCGAATCTCGCTCGACGAAGGCGGTTGGACGACGAGGGTGATGATGTGTCGGTGGCAACTGGGGCTGCTGAGGACTCCCAGAGTGACATCTCCGTCCCTAGCGATGTCGACGAGACAGCCGATGCAGACAACAGCGATCTCAGCGATGTGGACAGCTCCCCTTCGCTCACAGCAGGGAAGACAGTACGGAAAGTTAATGGATCACGAGATCTCAAGGCTCGCCCTGACGTCCTGAGCCGGAGGGAGCCTTCTCCGCCCATTGCTCGCTCTGATGCCAAGTTCACGGCCACACGAGAGACAGAAATGATGCTGAATGGGTTGAAGATAGCGGGCAAGGGGCCTGATGAGGAAGTTGTGGATTTCGAGACCGGGAGTCCTGCTGTTCAACCTCTTTCCTCTACTGGCACCCCATCTGGCCGGTCGGAGACTTTTACAGAGCGTAAACGGCGAGAGCATGAGGAGTACAAGAAGAAGCGAGACTCGGATCCGGCGTTCATTCCCAACCGTGGAGCGTTTTTCATGCACGACCAACGGTCTGCACAGGGTCAGAACGGGTTCCGACCATTTATGCGGGGAGGAGCACGGGGAAGAGGCAGAGGAGGCGTCGGGGGCCCCTATTCGCCAGCAAAGTATGATAGCTCCCCTAGAGATATAGGTATGATGAAGATTGCGTTCGCTGACGATCATTCTAGCATGATGGTTTCTGGATCGGAGGCTACTGATGCCCCTTGGCAGCACGACCTGCACGAAACCCTCATCGATCCCGCACCCCAGTCTCAGCCAACCCAACCACAAGTCGCTCCTACGAGCGCTCCTGTACAGCCTGTGCCTAGTGCACCACACCTGACCGCGAAAGCGCCTGCACATCCTACACCCAAGCCCCCCCAGACTCGTAACTTCTCTACGACTGTACATACCCATAATGCCCTGGTTCGAGTAGTCCTTCCTGGAATGAAGGCTCCCATCCTCTTCAACAATGTTCCTATCAAGCAGCACACTCGCCTTCCGAACCATCGACCCCCCCTTCGACGAGACAAGCCCGTCCGCATCTCCCTTCCACCCTCCATGCCACGATACATCTTCCCCACGGTTGAACGATCTTTCATCTTCATCCCGCGAGCGCTGCGACCGAATCAGCAAGGATTTGGCAGAGGCAGAGGACGCGGCTTTGGATCCTTTGGCGGTGGGTTCTCAAGCAGACGAACAAGTGCTTATGGCGGCAGCGTATATTCTCCGAGCGTGGCCATGAGCAGAAGGTCTTCCTTGGCAAGAGAGATGGGGAGAGACAATCTAGTGTCACCAGCAGGATCTGCTATGTCCCGGCCCGGCGGGTTTGTGGACAATTCGAGACCTGTCGTCCGCCTGCCACCTGGAGGCCCCAAGATGCCAATGGGACCCTCCATGTACTCTCCGCAGAGCGGTACGCCGGCCGGAAACATGGGCACGCAACAACCTTACCCGCTTCCACAAAAACCGACGTACCGCGAAAATTGGCAAGGCCAGCTCCCTATGCATCAACCTCGACCGCAAAAGGCCGTCTCGGTGGCTGGTATCGAATCACCTGCTTCGATGACTTTCAATCCGCCACAGCAACAAGAGCAACAACCGTTCCACCAGCAAGTTCCCACCCACATGAACGGAGGCACCTCGTCCGCCGAACAACAATCATTCTACCCACACGCCCGCCAGCTCTCATACCCTAGCCAAGCCTCCACTGGAACCCCCTTATCCAACATTCCCGAACGCGCCATCCACGCCCCCGCCTTTCAGCCGTTCCAGCAGCCTGGCTTTCAGCCTCAAAACTTTGCAGTGCAGCCAGGGTACTATTATCCTCCACAAAATGGCGCCCAGCCGCAGTTCTTGCCTCCCGGAGGCATGGTGCCCATGTTTGTTCCAAACCCTCAACAAGCTGGATTCGTTATGCCGATGGCGGCTGCCACTGTACCCGCCGCACCACCTTCTGCCGGACAGGCGAATATGGTGGCATACGAATCGAACGGCATGACCTACTATGTGGATCCTTCACAGCTCTATGCGGCCGCGCCTCCTTTGGAGGGATACTCGCAAACGAGCTACGCCGTCCCTGGCATGGGCGGGATGATGACACCCAGCCCTGAAGGCGCATACTATTACCCCCAACAGCAAATGCAACCTGCGGCCTTCTATCAGCAACCTCAATGACGCCCTAAGGCTGGAGGCTCTTGAGCCCATATATTCCCTATTTACGATCTGTTGTATTGGTTTCCCCCCAACTCCCCAATCCCCCCCTTCAGTGCTGTACGCCGGCAAACGTGGTCTTCACTATTCGAGCGAATCCTCTCTGCTTTACCTCTTTTCGGGCACCTGGGAGTCTCTGGCGCAAGGGAACAGGAAGCGTATCATCTCCTTTTTTTGCACGTCATCACACGGCGAATAAAATATTTAATCCTCGAGTGTTTATCAGGAGGGCTGGACATCGGAAATGGAAGATTCCCTCCCTTTTTCACCACCAACACTTGTCATGTTCGTTTCACTACTATATCTCATCTTACGCTTGTATCCCCCTTTCTTTATTACACCCCACCATGCCACCTATTTGTCTTGCCGTGAGGTGTGATTGTTGCAGACCTGTCGATGGGGATGGGGATGGCGATGGCTATGGCACCACCGCTGCTGCTGAAGTGGCCTACTACTGTTCTTAATAAAGCCTTGATTCCCCCATTCCTTCATGTGTGTGCTATGGAGTTCTGGCCTTTTTCGATTCTTGTATCATGAGTTTCCTTGTGGGTTTGGACCTGGTCAGATTCGTGGGAGGCTTATTTTTGAGAGAGAGGAAGCTGGAAGAGTCGGAGGAATTGTGGGTTAGAGGAATATACTTGGTATACCCAAGGTTGTTGAAGCGTGGAGTCTTGAAGGCGATGCGCGTTATGGTGGCTTTTGTGATGTCGCGCGTGATGCACCAAGTCTTCCTAACAATATCTCTCTTCCTAGAGGACGTTCACCTGAATAACTTTGTCCAAACGATGTTCCGTTCCGCTCTTGGCGTTCCGTGAGGCTGGCTGGTCAAGCCCCCAACGATGTGCTCAAGCTGAACATCATCCCAAACCATCTTTCGTCACATACTGGCGTTTCCTTTTGCAGCACTGACAGCCAGCCGCAAGACCAAACACAGACAGACCGTGGGGTCTAGCCTTCTGGTAAACATTCCATATTCGCTTCCCTTTACTTGAAATAGCGAGATTCGCACGCCGCCTTGTTCCTTCCGCAAGCCTTAGACGGGTTGCTAGCGGGCCTTTCCGCTTCCGCCATCGACATCGTTTTCTTTTGACATGAACTCCTTGGCCGCGCAATTTTGTGGGATCTGGGTGTGGGAATCTGGCCTATTGGTGAGTAGAAGAGACTAAAGGGGTACAGAGATCGCTGTTCGCGACTTTATTGATGACGATGTCATTCTCTGGCCTCTTTTTTAATCAAGCCAGCCAGTCACAGAACGTGGAAATGAGGCGCATCGTAGGATCGCCTGCCGTATATTTTCTCTATATACTCGCTTGGAAGAGCTGCCGCCCGTCTCGAGCTTAGGGATTGTCGCCTGGGGAGCATCTCCCAGTTATCTTATTTTCGAATAGGCTTGATGGAGTCATGCGTGCGAGACTGCATCTGACGAGCCTGCATTTTCATCCCGGCGTGCATTTCAGCTCCCAGTTTCTTTTCGGATTGGGAAACATCCACATCGATCTTTCATGTTCCTAACTTCATCCGAATGCTTTTCTTACGTGGCTTGCTTTTCCGATAGATGCGTGGAAGCTGAAAAAGAATCGGCTTAACTGACTAGAGATTCTCAACCTGTCTCTTTATTCCGTACACTGGCGAAATTGGTCCCCCTATAACGATGGTCGTCCCTCAGCGGCCAATCCCTGAAGCTTTCAGCGTTGTTTGGAAAGCCATCGTGCCGCTTTTGAGCAACCCCTGTGGCCTAAGTTTCCTCGGGACCTCCTATTCATCAATGCTCGCTCCCGCTCCGGGAGCTAGGGTCTCGCAGATCGACTAACTTATTAGGGGTTCAATTCTTCATACTTAAATTTCGGTCCTACGCATGGTTCATGAACTTAGGCGCCCTCCTTCAAACTCCCTTCTTTCAGTCCTTCTCTTGCTGCTTTTCTTTAGGTCCACCAAGATCGTGGCCTTCGTCAAACTATACTCTGTGAGTAAATATTACTCGAATATTTCCCTTCCCTAAATCACCATTTGCTGATTCAGGTGTCAGGCACCGGTCTAGTTACTCCTACAGCATGGCACCAGTTCCTCTCTCTGCTGTTTCGAATACGAACGGCACATACCAACCATCCGGCCTCACCATGACCAATGGCAGTCCCGTATCTCCTACTCCCGAATCCCTGGACTCCCTCCGGATGCCTAAGCTGAGCATCCTCCGCGAGTCAATGACGAAAACTTCCTCTGTGATGCGCACACGTTTTGGTCGAACGACCAGTGTTGCCTTTGATGGACATGGCTCTGTACACGACTTTCTGAAAATGCTCAAGAATGAAAGGTTCAGATACATGCCACATGATGGCTCCAATTGGGACAAGGTGCTCAAGTGGGCTGATGATATTGGAGGGGTGGTTCTTCTCTCTCACGGTGTCTTGAACGACTTCATGCTCAATAGCGAGGATGCTATCCGTCTCATTTGTGACAGTTGCATATCTCTCATTCAGGTAACTAGTAGCCGCTCTCTTAGTCGATAGAGCTAACTTGAATAGTTGGGCACTACTCATATCAAAGTCCTCTTGAAGGTCTTTAGTGTCTTTCATAAGATGAGCTTTGCACTATCCATCTTTCTTCGGCAAAATAACTCGATCAAGTCGACATCGGAGGTCCGGAGGGAGCTGGCACACGCGTTTCAGGAGTGGGCTCACTTGACTTTCAACGTGAACGAATACTGCACCCATAGGTGTCATGGTACGTTTCTCTGTTCGAAAACTTCTGGAAAGGCACGTCTTGATACTGTTCTGACACTGAGATAGCAACCGCTTCCATCGACTTCGTAGACTTTGATTCTTACATTGCTGAGGGCACTGCCTCCTTCTACAGTCACTTGGAGACTGTGTCTACTTCAATGTGGACTTCAGAGCGACATTGCTCGCACTTTAATATCCATGAGATCCGCGAATTCCTGTCCCCTCAGGATAGCGTGGTGAAAACCATCATGTCGAATCAACTATACTCCGAGTTCAAACGTGCGGAGTTCACCTGTGAATGGTTTGGTCCTCACCTTAGACGCTTTACAAGGAACAGGAATAATAAGGTCTTCCTCGTTACTGGCGCTGTTTGCACTGGAAAGACGGTTCTTGCGCGATGGATTTATGAAAAGCTTCAAGAGTCTATTGATGACGAACGCTATGATGTCATCACATACTCTGTTGGTATGTAACTCGAGCATTCCTGCGGCAATGTTCAGACTAACAACGTTACAGATACGAATGTCAAATACACGACGAGCCCATTGACTCTCATCAAGAGTCTACTGCTTCAGCTCTTGGACCGAAAGATTGGACACAAAAATCTTCTCTCCTGTATCGCAGAAGCAATAGAGCATTCTCAGAAAGGATGCTCACCTGCCGAGGTTGAGAAACTCCTTTGGTCTGCTCTCGAGGCGTCGCTTGATGATAGCAAACTCCTGATTCTTATCGATGGCCTCGATCAGCTTTCGGGAGTACGCATCGGAAACCCCCCTGCTTTGGAAACACTCGACAGAATCACAAGGTCAAGGCCCAACGTCAAAGCCATTGTCCTCACTCGACCTGTCAGTGAGTCAGCTGAAAAGCATTGCTCTGAACACCTTAGTCTCGGAAATCATACAGAGGCAGCTGCAGATATCCAACATTACGTCGAGGACTTCATTCAACATCGTTCTGAGCTTCGCATGTTGAAACAGAGCGACAAACATGATATCATCCAGAAGCACAAGGAAGCTGCCAATGGATCTTTTCTTTGGGCTGAGTTGCAGCTGCAGAGAGTCAAGCATGAGCAATCCGGGTCTGCTATCTTGAAGGCTTGCAACAAGGCCCCAAAGACTCTTGACGAGTCGCTTGATCTTCTCATAGGAGGTCTTGATGCAAAAAGATCCGAGACAAAGCACATTTTATCCTGGATCTTGGCCGCTGAGCGTCCTTTGACGCTAAAGGAGATCAAATCACTACTTGAGGTTGACCTGGATGGATGCGCTTACCGGCCATTCCCTGGAGACGTTGAGAAGATGGTCCGCCAGCTCTGCGGCTCCCTCGTTGTTATCCGTGACGGATTAGTTTACCTCCGCCACCCGAGCATCCGGGAGCGCCTCCTGTCTACCACGTCGGCAGGCAATAAGACAACCAAGTTAGTCATTGATTTGAAGGAGGCACATCGCGAATTGACTGTACGCTCAATGGCTTTCGTCAAGATACACCTACACAGCGATGTCGAGCCACAGTCTGAGCTCTGTGATACCCGAGAGATGGCTGCGAAGTTCTCTACATACCACCTCCTAGAGTACGCGGCCCGGTACTGGGTCTTTCACTTCCGTTCTTCTTCATTATACGATCTTAAGAGCAACAAGCCGGCCTTGACTACCCAATTCAAGATTTGCTTCTCGAATGCTACTCGGCTAGCGCTTTTGGAAGGCTCCTGCCTTTCCCGTCAGTACATCGCTTGCGAAGCGGAGAAGCTTCAGAACCTGGCCTACAACATCAGGAAAACACTATTTGGAGAACACTCAGCCTCTGTTCTGCAAAGTCTCATCCTTGAACTCCGACTTGGAAGGAAGTTTAAAGGCGCCCAAGCCATGTCAGAATATTCCTATGTTGCATGGAAGATCAGCCTCCACATCTGCTCCACCACCGTTACCAGAACGCTAGCCGAAGCCTTCATTGAGTATTCGCTCAGCCTCGATATCTCTGAGCATGCCGAGTTATGCTCTAGGAAAGAAGAGATTCTGAAGTACCTCATCGATGTTCTCCAGCATGAACACCACGAGTCGAAGGAGGTCCACTATATGTACGTATCTCCAGCACTCAACCCCCGTATCTGTTGCAAAGCCTGTGATATGCTGCTTTAAGTGGCAATTCGGAAGATGCTGCGCAGATAAGGGGGGAGCAGTGCGAAAGATTTTTCCCCTTCTAGAACTGTTCTGACTTTGTACCGTTAAATTTAGGAAGATTCTCGCAGAGCTTTATATTGAGATTCATCAAGTCGAAAAGGCGGTTGCCATCTATCGTCAGCTTTACCGACTTCGCTTGAAGATCTGCGGACATCTCCACCAGGAGACCCACCAGCTCTTCATACTTTTAATCAAGTACCTAAAGACTCTTTCGCTCTACGATGAAGTCCTTGATATTACGTTGGATTATCACCTGCATCTCGAGCAGACTTTAGTCATCACGGACGAACGGCGTATCAAGTCGACTCTGAGCATTGTCGAGATTTACGAGGAGCGGAAGGAGTTGTTTAAGGCTGAGGAGATTCTTGTTCGCTTCTGGAAGTGCGTCTCTGTTGGGAAGAGCACGACTCGCATCACTGAACTGAAGATCGACTTCGCCCTAAAATACTCCAAGTTCCTCTACCGATATTCTCGCAAAGAGGAGTCTGAGGTCATTCTACGTGGTGTGTGGACCGAGATCCAGTCATACAACTACGCGGCTCGTTTCGAGTCTACGATGATCAAGCGCATTGAGAAGATCGCGAAGTACTTCTCTAGGCTTGAAGTTTTCGCCATGTCACGGTCCATATACCAGTCAATCTATGAGCATTATGAGCGACATGAGCAGCGAACGTCTACCGAGTGCATTACGATTGTTCGATCCCTTGCAGAGACCATCACTAAATCGATTACCTTCTCGAAAACGGTTTCGTCTTCAACTACTACGACGACAACATCCACCACTACAGTAATTTCAAAGGAAGAAAAAACACTCTTGGAAGTCTTCGAGTATTCACTGGAGTCAACTGAAATTTCTTCCACCACAATTTCTATCTGCCAAGCTCTTTGCTCCAGTTATATGGAGGAGAAGCGCTATATGGAGGCTTGCGAGATCTACAGCCGCGTCATCTGCAAAGTGTGGGCCTCAATTGAGAGCACATCCATCCATATCGACATAGGAGCGATCGCCGTCCATCTCACGGAAGAGATTATCGAGCTCGCAATCAGCCTTGCCAAGTGCCATCTTGAAATGCTCCACGTCGAAATCGCGGAGGCAATTTACTTCAATATCTTCCGCGCTCTGATCTGCACCCGCCACATTGAGAGCAAACACTTCTTGCTCGCGAAGATTAAGGTTGTTATAGGGTTCTTCAAGACGGTTTACAATTACGAACGCGTCATTGAGATCTATCGCGAACTCTTCTTCTGGATGCCAATCTGTTTTGGAAAGACGCACACCGAAACTATCACCATTCTGATCGAGTTTGCGCGGGTCTGCTTCCGCATGAGGTTGTACCAAGAAGCAATAACGGCATGCCACTATGTTTACTCGTGCTTCCGCATTGAACATGGTTGTCTGCATTTCGATGGCTTTGAAGCTGCACTACTGCTTTGCGAGCTCTACGAAATTCAATGCAAGTGGGAGCTTGCTTACGAAGTCTACGGCTGCTTATGGCGAACTTTCATCCGCTTCGGACTTGAGTACAAGCTGGATGTCACAATTATCGAAAAGATCTACAAGAAGTACAGCTTCATTCTGGAGCACAAGGAGATGGTCGAATACAGCGTGCTCCTGCAGGTCTCCCGAGAGTACTACGAGAAGTGTGTGGAGTACTACCACCATCACCACGAAATTACGGTCAAGGCAACCCTCGAGTATGCACATATCTGCGAGCGCAGGGAGGAGCACTACGAGACAACTATTTCTTTGTACAAGCAGATCATCACATACTGCAAGCAGACAAAGTCCGAGTTCACACAGAAGACATTGCATGCCTGCAACACTCGAATCGCGCAGATATATGCATCGAGCACCAAAGAGATTCACAAGGCTGTTGAGATCTACCGAGAGCAATTTGAGAGTTCCAAAAAGACCGAACAGACTTCAACAGAAACGATCACCGCCCTCAAAAGTTTAGTTACAGCATACAAAAAACAGAGTACCGCCGAGTCGACCACAATTGCCACTCAGACACTCAAGAACAGCGTTATCGAAATCTTCCAGCATGAAAGCTCCTCTGAGAAACTCATCGAGTCCGCAAGAAGCATTGCCTCGATTTACAAAGAATGCCGCTATGTACAGCAAGCCGAAACACTCGTTCAGGAGATGCGCAGCAAAATTGTGGAAGAGATTCGGGGGTCGATATCTTCATCCACCAAAGTCGAAGCCAAGTCATACGTCTTTCTTGCATCATTCCAAGAATGTATTTCCGAGTCAAGCTCGTTCTCCTCCATCATGGCAGAGCTCCGCAGTGAGATCTTGATGTATGAGTCTTATTTCAACGCAACCAAGACTCAGACAGACTACCGCTCTATCATTAGGTCAGGATGCGGCCTTTACTTACATCTTGAAACGAGGTCCGAGCGCCAAGTGGAGTTCAAGAAGATTGAGAAAGAGCTTATGGAGTACTTCTGCAAATATCTCAGCTTCTCTCGAACTATCAAGGAGACAGTCATGCACTTCTTCTTCCACCTCTACCTCAAGCAGAGCAGCAAGACGTCCTGCGAGCAAGAGGTTGTCAAACAAGCTACTGAAACGGTCTTGCGCTTCACGAAGACTGCAAAGTTTTCCGAAGCGTACGAACTTGTGTTATTGATTGATCGCTTCATTCATGTTCACGGAGGCTTCCACTCTGAATTTTACATTCGCACTGCTTTTAACCTCGCCAAATACCTTGTTGGTATCGATACGGGTAAGTGTGGCGACGAGAAGCTCTATGCAGTTATGTTAGATCTCTCTAGAGTCATCTTGCAGGAAGCTTTGAAGGGCTTGGACAAGATTGATATGGAACTAAGCGAGTTGCAACAACTGCTGGCTGATCTAGTCTGCATGTTGAGCGAGCAGAAGAAGTATGAAGATCTTGAAGTAAGTCCCCAAAATCTCTCCCCAAACGTCTCGAATAGGAGGCTAAACTGTCCTAGCGCATCCTCCAAACTCTCTGGCAAACACGCCAGGCCAGAAACACTCTCGCCTCTTCCCCGCTCACCCTCTGGCTCGGCCGCTGCCTTATTCAAACCCTCGCCTCGCTCGACAAATTTTCGGATGCTACTCATCTGTGTTACCACATCCGCTACAATCTCGCATACATCCGCGGCGCGCTCGACAGATCGACTCTCGAATTCACAGTCCTACTCTCTGAACTCTATACCCAGCAAAAACGCTACCGCGACGCTATGGACCTCCACGAAGACATCTTATGCCGTCTTAGTGAAGGCCAATCTGCTCCGGGTCTGGATAAACTCCGCGTTGCAATGCAGCACACTGAACTTCTCAAATTCACGTTCAAGCGGCAAGGCAAGTGGGAAAAATCTTCGCAGTACTACTACGACGTGTTCAGCGCACTGGACGGTCGCTTTGCAGGAGACAAAGCCTGGACGGAGAAGCGCCCGCAGTTGGAGAAGTGGAGCCCGGGTGTCAAGGAAGGCGAGACATTTGGTTGCTGGAAAGCGCCGAAGAGATTGGAGTATGTGTTTGAAGAGGAGGAGACACTGGGAGAGACTAAGTGGAGGGAAGAGTTGGTGAGGAGGAGGATAAGTGGGAATTGGGCCGCGGGTAAGGGGTTGGGTAATTCTGCGGAGAATGGGTATGCGAATGGTAATGGATATGGACTTGGGAATGGGAATAGGGTTATTGCAGTGTGAGGGAGAATTGGTTGGTTGGGCCGAATGGGAATGGTTGAATGCTTTGAGGTATGGGTACTAGTGTGCTAATGGTTTCGGATATATGTTTTGGAGTGCATTTCCACCCTCTTTTTGCTCGAAATCATTTTATTTATTTCCATGTATCTTAATATTCGCTCACTCTGGACCACTGCTGGCACTGTCGTATGGGAACATCTTCCCCAAAAATTGAGACTCGGAAAATGTCATTAGTATGTGAAATATTTTCTCTAGCTCCACCTAAAAGTATCCATTTATCCCTAGCCTCCTTTCCAACTAGCTTAACATCAAGCCATCACATCCACATCCTTCTTCCCCTTAATACTCGTCCACGGCATCAACGCCCGGCGCCCTGCTCGCTAACTCCTTTACCAAAACATTCGTGAATCCAGATTGCGCCACCAAAACCATAAACACGCCACCCATGGTCCAGAAGAAAAGAAGCATAGCTGTTGTTGCAGACACGTCTTCATGCTCGGCGAGAGCCTGTGAGGCCACGACAGGGACTTGGAAACACAAGCCTATTCCAACACCTGTGAGTGCTTGATATTGGAACTGGGGCCTGGTAATTGCTCCCACCTCCATAGCGACACTACCCCTGCTTAACGCCTGGATAGGCCAGACTTTCATGCGTAGGACTAGCTAGGACACATTCGCCCACCCCAGATATCTTCAATTGAGGCCATATGTAAGGGCGAATTAGTCCCGAACCTTTGGGTAGATCCTCTCTGCTTTTGGCAGGTCATGCAAGGCCGTACGGACTGTCCGCTGTGCAGAAGCCAGCTGGTCAGCGTTTGTTATCATGAATTCTAACTGTAACTTGAGAGCACACTGCAGGCAAGGTGTGCCCCACAACTGAAGCATCAGATCTCCTAAATCTAGTCCCACCCTTCAATCAGAACCCTATCGTGTTTGGTTCTGCTCCAGCGCGTGATATCCTGGCTTCGTCGAACAATCATGGCTGTGTTACATTCCTCTTTCGACTTGTCTACACCCTCTTCAGCACCAGCACGGTGGGTCTCAACAACTGCTCCAACTCCTAAACTGCGGGATAGCTGTGATGCTTGCGCGTCTTCCAAGGTCAAGTGCCACAAAGAGAAACCGACTTGTTCCCGTTGTGCAAAAGAGGCCTCACTTGCAAATACATCGTCACTAAACGGGCTGGTCGAAAGCATGAAAATCGTACGTTATCCAGGCGTTGCCTGAATCAAATTGGCCAATCACTCCTGCCACATCTTCTGCACCCGACTACTTGACGTCATCTAACTTCATGATGCCTTCTCCCGAGAACAATATATCTGGAGGATCTTCGGACCTCTTATCCAGTCCTTGTTCTCTGCACTCACAAACTTGAACACCGATCTCGATGATTTCTTTGGCTCTCCTTTATCATTCTCTATTTCTGAAACCACTGAGGCCGCCGATCCAGACCTTCTCGGTCACTCTCGCTTCTTCTCCGGAGAAATCGGTAGTAGCAGCAATGGTGCCGCAGCCCTGGTTTTGTCCGACTACACATTGTCCGTCTTCGAGCGGCTGCCTAGCTTATCAACTCCCCACTCCCCTCCCAATAGCCGAGCTTGTCCAAGGAAAGATGAGCGGAGCTACCAAGGGCTCGGCATGGTGTTTAATAGAACGTAGTACTATTCCTACTATTACTGATAGTAACAATCTCTTAGCAGTTAGAACAAGAGTGAATTGCCTTCTGTTACTGTACAGTTAATAAGGCTATAGTAACTGCAGTAACTGCCTATACTATCTATTGTTAGTACAGAACAGTGAATTAACTCCTTAAGTATGCTAAACTCCACGTAGCACTTGCAGCTTGTAGCTAGTTTAACACCTTACAAGCTTTTATTGTTTTAAGAAGTTAAAAGGTGCCTCTAAGAGCTCTTAGAGCTCTTTTATTAAGGCCTTATCCTCTAGTGTTTTTATTCTTATAAATTTTTTAAAAACTCTTGCCTTAACAACAGACTAAATTTTAATATTAAGTAGGATAATATTTAGACTTGCAACCTCTAGCTAAAACCTAGGGGCCTTAGATATTATATAAAGAGCTTAATTGCAGCTATTGCCTTTTATAATCTTAGAGTAAAACAATCTCCGCAACTATATTAGCAAGATTGTGTTAAAATTAAGCCCTCTAGAGCCTCTAGTAACACTAGTTACTGCAGTAACTGCACTAAACAGTAACTGCTATTAATTAACTTAGCAGTAACTGTTACTGCCTATAAGGCTGTTTTAATTCTCTTTTTCTGTAAGAACAAAACCCTATTGCTGCTAGTAACGCCTCAAAAACACTACTGACAGTAACAGTTACGTTCTATTAAACACCATGGGGCTCGGTACCATAGGGTCCTCTTGCTGCTACCTTCTGAGGGCACTTGATCTCTTGAGACAACTCTTTCCAACTTCCTCGACACCATGCACAATTGCTAGCAAAGAGTGCTTTAAAGAGATGTGCTAACACCCTATAATTTAAGCAGTCATCACAGGGAACGAACATACCACTAGAGCAATTAGCAACATGCTGGAATGCCCATGCTCGCATGACGGCTATTTGCTCGCTATCATGTCACTCGTCGTTTTTGAGGTTGTGGGTTGGTACGCTGCAGCTGCACGTGAGACACCTGCAGATAATGGCGGCCAGGGGTTCATGAAATCAAATAGTCTGGGGAGTCCATCCCTCCATTCTGAGCAAGTGCGACAATGCCCCACCGTGGTGGGTAATTATTAACTAGATGGAGAGGACTCAGGGCGCATGACTGCGCAGCTCGTTCTTAGTGAATTAAATCGTGTACAGCGGCTTGTCAACCAGTTGTCGGAGAAATTGAAAACAAAGGCTTTGCAGGACGGGGGCATGGACACCCCTAATAGTGCTGCAGGCGGCCAAATTGCACTTTTTAACAACGAATTAACCTCACCATTTTCTACCGTCATGCTGGATCAATTAGGGACGGACCTCCGCAAACGTCTTTGTGGACTATCGTTGGAGATTGTCGAAATGCTACGGCGTGATGCATAGTGCAGGGCATCTTTCTGACTGCATATTGAGCGTTGAGGGTTATTGGGAGCCATAGTCATGATATGTTTCGGTCAGCATTTAATATGTCTCTTGTAGATCCGTCTCGATAGCAGGTGGGCGCTTCGGGAAACGAAATTCAAGTAGTCTCTTTTCATGTTAGATAGATTCTCTTGACTACTAATTCCGTAACCAGTTTCCATGCGTACTTCACTACTATATCACACACTTAGAGCTCGTCTTAGAATGCAATAGTATTTGAAGTTGGTTGATAATCGCAAGCATTGCCCCTCAGTCCACCGACTATCCCACCGCCTTGTTATCACATTCAACGAATCCGGGACCTACACCACTTATGTGTGGGAGGAGAACCAAGCCAAGGGAGAAGAGTAATATGCATCGCCCATCTACCAGGGATAAACCCCTGTATTGTGCAACAACTTCCCTGCCTCATCATCCCGCTTCCCTTCTAGAACATCAATCAGAGGCATCACAGAATCCGCAGCTGATCTTGCACCACTCTCGATATTATTGTGAGGGCCGAGGCTGGATACCGTAAAACCAGGGTCATATGCAAAGACCTTGATCTCTGGCCCAAACTCAACAAAGTGACATGCAGTAACCATGCTCAGTGCCGTCTTGCTCGCTCGATACTGAATATGCTGCGCTTTGTACATTGGCGAAGAAGTATCTAGACGGCGAGCAATCGAGCCGACTCCACTGGAGATATTCACGATCCTAGGCGATGCCGTTGACTTCCTTAGGAGATGCGCGAAAGCGATGCTCATACAAGCTGGTCCCGTTGCGTTGGTATCGAAAGCATCCCGCATTTGCTGGCGAAATGGTGGACTCATAGCTGAAATCCCAGCATTGTTTACCAGGATGTCGAGTTTTCCATGATTGCGCTGCACGCTCGATGCTGCACGCTCAATGGTGTCGTCATTGGTTACGTCGATTTCGAGGAGTTCTACGGAACCAGGGAGTTCTCGAGATTGGAGTTCTGTGACTGCTGCATTTCCCTTTTCCAAGGATCTAGACCCCAAGAGAACATGGTATGAGCCCTTTTTCATTAATTGAGCAGCGAGCTCAAAACCGATCCCGCCGTTCGCTTGGAGTGAGCCTTAACAGGGTGCTAGTGAAAAAGGTATTGTGAATACTCACCCCCAGTAATCAAGACAAGTCTTTTCGTTGCTATTGTCGCCATGTTTCTGATTGTGTCATTGGGACCTTGCACTCCTGTGCGACTCCCTTTAACTTATACTCGCTGCGATTAGTCACCACTATCGGCGTTAACGTTTAACTAGCGGAAATCCGATCCAGGTCTTGTGCACATAGAGCGGCCAAAGTGCAATTTCACGAACACATTATTTAAGTGGGTGAATAAAGATCCTAGTGCAGACTTAGAACTGAAAAAAGGCGTTTCTTGAGTTTCATGCTTAAAGCGTTAATATTGGAGCGCATTTGGTCATGTGATCTGATTATAACGGTATTGCTGTCCTTCAACGTCGGACCCTCGCACATCCGGATTCTAACCTCAATACAAGACTCCCCCGAAATGCGGCGGCAGAATCCCTTGCGTCGGAGGATACTAGAAACATAAGCTGAAGATGGTACGCCCCTGGGATGTCCTGCACGGTGGGAATCGAAATTTCATACAACACAGCTTGCAGTGCGCTGGCTCTTTACATTATTCCATCTATCATAATATCTTCTACCTATGCTGTTTTGGGCTCTACGGGCAATTGTGGTAGCTCGCTTATGCAAATCCTCCTCCAAAACCCGAAAGCCAGGATCAACACCTATTGCCGCAACATCGGATTGCGCAAGGGCAATCACCCGTCGGGAAGGGCAGAGGCACGGGGGTCTCATCTAGGCCTGGATAGGTATTTGAGCCTGCCCTTTGTTCACAGTTGCTATCTTTTTAGGGAGCCAAGTGTTGAGATTCATTTTGGTCCGATAATTCCCACTCAGTACCTGAATTCACAGCCTAGAAAAGGCCTCATTTCAATATATTGCATCTTTTTCGAAATACAGATTTGATCCCAGATATCAACACCATAATGGCTCCAAGCAAAGTCCAAGAAGTTGAAACGCCTTTCACCACCGCCGCCGTCGCTTTAGATATCGAATTTTGGCAGTCATACAGTACTGGTCATCCCAATCCAACGGAGAACTTCTTCAAGCTTACTAACGGCTACTACCTGAGTCACAGGAATCCTTTGACTGGCGTTGCACATGACGTTGGGACCAGGCCTGGCAACATTGCTTCTCGACTAGCACCATACTTCCACCGTGTTGTTGGCTCCGATGTAAATGAGGGTGATTTGACTGCTGCTCCAGCCATTCTCCGTAAGGAATATCTTCAGCAGATACTTTGTTAAGTGTCCCGCTGAAGCACTTCCAGAGGCAGCAATCCCAGAGGAAGTTGGAAAAGGAAAGACTGATCTTATCGTTGTCAGCGAGTGCATGCCGCTTCTCGATGCTACCAAGGCACTAAAGTCTTTCCATACTATGCTCCGCCCAGGAGGTAGCCTCGCTATCTACTTCTATAGACGATCAATTTTCACTAGCGAGAAAGCTTCCACTTTGGACGTCATATACGATCGTATTGCTACCCGAATCTGTACCTTCCTTCTTCCATTCAAGGGCATCCCTGGTTTCACCTTCCATTCGCGAGCTGCCGAGGCCATGTTCAGCTGGCTGGATAGTATCGCATTTCTTTTGATGGAATGGGAAAGTACCGAGAGGCGTAAGTGGAACAACAACATCATCCCCTTGTTGTTTAATAGCAAGGAGGGTTATGACTTTGAATTTGAGCGCGTAGATCGGAGGGGAGAGGGCGAAGTAACAACAGAGATGATTGACCGAGGCCTCTGGGCAGAGGAGTGAGACGCTGAGCGAGTGGCATGATATTTGAACTCGGTTTATCCAGGCTACCGTAAGCGGGCAGGTGATTGATATGGTGAGATCGAGGAAATGCTGGAGGAGCTGAGCGCGGCCATGGGAGGTGCTGGAGCGAAGCAGGCAGTAAGCTTTCCAGTTGTACTCATCTTGGCGACGAGCAAGTAGAGAGTCACGACTTCCTATGTGCACTCTATAGATATACAAAGAGTGCACGATGTGATGCAGTATCCCTCTCACTAGTATATGATACAGCCCTAGGAAAATTTCTTTTCTTGTCTCTTTGTCCTCCTGCTTCCATTATGCATCCTTGAGTGATCTGTGTGCTTAAAGGCCGAGAGTGAATATCGATTGTCACGTGATTGACTTCGAGCCTTCTCTATTGATGACCCGCAATCGATCTTACTACTAATATAACAATACACTTTTATTGGGTTTAAAGACTTAGTCGCAGGTCGCGAATCCCATGTAATGCCCATTTCTTCCCAGGAGTTTGGCATCAATAATGCCTCATTGGGACGCAAGTTAGCGCGAAAACTGCACTCCGCTTGTACGGATTTATTAGTCGGGTTTAACAAGTTGCACTCGCTGGATAATTATTTTAACTTCAGCAGGCCGGGTTTTGCACCACTGGAATTGCACTATTTCGGGAATTGCACCCTTTGTCGGAGGTCGGAGGTTGGTGGCTGCCTCCGCATCGTCGAAGGCTAATCAACAGCGAGCCACTGTATGCAGGTGCGGGAACGCTCCGGGAGTTAACGGTGATAGGTAAAGCCTGGTGCTTTCACTTGCATACTATCTCCGCAACGGTTACACTCTATTTTCCTCATCGAGCTTTGCATAAGAAATACGAAAGCCATCCCGAATCTACCTTGAACTCCATTCTCACTCCTACAACTCATTGCTTTTAACTTATTTTCGAGCGTGTCTCAAGACACTTACAAACTCAGCAATTCTATCATTATGCCTCCCCCACCAGCTCCACCAAAGAGTCTGCTCGGCAGGCACCGCCTTCTCGCCCCTACGGCATCTATCCGTGTCAGCCCTCTGTCTTTGGGTGGTATGAGTAGGTTGCTACCTGTGTAGTCTTTTTCCCTAGTTCTGGACTCTAACAATATCGAAGGTCTTGGCACGGCATGGGGCCCAATGATGGGTGAATGTAGCAAAGAGCAAGCATTCAAGCTTCTTGATGCCTACTACAGCCTAGGAGGAAACTTCATTGATACTGCCAACGTCTACCAGGGCGGCCAGAGTGAGCAGTGGATTGGCGAATGGATGCAGATGACCGGATGTCGCGCTGAGATAGTGGTTTCTACCAAGTACACCTTGAGCAACAAAGCCGGCCAGCCAATCCAGCAGAGCAACTTTGGAGGAACCGGTACCAAGAGCATGCACTTGGCTATCGAAGCTAGCCTGAAGAGCCTTCAGACCAACTACATCGATTTGTACTACGTTCATGCCTGGGACTTTGCTACTGGCATTCCCGAGTTGATGCAATCCCTCAACACCTTGATTCAGCAGGGTAAAGTCTTGTACCTTGGTATCAGTGACACGCCTGCCTGGGTAGTCGTGAAGGCAAACGCCTATGCTCGCGAGCATGGTCTTCGTCAGTTCTCTGTCTACCAAGGCCGGTATTCTGCGCTTGTGCGCGACTTAGAACGCGATGCCATTCCCATGTGTCGTGACGAAGGAATGGCACTTCATCCTTGGGGTGTTCTTGGCAGTGGTATGTCCGTCCTTCATTCTGCTTGTTTCAAACTGATTACTTATATTATCCAGGTTACATACGGTCTCCTGATGCAGCAGCTAAGCAAGGGGGCCGTCAAACCCCCAACTTCATGACCGGTCGCGAGCAAAAGGTCTCTGTAGTGGTGGACACCGTTGCGAAGCGCCACAACGTCCCTATCACCGCTGTCGCACTTGCATACGTGCTGCAGAAAGTAAGCCACGCATGTTCTAGATGTAATTGTTTCTCCCTTGCTAAATTATGCGCCAGGCTCCATATATGTTCCCAATGGTGGGTGGCAGCAAGATTGAGCAGCTCCAAGCCAATGTTGACGCACTGAGCCTCCAACTCACTCCAGAGGATATCACAGAGATCGAGAAGGGCTACGAATTCGACCTCGGTTTCCCCCACAACTTCATCAATATGGCTGGATATGCCCCTCAAGGGCCTCAAGACGCTACTTTCCTCGCCGGTATGGGTTATTTCGACTATGTTGCACCTCAGGCTGCTATAAAACCTCACCCGGGAGAACTCACTGCAGCTTGGAAGGCTTAGATTCGCAGACAGGGTGGTAGAGTTCGGGGATGAATAATGCTACTCAAGGGTATATGACCATATATGATATCTTCCTTCCAGTCTGCTAGTCCACCTGCGAGTTTTATAGGGTTCTCACCAAAAGTAAAAGGGCACAGAAAGATTCTCCTAATGTAAATCTCATCTTCCTATCAACTTTAACTACAAGTAACGCTATTTATCCAAACGAATATGAAGTGTACATCTTAGCACGGGAAGCCACTTATCCGCACGACGAATGTCCTTCGCTGCTCTATGCGCAACAGCATACACGTCCGCCAATGGATGGCACGAAGGAGGACTAGGAAAGGTGCTGACATCCACCAGCCGAATGCTTTTTAGTCCCCTGAGTCCCCAGTTGCTATCAAGAGCTTTGCCTAAAGCCACGGTACCCAGAGGGTGATGGAAAGAATACGAGCCTTCCGAATGGGTCCCCAAACATCTTCATCTGTCGTCACATTCTTGCCTGGGTATGCCTCTTTTCAAAACAAAAGACTTGAGCTCTTCGGAGCCCATGATCTCACGGAGCTTCTTATATCCCCACACAACAGCTTTCTTGTCTGCCGGAGAGCCGTAGTAGTTAGAGTAAATGAACGGATCGTCGCGAAAATCCGACGAATTGAGAGTAACATAGCCAGAAGCTTCTGCCTGCACAAGGCTAGCCCATGCGGTTACGAGGCTGACGTTTGGAGTAGACATTAACGGAACCGTGCTGTATTTCATTAAGATATGAGGCCGATCAGTAGGGAGCGACGTGTAATGCGTGCCGTTGATTCCATCAAATACAGAATCTGGTACGCGGAATGCAGCGTATACAAATCCGTTGTTCCAACCGAGGGATCGGATTGATTCACCACGTATTGCTGCTCTGATATACTCTTCCCTGTGGCGTTGAATTCCCATTGCCAACCTGTTTTAATATCGCTGGAGACTTCAAGCTCCACAATCGGAAAAGTGTGATCGTACAGATTGGTTCCGATTGAAGGGATATCCGCGACGAGTGGAATGTTTAGTTCTGACAATCGTGCCTTCTGGCCCACACCGGAAAGCATGGGCAACTTGGGGCTATTTATGGCACCTGCATTGACAATAATTTCTTTTGCTGCAATAGTCGTCTTTGCGTTGCTGATAGTGTTGGTATAGGTGACATTTTTAGAAGTCTTTCCGGAAAATCCGATCTTCGTGACCCAGGCATTGGGAATCATCTGCACATTCGGTCGATTCTCCGTAAGCGAGCCAGAGGAATTCCGAGCATATTACCTTGTTCTTTCTCCAGCATGAATGACTGCAACACCCAAATCAAGCCCAGTTCCTATGCCATCAGTCAAGTCGACTTCGTGCACCCCGAGTCCCGATTTGAGCGCACTAGCAAAGGGAGCGTCGAAACCAGTCAGACCACTCGTGCGGCTGACTTCCAATGGCCCATCGCCATAGGTAGTGGTATTAACAAATTGCTCATAGTCAGTCTGCTGGAAATCGTAGTGGCTAGCTGCCTTGAAATCCTCAAGTAGAGACTTCCAAGCCAACCCTGAATTGCCTGACACTTTCGCCCATTCATCAAAGACTGAGGCCGCACCACGGCAGTAGGCCATGCCATTGACAACGCTTCCACCCCCGAAGGCGCGTCCCTGTCAATTTTGGGGCATGACCCCCCAATTTGGGATCAGGCCGCGAGGCGAAATTCCGAAAGTACTCGGAGATCAACGGGTAGTAGGCGGGAGCTTGGTTAAAGTCAACTAAGCGCATTTCCTTCGCGCATGAAAGAATTATAACTCACTGTTAACTAATGTTGAATTGATGGGGTCGGGCCCAGCTTCAAGAACAGCGATTCTTAAAGCTAGCATTCTGGGAAAGCGTTTTGGCAAGCACAAAGCCTGCTGATCCTGCACCTACAATTACGTAGTCGTAGGTACCCCTCAGTTGCTGAACCGCTACCACCATGGCGAGTATAGTCGCCAACCAGCTTCTGAGCGCTAAATTATTGGTAAACATGATTTCAAGTGAATTAACTAAACGATTGTCTAGCATGACCTTTTCTGTGCGGCCTTAACTTTTTATAAGAATAATGGGTAGTCTCTATTCTATTAGCCTCTGAGATCTTGGAACGCATCCCTCCGATATTGGGTCACCCTGTCTTGAGACTTCAGGACATACGTATGGCTCCCTTCACGTGGCGCCACGTGGCGCCGATGCGGGAACGTCGGGTTCCTATATGGAATATAATACGAGCAACTGATACGATGCTCGGTCAGGAGTTGCTTTTGTCTCGGTGCCCGCTAAGTGGCCGATAGGAAGGGGATCTTCTATCTCGGAAATGTTTTGCCTTTGCCTTCAGAGCTTCTGGATTGACTATTGGGCCTCCTTTAAGACTCAAGAGCATCTTTCTCCATTCAGATTTCTTTCGGGATCGCAAACACGTATCCTTGCCTGTGTATGGAGGCTTATGCCACGCAAAGCACATCTACAATGATGAAAACGTTCAAACCATTGTCCAGACGAGCTCAACGGAAGCGTTGAACTCTGAGCTGTCTCCACGGATACCAATTTTCTCAACGAGTACCGGGAGGCCTTTCTTAGTTAATAACGTGAGGGGAATTTTCGAGGCCATCATTTCAGAAATATTGACCCCAAAGATTGAATGGAACGGCGTGGTGCAGGGCGTGGTTCAACGAGTCAGCGAGATTGCAGCCTCCGAATGCGAAGTGCTTGTCTTCAGAATCTCTCTTCCAGTCCATGATCTTATCTCTTTCTTCCAAGTGGAACTCCCAGGGTTAGAGGCCAGGACACAGGAGCTAGTTCCATGGATCTCTGATAAGAACAACGATGGGTGGGGGCCGAGAGGCTTTGCGCAGCCCAAAATTGTAATCGTGGGAATGTCATGTCGGATGCCCGGAGGAGGGAAAGACACGGAGAAATTCTGGGACCTCCTGGAGCAAGAGCTGGATGTGCATTGAAAGATACCAGCTGACCGATTCGACGTCGAGTCCCATTTTGATCCTACAGGAAAAAGGGTGAATGCTAACCACACACCATACGGCTGCTTTATCGACGAACCTGGCTTATTCGACGCACCATTTTTTAACATGTCCCCTCGTGAGGCGCAACAGACTGATCCAATGCAAAGAATTGCCTTGGTGACGGCGTATGAAGCACTTGAGAGAGCAGGTTGCGTTGCCAACCAGACCGCAGCTACGAATCTCCATCGCATTAGGACGTTCTATAGTTAAGCTAGCGATGACTGCCGAGAAGTCAATACCACTTAGGAGAGTAGCACCTACTTTAATCCAGGTGGATCTCGTGCGCTCGGCCCAGGACGCATCAACTATTTCTTCAAATTCTCTGGGCCAAGCTTCAGCATCGATACGGCATGCTCGTCTAGCCTAGCCACGATACAAGCTGCCTTCACTTCCCTCTGGAACGGCGCCTGTGACACGGTGGTGGCGGGAGGAATGAATGTCCTCACGAATTCTGATGCTTTCAACGGTCTCAGCCATAGCCACTTCCTCTCCAAGACCCCTAGCGAATGTAAGACTTGGGATTGCGAAGCCGATAGATACTGTCGCGCCGACGGAATTGGGTCTATCGTGATGAAGCGCCTCAAAGATGCTGAAGCCGATAATAATAATATTCTTAGTATAATCCTCGAAGCTAGAACAAACCATTCACCAGACGCGATCTCTATTGCACATCCGCATGCTGGTGCTCAATCTTACCTAGAAAGGAAAGTCTTGAGTTATGCGGGAGTAGATCCGCTCGATGTCAGCTTCGTGGAAATGTATGGGACTGGCACGCAGGCTGGCCACCACGAGGAGTTGCAGTCCGTCAGTGATGTCTTCGCACCTGCCGTGAGGCGTCGTAGTCAAAAGTATCCGCTTTACATTGGGACAGTCAAAGCGAATGTTGGTCATGGAGGGACTGTAACTGGGGTGACGGCATTGCTCAAGGTTCTCCTCGTGTTCCAGAAAAGCCTCATTCCGCCTCATGTCGGCATTAGGAACAGCATCAATCCAGAGTTTCCCAAGGATCTAAACAAGCGCAACCTTCGCATTCCATACGAGAAACAACATTGGCCTCGTGTTTCTGGCAGAAAGCGAATTGCTTTTGTGAACAATCTCAGCGCAGCGGGTGGGAACACATCGATTGCGATTCAAGAAGGGCCAATTCGGGACGTCAACCAAATTGACCCTCGCACCACCCATGTTATTGCAGTCTCCGCTAAGAGTAAGATATAGTTGAAGGGCCACTTAGAGCATATGATTGGTTATTTGGATGCTAATTCGGATATTTCACTGTCAAACCTCTTCTACTCGACCACGGCACGTCGCCATCACCACAATCATCGAGTGGCAGTAGCAGCTTCTGAAGTGACCCAAATAACAAAGCAGCTCACTTCAGACCTCCACTCAGTCAATTCTCACAAGCCAATTCCTACCGCTAGACCACCTTCAGTCGCGTTCGCTTTCATAGACCAGGGATCGTCTTACAAGTCAAGCAACTTAGAGTTGTATCACAATTCGCCTTACTTCTGATCGCAGATCCTTCACTTAGATTCTCTCGCTCAAGGTCAAGGGTTTCCCACCATCGTTCCAGCAATTGACGGAAGCCATCTGAAAGAGCATGCACATTCACCAGCGTCACCCAACTTGCTCTTGTCTGTGTTGAAATTGCGCTTACTAAGTACTGGACTTCTTTGGGCGTCAAGCCAAATGTTGTAATCGGACACAGCCTTGGAGAGTATACTGCCTTGCATGTTGCGGGCATGCTTTCAGCCAGCGATGCCATTTTCCTCGTAGGACAAAGAGCTAAGATGCTCGAAGAGAACTGCAAGATTGGGAGCCACAAGATGATGGCTGTGAGGGCCTCACTTAATGAAACCGACCAAAATGCTGGGGAAAGGCCATACGAAGTCGCGTGCATCAATGGGCCAAAGGAAACGGTGCTCAGTGGGACCGTGGAGCAAATCGATGCACTGGTGGAACCTCTCCAAGCGGATGGTTACGAATGCTTTAGCTTGGATATACCTTTTGCATTCCACTCGTCACAAACAGATCCAATCCTTGACGACTTCGAGGATGTTGCAAAGTCTGGTGTTCACTTCCATGCCCCGAATATGCCCGTCATAACACCGCTGCTAAGCAAAGTCATCTTTGACGACAAAACGGTAAACGCGAGCTACTTGAGACGTGCCACGCGGGAACCAGTTAATTTCCTTGCAGCGCTGGAGATAGCACAGCGAATCGGAACTATCGATGATGCAACTACTTGGGTCGAAATTGGGCCTCATCCCGTCTGCATGGGTTTCGTTAAGGCCACTCTGCCGTCTGTCAACATCTCCATCCCATCGATTCGCCGGGGAAAAAATAATTGGGTCACGATAGCGCAAAGTCTTGGAGCCTTGCACTGCGCAGGGGTGCAGCTAGGCTGGAGTGAATTCCACCGACCTTTTGAGGGGGAGCTTCGACTACTGGGCCTGCCTACTTATGTTGGAATGAACAAAACTACTGGCTTTAGTACTAGGGAGACTAGGCTCTCACGAAAGGCGACGATTTCTACGACGCCGAAAAGGGGCTAACACAAAAAGCACTTGTGCCTGCTTCGCACTCCAGTCTGAGAACCTCAACGGTTCAGCAGATTGTAGAAGAAACATTCCAAGGACTGGCAGGGAAAGTAGTCATGCAAGGGGATTTGATACAACCAGACTTCCTCGCTGCGGCCCATGGGCACAAAATGAATGGATGTGGTGTTATCACCTCGGTAAGTTACCTTAACCAACACGTCTACCGCAAAGTTAGACTTACATTTTGGGCGGTCAATTCATGCGGACATCGCATTTACCTTGGGGGAATACCTCTACAAGAAGCTCATGCCAAATGTCAAAGACGTAGCCATGAACGTAGCCAACTTGGAAGTTCTCAAAGGCATCGTCGCGAAAGATAATACGAAAACGCCTCAGGTAATCCAAGTTTCTGCTGCGACCCCGGATATTCACTCAGGCCTTGTTCATCTCCGGTGGCATAGCATCTAACCCAATGGTACCATTGACGATCCTTTCGCAAGCGCCAACCTGTACTATGGCGACACATCAGAATGGCTCGCATCCTGGGTTCTCATCACTCATCTCGTCCAGAGCCGTATCGAGGCCATCCAACGCCTCGCTGAAGGAGTTGCTGATCGATTCTCTCGCAACATGGCGTATCGTCTCTTTGCCAACAGTCTTGTCGATTATGCTGGCAAATATCGTGGCATGCAATCCGCTGTTCTTCACGAATTGGAGGCCTTTGCCGATGTGAAGCTGACGACGGAAAAAGGAGGTACTTGGACTATCACACCCTAATTTATTGACAGCGTCGCACATCTCGCCGGTTTCATTATAGATGTATCCGGCACGGTCGATACTAAAACGAACTTCTGCGTCACGCCTGGTTGGAGCTCAATGCGTTTTGCCCGCCCACTCGTTGCTGGAAACAAGTACCGCTTCTATTAAGATGATACCCGCTGCAGAAGACCCTGCTATTTACTTGGGTGATGCGTACATCCTTCCGGACGGCGTGATCATTGGAATGGTGGGTGGCATCAAGTTCCGCCGATACCCACGACTGCTCCTCGATCGCTTTTTCTCTGCACCGGATGAACAAGCACCCAAGCGTGGTGTTGCACCTGCATCTAAACCAACTCTGGCCCAAGCCGAAGTAGCGACTGAGGCAACTTTGGTCCCCACACCTGTCCCAGCACCAGCTCTAGTTCCGACCGCAGCCGCCATCGTCTTCAACGGCGTTGAATCCAATAGAAATGTGTCAGTAGACTCCGACAGCAAGCGAGAGTAGGAAATTGGGAAATGGCGAGGGATTTGATGATGAGGTGGAAGTGGTTGCATTTGGAGAGGTGCTTGTTTCCACTGACGGGAGCTTTGATGGGTTTGACGTGGATTTTTGAGTAGTAGCGATTGCGTGAGATGATGGAGACGAAGTGCGGAGGGCGGCCAGATATTTCATCACGTTGCATTATCATGTGATTCGGTCACGTGAAGTTACCATTCTGATAAGAGTGGGCACTGAGATATACATGACTCGATCTGCCAGGATGCGTCATATTAAGTAATTGCCGAGCTACTCCGTACTGTATAATCTTTGAAAGTGCTGAGACTTAAGCTAATCCACTGCCTTTGTTGACAGCGAACACCGAAATTCCATCTCCGACATCCGACTTCCGATATCAATAGTATACAGATGGCGCCAAGTCCCGATGCCCGAGTGTGTCCATAAGCACAAGCACTCTACGCTCTTGCTAGTATCCTTAGATTAGATCCGATATACGGCCTCGACGGAGAACAAGCAAGAATATTCCTCCCAGAGCGATAGCACACCCGGAATCTCTCGAGTCATTCCATTGCCACTCTTTTTTGAAAGCAATGCTTTCAGCCCGTCATTGAACCCAGACTCTAGAATCGAGAGCCATGTTCGGCCTGCTTGACGTGTTTGTTCTCGTTGACAGTGGGTTGACACAGCTTTGCGGGGGGAAGACGCCTGGAGCAACCGGGGTCCAGGACGTAATCAAACCCTCCGTGCAGTATAAATGTCGCTGAGGCGAATCAATCAACAAAATCCCAGACCATAGTCTTCCTCTTCGAATGATTTATTCCCGTCGGTACTCAGACGTAGCGTTCGCAGTGAAGCCTGTTTGGAACTAGAGGAAGAGGGGCATAGGACACTGAGAGAATTTAGACTCATCTACCGCAGACCATGATTTTTAAAGGAAGATCATGTTACTCCTAGTCCGCAGCGGGTGGGATACTGCGGTGCTGAGGCGATGCCCAGGAATTTCAATCTTAGACATAGGCGGGATTACTTGAATTATATTCGGTCCTGATCCAGCCTCGAACAACCAGGGGAGTGGAAATCCAAGGTATCTGTGAAATTTTCAAGCCTTTATTTCCCCTGGAGAGATCCAAAGCCTCCAATCCCGAGTCATGACTGGCGGGTTCTAGTTTTCATTCATCCGCATCGTCTACAAATTCGTTGGTCTAATTGGGTGTCACATTGTTGCAAGCTGCCACGAGAGATCAATCTTAGGCCATTGGGGGGCCATTTCAAAAAATTTATTCCGGTCCTAGTTCAGACGTGAAATTCCAAGGAAACAGAAGTCTAGAACAGTGAGAAAGGGAGCCCAGGGCACAAGTCGAAATGCTCAACGCTTGTATTGCATCTAGAAAGATCCAAGGCGTCCAAATCCAAATCATAGGCGTGGACAATCTGCCTTTTATTGCGTCTACTAAATGGCATCAATTCAATACTCAGTAGTTGCTCCATGTTGCAGTCACGGGAATTCTCATTTCCAGACTATTAACTGCTGTTTCCTGGATTCTATTCCTTTCTCAATATAGATATCAGTGCCCAGATCTAGAACAAGAGGAAGAGGTATCCAAGGCATGCTTCAAGTTGTTCGACACTTTTTTTTTTTAATCCAGCCTGATCCAAAGCCTCGAAATATGAACCATGCAAATTTACTATCAACCTTTATTGAACTTCTGAGAAGACGTCAATTGAATACTAGGTGTTGCTCCGAGTGCCTTCTTGCAGAATGTCCATCCCCTTTCCTAAGCAAAAACGAGCTTCCAATGTTCTGTCTCTCACGCGTCAGGCTTTCTCAAAGGCGAAAAAAGAGCTCGAGTGTAGTCACCGGAATTCTCGATGGTCGAAGAAGGGAGGTTCCAACAAGGATTTTCATTCGAATGCTTTCTTTCCAGCCAGCGCCAGCCCCTGAACATATCTTATTCTCCCCACGAATAGACGTGTAACAAGTCTACTCAAGGAAGCTGGTCTTGGTTAATTTCCGGAGGCGGTGTCCTAATTTGTCGTTTTAATTCCATTTAGTCTCGAAGCATCCATCAGTACCAAGTCGAGAGCAGCATTCCGGAATACCACTCTATCCCATTATATTCACGTTCTATTCAGTATTTACTCACAATTTCGCACTGTTCTCGTTTTGATCACTAGTATCTCTAGTAATAAGAGAGTCTAGCTCTACAGCTACAGAAGTCACGGAGAAAGTTTATATTCCGAAGAGGTTCAAAGTCACAGGTTTGCCAGCCGAAGAAATACAGGCCACGACTCGAATCGGAGGGCATTATATTAAGCGTGTATGGGATTATTTGGATGGAATATAAGGGTAATATTAGCGTAGTTTGGAGCCTACCGGTGGACGCTGTGTTTCAGTCCGATTAGAGGTGCGGGAAGGGCATTATCTTGAGAAATTTTTGCTGAAGAAAGGTCAAGGAATGACGGTAGCACTCTGAGTGCGAGTAAATAAGAGAGAGTGTGGCCTCAGTCATGCAATTACAAAGGTTGAAGTAGTAGGTAGGAAGTATCAGCAGCCAAAACGTGTGAGCAGGAATGACCTCAGTAGGCACAAATTTGAGATAGAATACTGTTTAATTAAAAAACCGTAGCTTCATAATGATCGTGACAACATTCTTCTTGACGATAGGAGAGAAATGAGAGTGCAATAACGTATTCCAAATTAACAAAGAAACGTTACCAAAGGAAGTGAAAGGAGAAAACGGAAGTGCTAGTCAACTAGCTTGCCAGCTAAAGCCCTCAAGCCATTCTCATCCGCTTCAGGGGAGACTATAAGAACTCGTACTCCCATCATCATCCACATCTCCATCTTCTCCCCGCACCATCTTCACCACCTCTAATGGCACATAATCTCCATGCCAGAGCTCCAAACCACCATACCTTTCAAAACACTCCTCCCCATACAGCTCCACCACCCACCTGTCCTCCCCACACATCCTCCACCAATTCTTCATGCCGTCTCTTCCGCTCAGTCTTCTAGTCTCATCATCAATCCGCTCACTTGGGTTGATTTCATCTCTTGGCTCATCTAGAAGCGAGTTGTACACTGGAGTAATCGCAGGTGTTGGCGTGTAGGTGAAGGGGACCGGAGAGGGGAAAGTGTGGTGCGGGAGGGTAGGATAAGGAAAATCCTCCCGATGGGCAGTGAGCTCATCTTTAGACATGAAGACAGAGGGGTCCCTGTCGCCCAAGCAAAAAGCTATGCGCTCTTTATCATCACCAAAGATGACATTCAGTTTGCGGTCGCGTGCATCAGCCTTCAGGCCAGTAAACGTCTCCTTGGCCTTGTTGTAGTATTCATCCTCTGATTTGATGTATTCGTTGAGTCCCTCCCCTGGGTTCTCCGCAATAGACTTTGCGAGGTTCAATGTGATGTATGGGTTCTTGACGCCGAGACCGCCATAGGCTGTAGGCAGGAAAATGAGCGGTTCGAGAGCGAACGGTGGGTCTTGGAGAGTTGGGCGGATATGTCTAGAAAGGAGTTGTTTGACATGATCGGTGAGGTTGCTTCTTTCGAAGATTATCTCATGGATGCGATTATATGCTCCCATAACGGCATCAAGATGATGTTTTCCAAAGACGTTCGCAAGAGGACCAAACTTGTCATCTGCATAAGTACCAATAGTGCTGTTCCAAGTACGAATCCAATCAACGACAGTGGTGCAGGCTGTCAATTGCTTCTTGACCCGACGAGCATATGCCTCAACTTTGTGATTATCAATGTTGATGGTGACAGGGGCATGATTGACCGGAGGGAAATCAAGGAAGCCAACCTTGGCGCCGTACATCAAGCCACTCGGACCCGACCTCAGTCCCGTGACAGTTTCAAATTTGAAGAAGGCCTCTTCAGCCATTTTGCATTGCTCAGACTTGCCAACGAAATAGCATCTGTCACGAAGACGATACAGGTATGCACCAGTTTTTTGGTGGATGGCAAAGTCAAGGAAGAAGAGAGTGAGTTCACCGAAGAACAGCTCCATGCCGTGGGAGACAGGTACGCCGCAAGTGCGGGTCAATATCTGGTCTGAAGTCCCTCGGACTACGGGACCCATGTTCAAGGGCGCCTCAAGGAAACGAGTGAAGACTTCAAGCCAGAGCTTTGGCACGCCAATGAACTTCAGGAGGGCGAGGATCGTCTGGTGCGGCAGAGACGAGCCAAAAGATTCAAAGTTTGTCGAGAAGATGTTTACGTCGCCATAAAGTGCTTCGCGTACTTTGAGTTCGGTTGCCAAGTGCTTGATCAATTCCGACTGAGTCTCTTGAACAGGGGTGACACCTAGCGTACTCCCATCGCGGTCGGGGAGACGAGTAAGGAAGAAATGTTTCGAAAAGTTCCTGTATCGTTCCTCATTAAGGATTTGGCCGTACATAGGGAAGGGCGGCGGGGGGGGATAGCTGCTATTCTTCTTTTTCTTCTTTGCTTTCAGGAAAGGAGGCGGCGGGGGCGGAGGGCAAATAATTTGCGGAGGTGGTCCATAGTTCATCGGTGGTGGGGGAGGACCAGGAGGTGGGGGTGGAGGATGGCACACTGTACAAACAGATGGCCTCGGCGCTGGCGCCCTCTTAGGCACCTTGGTTGGGAGCAGATAATATTCGCGTTTGTTCATCTCACTAGGTAATGGCCCAATGCTGCGAACCCAGACACAGGGATTTGAGACCAAATCTTTAAGAGAGCCCCTGAGCTTGCAGCTCCACCCAATTGCAAGAGTATGGAGAAAGAGCATATCGATGATCTCCTCTTCCACAGTGATGCAGTAATTTCCTTCCGAATTCTTGCGAGCAGTGACTGGTAATCCTTTGTCTACGTTCCGCCATGTCCAATGCCGGATCGATTTCGCGTTGAGAGTGCTTTTTAGTTCACGAAGAACTATAGGTGACTGTAAGTAGCCTTGAAGAGTTTTCCTCCTCTCATCGCTGAGTAAGCCATTATGAATTAAATCGTTAATGCACCACTCGAGCGTCTCATCGTCTAGTTCGTCTGGTCCGTTCATAACATCGTCTCCATAGTCTCCAATGTCCTCACGGAGTCTTTCGAGGGCTTGATTACCTCCGTTATCTTGGAACAGGCCGGACAGATACTTCTCGAGAGCTTCGACATCGACCTGCTTTGATGCGAACGTATTCTTCTCAAATTTCTCGAAAGCCGTTTCGAGCTCGCCCTCCTCGAGGAATTCGAATTCATCTTCCATTGTGGCCTTCTCCAACTTTGCGGAGACTGCTTCAGGGGAGTCGTTCGGGTACATGGCTTCTCTCAGTAGATCGACGTGCAGAGACGAGACATCGAGCCGGTGAGCATGAATGGCCAACTTATCCAACAGCTGCTTCTCAAGCTTCTGAAGCTTGGCTTGTGAAATGGAGCGGTCGTTCTTTCCCTGCTCGACGTAGCGGGCTAGCCTTGCAAGATCGTCGTCGTTCTCAAGATATGGGTCGAGCTTTTTGATCTCTTCGAGGAGAGCGTCTACTCGCTTGAGCGTATCCGGCCCAGCGGCGAGAATGTTAGGGTTGGCATAATAACGGCTCTTAAAGGACGTTTTCACACGGTTGAGCTCCTCAATTTTAAGCTCGGCTGCTTCTTTCAGGACAGGAGAGATAATTGGAGGCACAAACGAAGTCATGATGATGATTCAGTTGGAGGTCTTTCCCCCGATGCGGTCCTGAAGGACTTGGATCTGGAGGGTTGGGAATGGAGGGGCTATATATACATACGCACAGTAGCGTTGGCGTCGTCTCGTATTCTCATTCCACCACGGCTGCCTGGCTTTGAGCACCACCAAGGAGAATCGAAATCTGGGGGCCGATTCCCTGTCGTCGAGTCGCTGAATGGCTGCCTGGGTTGATGCCTTGATGATGTTGCAGGTTGGTGCAGACGATAACGGCTCAGCCCAGCAGGAGGCTAAGGCGGCCAATCAGCGGGACGCTTTTGCGAACAAATCAGGATGAGATAGATGGCCCCACCTTGACCGGTCCTCACCGGTTGCTTCGCTCCGCTTCAAGGATCTCACGATATTTATTTAGGTCGTCCTCCACTTCCCTCTTCTTGCCTTTGTTAACGGAACATTACGCTTTGTCGTCCTTTATCTACCCATTCCCAAATTTTGACCCGTCGACAACCCGCAACAGGACACGATATTCCAAGGAGTCCGTGATTGGCGACAAAAGTGAGGCGAGACACATGAGGGGTCGTGCAACCATTAACGTGGGGTGGCATAGCGGCGGCGAGGTTACAGCGGCCACTGATTGAGCGACTCGTTGATAAAGCAATTAAACCCTGCTGATGATGCTTCAGAATGCTCAACAAACCCACAAGTACCAATCTGGAGGTATTGAACATTTCTCCTCCGGGCTGTCCTCAAAGCATTCCTGCTCGGGTTTCAGACCCACGCCATTTTTTATAACTCGGCTAGGGTATCAAGTCCAACCGTAAGCCGAAGACCAGGCAAAGGACGGTGTATTCCGCATTGTTTATACTTCAGCCTTGGCCATGACGTGAACGGTCATCGTAGTTAGTTCGGTAAGGTCTTGTGTTATAATGAATGGGAGGAGGCCCTCCCGCCAACATGGCTTCATAATTGGGATCCCTGTAAATGCCCTCGCCTGGATTTGTGCTAGAACCATTTGGTCGTTGTGTCGCGTTCGAAGATGAGGATGAATGGTGACGGCGGCGGCCTTGGTTTTCTATTGCGGGGGGAGGGGGTTGATGTCTGGATGGTTCGGCTCTTACTCCAACTGGGCGTGGAGCTGGGTCGCTCTGATGAGACAAGTTACGTTCCCGGGTTACTGTATCACGATCTCGAGTTACGCCTTCATGTGGGCGCCGTGGGTGAGTATTGGTTCTGTCTACCTCCTCGTATTGACCTGATACCCTGTCATGAGTGATTCCTCCGTTGTTTAAGAGAAAATTGAGCGTCCGGACTTGCTCGTTAAGTTCATCGAGCATCCTCCGAAGCTCCGCGTTTTCCCTCCTTAGCTGCGCAATGCTACCGTCTACTTGCTGGTGAGTTCCTGCTGGCTGGTTGATGTTCGTCCCCAATCGTAGATTGTGTACACCGGATCGACTTGTACCGTGGCCTCGTTGGTAAGTGTCAGCTCCTAATTCCACCGGTGGAATAAACCTTTGTGTAGAAGACGTCGGATTATTTGGAGGGGCGGGATTACTTGGATTTCGACTTTCGCCATTCACCCATATTTGGGCTAACTGTTCAAGCGGACCAATTTGCAACCCTGCTGCCTGAGGAGGAAGGCCATCCCACCACCTTGATGCTTCAATTGGTAGAGGTCTGCCGCGGCGTCTCTCCCTCCTCTCTTTTTCGTCAAGATAGTCGAATGCTCTGTCAATGCCGTCCACGAGATCTTCTTCATCTTGAAAGTTTGCCCTAGCTTGTGAAATAGGGGTGTTCTGTGCGTACCTTTTGGTGCATGAGCGAGTTGCGAATATCAAACTGCAATGTTATAATACTCACACAAGTACTGCCAAAACTAATTTCAGAAGCATGTCTCCACATCGAATCTGGCATCGTTGCAATACAAAATCATTCCTCTCAAAGAATTTCTGGTACTGCTTATCGCGCTCATTGCCGGAACTACCGAAAAGCACCTTGATAGGGTTAACGGATTGATGAGACTTGCGGGAGCGCTTTCTAAACTGCTGCTCAAGAGTGCGAATTCGCTTCTCGAGCTCATAAAAAACAGTTTGAATTCCATCATAAATGTTTCGGACAAGATCTCTTCCATCAGCCGATATGAACCGAGATGAACTGTGTGTGTATGGCCGTAGAATTAGGTAAGACGCCTTGAAGCTTCTGATCTCTCTTCCCATGTACAGGAACTCTCCCGATGCTGGGCATTTCCGGTCACGTAGCACGATGAGCCTATCGCTAAGCTCAGGTAGGCGTCTGTCGAGGTTTCGATCTTCCATGGTGCCGTTTAGTGGGTGTGAAACGCGGGGATGACCCGGAGTGGATGCTGGGGACGTGTTTCTCTTAAGCAGCCGCACGTCGCTAGGGAGGCTGGTCTGGCATGGACAGACAGAGACTTATGCATCTTCCTGCATGCATCCCGCGCACGATCATTGGCCCGTACTCGCTCTTATTTGGGAGAGTTGATGTCGGATGCTGCAACATCACCGTCGAAGGCACAATCCCTTTTCGCGCAAACGAGGCTAGATTGGTATAAAAATGGTGTTGAAATGGTGGTCGGTTTCTAGATTTCATGTCGAGAAGAAGCCACAGGGTCGGCTTACGTCACACACACTGTGTGTTGCTAATGTGGAGGAAACACGAATCAGAAGAAAGTAGTGCACTAATTCCGACGCTCCTGGTTTATCCGCCCTCATCATTGGCCACCTGAGCTCGTTCAGTATCGCCGGAAATGGTTAGAGTGGGCTCAGGTTGTGCAGGACACTATAAGGGCATCAAATGAGAAACCGGGGGGCTGGGGGCCTGAAGATTGATGGCAACTTGCCAGGGTCCGAGCGCAGGATTCTCGATGTGGTCGTTAGATAATTATCATCTTTCATGATTGGTTGAGTAGGTGCGGAAGATACCCGAGAGGATGTGTGGTGACCTCGGAAGAGACGAAGGTTAAGAAGAGGTGCAAGGCTGAACATTCGAGAGTTGGAGCCGCTACTGAGTCATGTGCGATGGCCGAAAACAGGGACAGCTCACCTGGTTACTCACACGCAACTGAGGCTGAACAAGAAACAAGCGTTGATTCCGCGATATACTCTGGCTGCTTCCATCCTTCGTCGTTATCAGTCTGTCCCGGCCTAGCCTAAACATTCAACCAAGATCCTCTCATGACCACAGAGAAAGGTTGTGCACAATATGACCTGTCCCTTGTCCCGCCTAGCCAAATAAACCCCTCACATCTGCACCGCCACACGATTGGTCTGATACTTCTTCGTACTCGGCAGCAAAATACAACAAACAATCGCCATAGCCCCAAACGCAATACTCGTAAACCAAACATATTTCAAACTCTGACTATACGCCCATTGCGTCCCTTTCGTAGCTGCCGCAACCACCGCCGGCGTCACGCCTTCAATTGCTGCAAGCTTTTCCGGTTCTGTCAAAAAAGTGCCGACGAAGAGCTTAGCAGATGAAACGGGTAGCCCAGCTTCAATGGCATATTCGGCGACGTATACGGGGAGCTTTTGCCCGAGCTTGGTGGCGAAGATGTTGTAGTAAATAGAATAGCCGATGGAGCCACCGACGGTTCGGATGGAAAGTGATAGTGCGGCTGCGGTAGTTATGAGCGCGTCGGGAGTTACGATCATGGCTACAGTAGCGGCGGGAACGAGTACGCCGCCGACGCCAAAGGCTGCGAGCGTGCCAAGTGCGACTGTAAGCTTCGGGTTGTCAGGAGTACTAGCTGCGAGCGAGCCACCAAAAGCAGTCATGATAAATAGAGCAACGAGAAGAATCTCGCGGCTACGACTGGGGAAGGTGGAGAGTGCGGCGTTGAATCCAATAGCGCCGAATGTGGTTGCAAAAGCAGGAGGAAGACCTTTGAGACCAATTTGAACTGGGGTGGGGTCATAGACAGAGGAAAAGGTTATGGGGAAGAAGTTCAAGATAGAAAAAAAGTTCATTCCTGCGGCGAATGCGATGACATAGGCGAGTCCAACGATGCGCTGGCCTTTGAAAAGCTCTCCGGGAACCATTGGATGGCGGGCACCTTTCCATTCATAGCTCACCCAGACGCCGATGAGAGCAAGACCAATTAGGAGAGTACATAGGACGTAGGCGCTCTTCCAGGGGTGTGTGTAACCGCCTGATTGAAGGGCTACAAGGCTGTGACGTATTAGCAAGACGGGTTAGAGTAGAAAGTGAGAGGTGAGCATACAAGAGGGTAAGGCCAGTAATCGACAGAACACCACCGACGTAGTCGATTCTCTTGAGAATGGCACGATGAGAAAAACCTTCAGCACGTGTGTGATTATGCGGGAAGTATGTGAAAAATAGGCCAAGACCAGTGATGCCGTTGTAGGTCCTAAAGAGGTCAGTGCGACGTATAGCACGAAGAAAAGTAGAACTTACAGCGCACACCATGGGCCCCATCTCCAGCCGACACTGCTATTATGGGACCATAGCTCGACATACATTAAATATGGACAGAAGGGAATGACGAATGCGGTGACAAGGGCAAGTGAGTATCCACGATACTTGACTGGGACGACTTCAGCAAGCCTAAATTTGGTTAACATTGGGTCATTTACGCCCACAACGGGGCATCATACCCAGCTAAGCCAGTCAATTCACCAATGGCAGCGCCGACACCAGAAATTGCCATTCCCGCAAGAGCCTGGGCAAAGGAGTGGGTAGTGGCCATCAAGACGGTTCCGATACAAATGCACAGTGAACCGATTAGGGCAATGTATCGTTTCCCGAAAAGATCCTGCAGATATCCAGCATACGGGCATACTGCGGCAATGGCCAGGATGTTCGCAGTTGGAAGCCATGCTGAACCTCTTGATAGTTTAAGGTCTTCCTCAATGAAGCCGAGTGAACCACCAGTGAAGTATAGGATAACTTGCGAGCCTACCATTTCGGTCAGTAAAGCCCATTCAAGTCTACAAGAATGGAATATGCTCCCATACCTGTATAGAGTGCCGCGAGAAATATGGCTGCGAATATGCCACGCAGACCCCAAGTCACTTTGCCGTCGGAATTGTCTCCCTTGAATGCACTTCGGTTGTGGACATCTACGCCTTCCAACGTACGCTCCTTTTCCAAGTTGAGCGAGTTGTTGGTAGGAGATTCGTCGGCATTCTCGATGAAACGCGGCTTCTCTTCACCGTGTTTCTCTTTCATATAATCGTTAGAGTGAGTAGCCATGACTGCATTAAACATAAGTAGAGCGAGTTGATACCCACAGGAAGGAGTAATCTGAAAAGAAAGGACTGGAGGACAGACCCGCTTGCATTCAGGCGGAAATACGACGACCCTATATCGTCCATGTTAGGCTTCCCCACACCACGCGGACTCCACGCTCCATCCAGACTTCTGGAGACCTAGATTCACTCGCTGGTTGAATCTTAACGCCATTGAGCCACTTGACCAGAAAGGGCGATACTCCGGGGTAGGTAAGAGAACTGAATGTGGGAAATGCGGGGAAATACTTTCAAGGCTGAGTCGTAAATCTGCTATTGTGTGATATTCCTACGTTGTTGCGATGCTGACTCGAGGCGACTGATGAATCAATTGACGAATGAAGCGTTCTGATTGGCTCTCGTTGGCAATCTCCTCGAACATCCCCACAGCCTGGAGCAGACCTCGGGACCCGAAATCCAATACCGCCACCTTGGGCCAGAAGCCCTGGTTTGCGTTTCGTGGTGTTCAAGATAGGAGGGATAGCGAACTGCTGGTGATGGAGATCAGGTGATATTGTCCCAACTCTAACCCTCAACCATGCGTGTAGTTTCAACCCGTGCTGAATAAAGAATTTGCTGGAATTGCACACCAAGGCTGGATTGGATTCCTCAGGATTAAACAGGGACAATATGGTCGCAGTTCCTGATTTATAACCTAGGACATCGAAATTTTCCGATTGCAGTGTGTCTGAAAATCCACGTTCCCCGTGGTTGCCAGATAGAAAACATCAAATAGTAGCTATATAAGCCCCCTAGTGGCAACCCTGTGACCAAATTCGCCTAGAAATAGATCGCGTCCTGAAGAGGAGTATATACCCGCTTGGGGCTTGCTAGACTCCTTCATCAATTCAGTAGCCAACGAACACATGACCCATGATCCTTCTGGTTTAACGCTTAAATGCTCAGAGGATGCAATGGTTGGTGTTAACGCCACCTCTAGTGCCCGCCGACATACTCTAAGATTAAGTGCTTCTTGGCATGCGGCAGCAGCGTTAGAGGCACGTCGCGGGATCTGTCGGTCTATCATGGGAATCCACCAAGGCGAGTCAAGGGTCTTGCGAAGAGGGAAAATCTTCCATTCCAGAATGGTCGGCCTGGTATGCAGTATGGTTCCTAGCGTCAGGGACTTGTAATACAGTGAGACGGATGAACACGTTTCCATGGTTCCATGCTATAGTACAATATGGGCTCAGCGATGGAGCGGGGAGTATTGAGGACCAGGCGTTAGTCGCTTGAGTGGCAATTCTCGGGACATTGGCAAGTTTCATACGAGGTAACAAAGTAGTAGAAACTCTCACAAGGCCAAGAGACTCAACCGCCTTAACGAGATTTTCTGCGTCGGGGGTGATTGGATGCTGAAAAAGAGAAACGCAGCATGAGGGGAAGGGAAGCGGGAGCACCTACAGACATGCAGAAGCGACCAAGGTGGACCCACCGATCACTTCCTGCTTGCCTCTTCAGCAATCAGCGCCTCTACGTCCTTCTCCATCAGCCACTCCTGAACACTCTCCATGACCATGTCAAGGGTTTGGCCCCCGCCCATCACATCATCCAAGTCGTGGACTGTAGTTCCGCTTCTATGATCTGTGACTCGCTGTTGGTTCCAGTTGTATGTCCTGATTTTGTCCCCACGTCCCATCTTTGCCACCCCAACCACGCTTCTTCGCATTGCCACCATCTCCTCCTCTCTTTTCTCACGTCTCGCTTGCGCTAAGCGTGAACGAAGCAGCTGCCACGCTTTCTCTTTATTTTTAGGCTGGGATCTGAAGTCCTGCATTGAGACGGTGGTGCTTGTGGGTATGTGAGTTAACCGAACTGCGGAGTCTGTTGTGTTGACATGCTGCCCGCCAGCACCCCTTGCTCTCATAATCTCCATCTTGACCTCCTTCGGGTCGACGAAGTAGTCACTCTCTGGATCATCAAAATCCCCTTCGCCAAGGGAGCTTTCCTCTAAGCTAGGAAGTACCAGCACAGATGCCGCACTGGTGTGGGTTCGTCCCTTGGTCTCAGTAGCTGGCACACGCTGAACCCTATGCACTCCTGCCTCGCATCTGAACACGCCGTATGCATTCTCCGAACTGACCTCCAGGATAGCTTCAGAGAGTGGTACGCCAGCTTCTGTTGTTCCATTGACGTTCTCATACTTCAGGAGTGTGGAGCGATAGTTGTTCCGGTTGCAGTACGCTTGGTACATTCGGAGGAGATCGCCTGCGAAGATGGCAGCCTCCGAACCGCCTGCACCGGGCCGAATTTCTAGAAGGCATGGCAGATGTGCGAACGGATGGACTGGAACTAGGGAGGTTGTGAGGCTTTGTGAAGCGTTGATGAGCAGGACCCGAGTTGCGCTGAGGTCGTCTGCGGCTAGCTCTCGAAGTTCGGGGTCAGAAGTAGGGTCATGGATGAGGGTAGTGAGCTCTGCAAGGGACTTCGCCTACTATTAGTCTGCACTCTTCGCTTGTTGGTGCAAGACATCCTTGACGGACCTCGTTTGCCTTGTCCCATTCCTGCAATGCGTTCACGACAGGGCCATACTCGCCCAATTTCTTTGCGGCGCGGGTGTCGAAGCCATCGACAAGCTTCTCCGTCAATTTCTTGTGCTCAGCAGCGACAGTTCGGGCTCGCGCAAGGAGTGCAGGAGGAACGGTTTCCAGTTTGGAAGCTTCCACAAGTCAGTGACTTTCCAAGGAGGTGGGGGGCAATGACCTACCAGTCGACTGCCACCGAACACTGCGGCTGGCGAGTGGTCGTGATATACGTGATATGCGTGACATACAAGCGCGGCATATCCAAGGTGTTGCTGTCATAGCTTCACCTCTCCAACTGAAGCACAAAATTTCATTCAGACTCTGAACGCGTCCTGACGATTATTCAACGGCTTGGCGCGCCAGATTTCACGTGATTTTAGCCTTACGTCATCCTCATCTAGACGCACAGTGCACATCACTCCATCAAGTACAGATTGCTCCTCCATTCTTGTCTACATCACTCGTTATGCAATATGGACGCGAAAATGTTGAGATCCCATCTCCAGTCATCCAAGCGACCCCCGAGAGCGGAGAAAGTTACGTCCAGGAAACTAAATCCCCATTCCCACACTAGTTACCCCAGTGCTTTTCTCCGTGAATATCCATCTTCCCTCCCGATAAATCTCCCTAAGCCTATCTCTCAAATCCCAATCCTAATCCTGCAACTCCCTCCTTTAAATATTCAGGTACGGGTTTATGCTGCGCAATGAAGAACCCTCCGCGCAAACTAACGGCACTAAGGCCCCACTGTTCGCCTGTCCAGGTCCTGCGTCAACCGAAAATGGGTCCGGGCGATATCTATCCGCATCCTGAACCTCAGTTTATACATTTCCCCAGCCGGCGCTCAGTAGTGCATAGTACGAAGGGGATTGTGTCGTGCACGCAACCGCTTGCTGCCACTGCGGGTCTGGATGTGCTGCGGAAAGGTGGGAACGCTGCTGTATGAATGACGTAATTCAGATCCTCCTTCATTCTCAGAAGCGCTTATCGTTTGCAGGATGCAGCAGTAGCTGTTGCAGCAAGCCTCAATGTGACAGAGCCGGGGTCGACGGGGATTGGCGGTGATATGTTCTGTCTCTTCTACGACATCAAGACGAAGAAAGTGCATGCGATGAACGGGTCTGGCAGATCGGGCAAAGATGTCACGCTAGATCGAATCCGCAAGGATCTCAAGATTCCTGATGGCGACATTGGACAGATCCCAATGGACAGTGTGCATGCGGTAACGGTTCCAGGGGCAGCAGCTGGGTGGGTCGATGTAGTAGAAAGATTCGGAAGTGGGAAGGTGACGATGGAGGATGTTCTCGCACCTGCAATCGAACTAGCAGATAAAGGCTTTCCAGTTTCAGAGCTTTCCGCCATATTTGTGAGTGTTTCTTCTCCCTTTCAAACACTCTTAAGCTAATGTGGTGATAGTGGGCAAACAGCGAAACCCAAATAAAAAATGCATCTCCCAATGGAGCCGAGATGTTGAAGAAAGACCCCTCAGCAAAAGATGGCTGCAGAGCCCCAAAGGCAGGAGAGATCATGAAGAATCCCACTCTCGCCAACACCTACAAGCTGCTCGCAAAGCATGGCAAGAAGGGCTTCTACGAAGGAGAGGTGGCTGAACAGCTTATCAAGGTAGTGACAGACCTCGGCGGTCATCTCACTTTGGATGACTTGAAACAACATGCCGAATTTGGAACCGAGCCAGTCGACGCTATTTCCCTGAAGTTCTCTGGCCAGGGTGTTGGTGACCGCACCGAGGGATACGGTATCGAATTATGGGAACATCCACCAAACGGCCAGGGTATCGTAGCACTCATGGCCTTAGGCATTATCCAGGAGCTAGAAAAGCAAGGCAAGTTACCCAGATGGACATTAAAAGACCACAATACGACCAAATATCTCCACCCCCTCATCGAAGCCCTCCGCATCGCCTTTGCAGACGCCCACTGGTTCGTCGCCGACCCGAATGTCTCAAACGTCCCTTCCACAGAACTCATATCGCAACCATATCTCGCCGAGCGCGCTAAACTCTTCGACCCCACAAAAGCCATATCCGCCCCTGTTCATGGCTCCCCAGCCCACGTCCATAGCGACACGGTGTATTTCTGCTGCTCGGATCAATACGGGAACGCAATATCCTTCATCAACAGCAACTACGGTGGCTTCGGTACTGCAATCATTCCAAAAGGATGCGGTTTTACCCTACAAAACCGTGGCGCGAATTTCAGCCTCATCGAAGGTCACCCGAACGCCCTCGAACCCCGAAAACGGCCCTACCATACCATTATTCCCGCTCTCATCACCAACGCTAGGGATCAAAGTCTCCACAGCGTATACGGAGTTATGGGTGGGTTCATGCAGCCACAAGGCCACGTGCAAGTCCTACTAAATCAGGAGGTTTTCAAACTACATCCACAGGCAGCGCTCGATTCACCGCGTATCTGCATTGGAGCTGGGATGCCGGATCGGGATGGCAGAATGACGGATGCGACGGTCTACCTAGAAGAAGGTATTGATTCCCAAGTTGTGAAAGAGCTGCGGGATATGGGACATAGCGTGCAGCAGCTGAGTGGGTATGGAAGAGCGATGTTTGGCCGAGGGCAGATTATCAGACAGCATCACGATGATGGCATTTTGGTTTGGAGTGGCGCAAGTGATTTGAGGGGCGACGGGGCTGCGGTGCCTGTTTGAGAATACCATTACATCATTATACAGCCTTCAAATTTAGCCATATTTTGAATCGACAATGGACCTAGCTAGGCACCCCAAAAACGGCGCCTGGCATACACTAATAGAAATCCATGCAAGGGATGTGCCGATGATGAAACAATCAAAATCCCACTGGCCCCTGCGTCTCCCTATATTACTCGCCGACTCTATTCCAGAGGGTTCCCCAGCAGTGATCACCAGCCCAGTCTACGAATAGCGCGAGGAAAGCAACTAGGAAACCTGCTTGTCTTGCTGAAACCGTAAGTGTTGAGCCGAGAATATAAGAGCCTTTGCCTAGGCACTGTTAACAAATGAGGAGCTGAAAATCTGTTCTTTTAATTTTACTCCAATTCACCCAATGCCTTGTGTGTATGGAGGGATCTGACATTCTAAAAGCAACACTGTGGGTACTGTTGGTTCTTGAGTGTTTGGGTAGGACCTTCCATTCTTCAAATTCTGCCAGCGGCTTTTAAAGATTCAGCTGGATCAAGTGGCTGAAGAGGGAAGCGAGCGAGGGCTGAAAGCTGGTGGTGTACAGCGGAGCTCAGCTATTGTCGCTTACGCTTCAACTCTACGACGATGAACTTGCATCGCACTAATGAAAGAATAACTGGTTTCTCTTCCGCTCTTCCCGTTACTAAATAAGGCTTGAAAAGGCTCTCTCGTTTTTAGCAAGCTTATTTTGTTTAAGCTTTGTGCAGCAGCGCAATGGGCGCATCTATCAGGTGAGTGCAGCGTGGTGCTAAATCAAGCATCAATTTTCTTCATGCGAAGGATTGTTCGCTGTTCGCGGGAGCTTTTCAGAGAGAGGTATTTTCTAAACCTTGATAGTTGAAGAATTTACGGACAAGGCAGGACGTAAGTTTTTATGAGGTTTATGACACTAGGATATTCAGCAAACTCAACTTCTTGCCATGGTTCGAGGAGATCTAGAGTATTCTGCTGAGCACAAGAAACAGTGGGAGAATACGGGATAAGGTGTGTATGGTGTGGTAGAGCCATAGTGAGAAAGCAAACCTAAGGGTGGGAGGCAAAGGAACGGAGGAAGTCGAACCTACGTACGTGCCGCTAGCCGCCCTAGAGTGTACTCAGGAGCTAAGATATCCGTAGCATGCAGTGTATAGAGCTGCACTCAATATAGATCAGATGGTAGGGCTGATAAAATAGTATATTATTATGATGTATGAGACAAATGACTCGACCTTATAGCAGGGACTTGTTGCTGCAACATTGGCCTTTCAATACAAACGGTAAACCGTTCATGCTCAACAGCGTAGTCGGATGCTCCGCCCTAAATACCCTCTCGTCTCCGCCACTTGCTCCTCTAGATCTCCGGCCTCCTTCTACTACTCTTGACTGATGTACGTCGACGCCAGGTTGCCCATGCTGGTCGGTATGGAAGGATGCTCCTCAAGTACACTCACACTTTTGGTCTAATTGAATACTTCTGTACGTGACTTTCCGCTCTCCCATCGGGTTTGTTATTCAGCAGTAATTCCTTAGCTAATCATCTAGTCACATTTGCACGCTAAGTCATGTAGTGCATTTCCACCATCGTTATCCTCTACTCCCCTTTGACTACATCCTGCAGCTCTGCCTGTTCATCTTTTCCCGTCATGTTAGCGTTAGTCACAAGCTGCTGCGGTTCGTTTTGATTGAGGTAGCTTGGATCATAACCTGGGGTGTCATCTATTCTTTCGTTCGCACAACCACTAACTCTTGTCGGAGACCTATCAGCTATCATGGAGATTTCGCTTCCACTTTGTAACCGTGACGGCCTTTTCGTCTGATTATTCCCTTTGCGGACACATCGAACATGATTCAAAGGGCTATCCTACCGTGAAAACGGCGTTTTGTTGCGATTTCACTGCTTGATTGGACGGGGTAGGCCTTAAGATTTTGATGTGTACTTCCTGTGTGCCGTTTGAGGTTTTACGAGGTTGAAAATCGCTTTTGACATGTCGAACATGTATGATTCAACTGAGAGTGGGAGGCTTCCTGATCCCTGGCGAGTTCCTCTATCGCTAAGATTTTATATCTCGAACATAAATAGAAAAACTTAGTGCCCCGACTGGGCTAAAAGAACTAGTGGGAAGGAATAGAATGCCTCGTCACCGAAGTTTCGACTACCTGTTGTTGGTTCTCTTAACGTAGGGGGGAAGGAAAGTTGGAAAGTGAATAAAGGTAAGTTGAGGGCGGTCAAGGTAGCTATTCGCTGGCTCACAAGAAATGCCCTATCGGAAATCTTGGTCTAAGCTCAGTAGCATAGTGCTCTGTTGTCGCATTACACCTCACGCCACATACCTCACACAGCTTACGTTTTATACGTCGCACACGTCACACGCACACCTCATACTAGGCACGTCATGTCGAACACCTCACACCTCACCTTGCACCTCTCACCTTACATCCCCTACCTGACACATCTCCCTTCACACCTCACACCTCCGCCTCACGCCCCATTCAATATCTTGTATTGGAACTACGCCCTTGTGATCCAATCCTGTCCAGAAACGTCAAAATGTAAGATCCCAGTACTATTTACTGGATATAGTCGTGCAATCTTCCAAATAGGCTTAGATGAGGATAACTCGGAGAGCACTCTAATTACATCCACTTGAATGTATTAAGTAGGGCCCAAATAAGGCTGCGGAGTTAACCTGGAAGGAGAACGCAAGAATGACTATGAGAAGATCTCCTGCTTATAGATAGTAGGTCTAGGAGGGGAAGTAGAAGTAGAACTTATCCGCCGGAACAAGTCAAACTTTGTGCTAACACCCATGCAAGCTCCCAAACAAGATATTGATCAAGGAAGCCGTGTTCACTGTCAACTCATTATAAGGAAATAGCACAATACAATGCTAAATATTGGGGAGAGAATCTAGCAACGACAAGGAAAGTACGCGTAACAAAACAGCAAATGAGGCATTTAAACACGAGCCTTCTACGGAAACTTGGCGCAGAGGGGATCCTGGATGAGCACGTATTTCCTTATTATAAGGTCATAAAAGAGGATAATCCTGACGACTATTTCTAACTAAGCAAGGATAGTTTACATCTCCACCAAAACGATTACCGTTACTTCTGCTATGAGTTAAGAAGGGATTCGATCAAGTTCGCACCTTATCCTCCGTCGTCGCTAGACCTACACCCAATTGAGCGCTGTTCTGGCGACTAGAGGGGTTCATTAGTGAATATACTGTAAGCTCTGCTTTATAGCAAGCTATAAAGGCTGTAGAGGGGTAGGTGGGGGCATCTAGCAGGACAATACAGAGGTTGAGTCATGTCTGGCAGAACACCTACATCTTGGCTCTTCAAACGCAGCGCAAAATTATACATTGAGCATGAAGGCATTAAAAACTTTCGAATCATCTCAGCGCCAAATTTGGTCTTATTAGCACATGTTTGTTTTATTGGATTGAGGCTGCCTGACGACCACAACGCATTTTGATGAGAATCCTCCCTTGGCATCGAACCCAAGTAGCGTACTTCACCAATCTCATACTTCTCATTCCAAGCCTTTGCAGGAAGATTAAAGTTGGTTAGTCTCTCTCACCTTCCTTAAACCGTGGAATAATTGTTTCGTTGCGGGAATATGAACATAGACGGATCCAACTCTTCATAGGCAAAGTATTCTTCTTCGCGTTTATAGGGTCATGTCATGAAGTTAAAACATGTTTATTTCTATGAATTGTCGCATTGAGCTTCTCCTCCGACCGAAGGCTTCCGGTAATTGCATTGTAAGCTTACGATCCCATAGCTCAAGTGTGACGAGCTTTTCGGCGCTATTCTACGAGCTAGGACATTCCGAGCTTATTTACGCTCGTTTCTCCTAAAGTAAGCTTTCTCACCTCACCCCTTATTTGCTTCCAGAATATTAGGTTTGCAAACGTTTCAAGACAAGTTTTCATGTTTCAGTGAACTCGATATCCACAGATGCTCATAAGTGATGTACATACGTATACGTCCAAGTCACGAGCAATGGATACAAATCGAGATGTACAACGGGGCGAAATATATAAACATAAAATTCCGTACACGCTATTTTGGTCTGAGTGGACTTATGCGTATTGTTTGTCATCAGAGGCACACATTTTCAGAGAGTTCTTCAGACGAGCTCAGTGGATAATACATTATGCTTCGCTGTTCCATGGTCTTTCCTTTCCTTCTTCTCGGTTTCTCCCTAAGCAATACTCTTTTCTCTTCATATTCTCGTTCTTTCCTTAAATAAAGTCTCTCTTTACTTTGCTTGTCAAACTATGCCGTTCTTCTCAAAGCTCACACACGCATTGTGCGCCATTCTCGCTGTTGTTAATTTGGTATCCTTTACCGTGGGGTATAAGCTCGACCCCCGGTGCTCCGCAACTGGCAAAACCTGAGTTGGCAAGGCAATGAAAATGGTAAATGCGATGGCAGTGTACAGAAAAAAGCGTGCAGCCTCACTGTCCACCTGCGCCAGGGGACCCTGCTCCAAGATCTTCTCGATGCCTCTAGCGAGGATGATGAGTATGTCCTGAAGAAAGTTAGAGGTGAGTAATTCGGACCGAAATTAGGGCATGCAACCAAACGAAACCATACAGTGGCGTTTCGCCAAGCAGAAACGACAATTCCCGACGATAATCTGTGGATTCGCTGCGACAAAAAGCACTTGACCAAGGACACACATGACGATACCAAGCACTAAAACAGCAATAACAGGGAGGCGCCATTCAGTAATGCCTGCTCCCTCTGGTCAGCGTCGTACACCAAATCCTTGTCGAGGAATCCAAGGACCTTCCACTACACTTTTACGGACAATACGAAGAACACGATGAATAGCCATGCTTTTGTGCGGTGCTTAGGTTCCCCGGCTGGCGTTCTTTTAGCTGCGAACCCCGGTCAGGATATAGATGATCATAGGAGTTGTGATCTCTCCACTGTAACTTCTGGCATGAGCGTCATGGAGCTGTTTTCGTCGTACATGCTCTTCCATGAAGTAGTAATCCATGCGCTTCTTTGAACCGGGTGTGAGTAATACGTATAGAGTAGCGTTCGTGAGCTGTAACTGAAACAAACGTAGTTCCCGCTAGACCTAGAGGTTTTTTTTAAGTCGTTTATTGTTTAGTTTCTTCTGTGTAAGCGACTAAATAAAGGCGATTTTTTTTCCCCTAATATATATGGATTTTACAGTTTTACTAATTTTAGGAAAAATAAGCATTTATCGCGACAACAGAAGTCCTACTTGTAAGCAAAGACTTAATGAAACAGATTTGCAAGAGATTGTGTATCGGGCAATCCGAAGTGTATGGGTACTAGAAGGCTGCAGGGCATGCTGTCGACCAGACTAGAGAAGGTGGAGCTCCTTCAATAGCCCGTATCGCAAACGCGCATTCATACGCTCTTCTTGCTGTTAGTAGGCTGAAATACTTCCTTTTTCTATTCAGTCCTAAGTAGTAACGAACCCAAAAGGGTGGTATATGAGGGCTACATACGTCGAGAACAGCAGGCTCGTTCGTCTCGACGAAGCCCTTCTGAAAACCCTTCTCCGCCGTTCTCCCCTTAAATTCGATACCCGCAAACCCAAGGCAAATAGAGGCGGTTCCAAGCCACCCCCCCCCCCCAAAAAAAAAGAAAAAAAAAACAGGCGGAAGTAGAAATAACCCGGCGCCTGCACTTCCAAGCCCGCGCCCCCACTAACCAGCCAGGCACCTCCTACCCAAGTTCCGTCTTCAAGCCAGTCTCCATATTCCTCAGCTATAGCATCTTCTTCTATAACATCCTCCGCTGTAGCATCGTCATTGCCGTCACCAGTCTCATCCGTCTCCTCTTCATCAGCATCTTTCGTGTCTTCTACGGTATCAATCTCCTCTGGCCCTCCACGTCTTCTGGGTCACTGGCTACGTCCCTATCCTTTACTTCGCCCTCATCGTCCTCGTCGTCATCTTCTTCTTCTATGGCAGTCCAAACTGCTATCAGCAGGCTTGAGTCTAACTTCCCCTCCATTCCTGATGTAAACCTAAACAGCCCTCCTATTATCGGGAACGGTGATTCCGACACAAATGCGACGACATCCGCGAGTAGACCGATGAGTATTACCAGCCTGGCTTCAACCCTGAGCACAGGTGCCATCTTGTTTGTGGTTCGTAGCGGTCAAGGTAGTGAGAATTGTAATAGTCAAAGAACGCGAATAAGAAGGACAAAGTGAGCAAGTTCATCATGTTGAAATTGTTGGGGAGTTCTATTGTATACGCGACAAAGCAACATAAAGTTTAGAGTTCGTTAATACTAGACATGGTTTGAACACCAAGAGTCGCAACTTAGGTACGCAAAATATTTCACCAACACACCAACATTGTGATGCAAAATATCAAACCTCATTAAGAGAGAGTATAGCCGATCTCAGCTCACTCAAACAAGAGAATAAACAATGTCTCTCTCTCTATTAACCATGAATGTCTCAAGTGAAGGAAGCCTGCTATAGTCCTTATGGCGCCTCGGAGATGCCAGGCGAATTCCCAAAGGAATCGTCTGCGATTCCTAGATGGCGAATACCATCACACCAGAGTCTCTTGGAAGAGTAAATTTGCATGACTCCTACCCAACCATCCGAATCCATTTGTTCCTCTCGGTCACGTCCGGGTCTCGGAGAACGATGTCATCGCCAAGCTAGCTTTCGATGAACGCTATCGCTTCATCTTATCGTTTCCTGGAGATTGCTGAAAGCGACCAGGATTTCTTTATTCACGGTTTCAGGCAGAGTTTAATAGTAAAGGAAGATAATTTGAATTGCGGGGGCTTAGCTTTTTATCTGTTGAATATTGGATTCAAGAAGTTTCTCACAATAGATCGATTGCTATTATCGGTCAAGTGAAGGAGGTTCCTACGACACACCGCTACCTCCACCTCCTAAGATTCAAAGATAAATAGTGAAGGACATGGTGGATGAGGCTGTAAGCAGGACGACAAAGACAGTAATGATGACCACCATAACCAACAACAATAAATAAACAACCGAATCAACTCTTCACAGCCTCCAACCTTCAATCCCTTACCATAACATCATACTATCACAGCCCAATTATACTCTAGTCTCAGCCCTGTACGACTGGTCCCTTCAGCCCTATTACGCCTCCCGATCACCCACGAGTCCCCAAAGACACGCCTGCCTAAAAGGGAAGGAGCACTTCACAACCACAACCCCGTATTCCCACGCGACCCGCCACCCTCGTGTCTGCAGAACCATCTGTTCTAATGACGAGGTCAGCAGCCTCATCTGCGTGGCCTCTGGTGCAACCTAAAGCTCGTTTTTGATATAACGGTAACCATGCATACACATCCGTTACTAATGGCGTATTACCTAACGTAGAGCATCCAGTGTAGGCCGCATCTGTTCTCCCTGTTGCTGGAATCGAGGAGCATGTCAAACAAATGCAATTTTCTGTCCTAAAGCTCTCACATGTTCCATTCAGCGACAAGATGCGGTACAGCAGCCCCAGAAACACAAAAACTATGAAATAGGAAGCATCCATATAATATATAATGTATCGTAGACATTGATTCTCATTCTATTAGTGAAAGAAAAGGGGGGTAGTTGAGCACTAAAGAAATTACACCGGGCTCTCGCCGTCTCATTTTCGTAAAAAGGTTGCCAGGTTCAACCCTATCCTTTGCACTAGATCCCTATCTCCCCAGCTCCACCAACCATCCCCAATCGCTAACTAGTCCGTCCCATTCTACTAAACGAGCCAGTGCAAAAAGGGGAGACGAGTGAGATACTAAGGGCCCAGATGAATGCACGGAATGGTCAGTCCGTCAGTCAGATAATACAGATAATCGCATCCACCCGCTCTCCTCGTCTTGTCATGTCAGATCGAATTTGAATGATGAGTGAGTTTTTCTCTTTACCAAGATAATGAAGTAAACCACGCAGCCCCAGCCTGCTGGATAATCAAGCATAAGCACACCGAAAACGCCAGCACCGCAACATCGAAGGGAGATTAGGAGGACCGGGGCGAGGATACAACAAGGCCGTTGATGAATTTTGGACGGATTGCTGAGTATGGAGGGACATTGCGTTTGTAGCTCTACCTCCTCCTGACACAGAAGAAGAGACCGCTACGACCAAGGAACCACAAGCAGCCGATGAAGCGGATAATGGAGAGGAAGGCGGTGGCCCACAGAAGTGCCTGGAAGAAACGGGCGGTACGCTCGGTGGCTTTAGACTGTGGTTGAATTAATAACTAGATTACTAGGGAGTTATAAGTAACTTACACTGAAGCCGAACTGGTCGAAGCTGTCCTGCGTGATGACAACCGCAAGCATAGCATTTGAGAAAATCCAGGACGTGGTAAGATGCGTTCTGAAAGACTTGTACGAATCTTCGAGCGTCTTTTCTGTGGATTCCACTGGCGCGATATACGGGGCCAGAGCACGCTTCACAGTAGCCTCGAACTGACTGTCAATGTCGGCCTGTGGTAGATCTGGCTCTTCTATAACAGTGTGCTTGCCATCTGATGCTTTTTCAGTCTTTGCAGAAGGAAGAGCATCGGCCTTGTCAGAACCCTTGGTACCCCAAGAAACATCATGCCAATTGCTGAACGCGTAGACGTTAAGAATGTTGATGTAGGACGACATGATGAGGAGATACTGCGGAAAGGATGTGAACATGTGCCACGGGTCGAGGTACAAGAATGAAGCCACGAAGTAGAGACCGAAGGTTGCACACAGAGCGATGAGAATAATACCGACACCATCTGAGGCGAAGAAGGATTCAACAAAGTTCTTGGCCGACGAGTCGTCCAGTCCAACACTCTCGCTACTCGTGAACGCCTTGACGACGAGATAGATCGAGAGGATGATAATGTAGAACTGGATGGCGCCGAAGACAACGAACGAGGTCAGGTACGTCCATCGCGAACCCTTAGGCCTGTTACCGAGAGCCAGGATGAACTGGAGCAGCAAGAAGCCGAGGTAGATGTACTTGAGCACAGTGTTCACAATCGGGGTAGCAGTGTTTCCAAATGGCCAGGCTTTCTTCTTCCCATCGGTGCCGGGAGTGCCGACAAGATCCATAATGACCGAAGTCGTAAGCCAGAAAGAAGCCAGAGCGAACCAGGAGAGGAATACGGTGAAAGTGTTGTAAAGCATCTGAATGTGGAAGAAGAACATGCGGATGATATTGTGCCCGCTCTTGTACATGCGGCCGAAATGCATCAGGGCGTAGATACTGGCGGCAAACGAACCGTTCAGCCAACGACGACGTTGACCAATGAACTCAGCGGCACCCTCAGGAACGTCCGTTTCACCCTTAGAGGCCTTGACGTAGGTCAAATGCCACTTGGAGCCGGCCTTTGCGACCAGTTCGAAGCAGAGAATACGATCTTCGGCCAAGAACATGTTCTTCTTGAAAATGTTCATACCCTCGATACCTTTCTTCCCGAGGATCTTGGAAAGCGTGTGGTCACCGTGGAAATACTGCTCCAGAGGCCTGCCCATGATGGCGCGGAAACGGTAGGCAGAGAAAGCACCGGGCAACACAGAGACGTAGCCAAACGACGATTCGAGAGGCTTGTCGAGAATGTTACTGATCTTGTACTCGAAGTTCTGTGCAGCCACCAGCGGGTTGAGGAGGTTCTTCCAGCCACGACCCAACATGGCGTGGATTTCACCGCAAGCACCACCGAGGTCCTTGTCGTTGTAGAAGCCTTCCCACAGAGCGAGGAGAGACTTGGGGCCGGGCTTGGTACCGGCATCGAGAAGAATGCACACTTCGGGGTTCAGGATGCGGCCGAAAGCGGTGAAAAGCCATCGATGGGAGTTGATCTTCTTGCTGTTCTTCTGTTTCAAGCAGAACATCATTTGGACTGGGGGGAGGGTGGCGGCGCTGTCGTCGTGGGGGCGAATCAGTTGCTGGTTGGGCGTGACGGACAATTGAGTCGTGTATTCGAACTGTGGCTGTTAGAAGACCGATTTGTAGCACTGTTCGTCTTTTTGACTTACAATATGAGCCACCGTCTCCTTTCCGTCGATGTCACGCTTCATAACACCATCCTGGTAGACTCCAACCGTGGCGAGCAAATCGAGCGTGCCCTTGTCGCAGGGGTCGATACCGTCAAAGACCAAGCAGACGACAATCTTCTGCCAGGCCGGGCCGCCCTTGTTCCAGAACTCGGACTTCTTCAGGTTCACAATGTCGCGGATATTTTGCATAACGCCATGGAGCGTTCGAGCCGTCAGAACCTTGTCTTCGTTGTAGTATGTGATGGCAATGAGCAGCTCTGTGTGTCGGTTGTACATGGCTGGACGGAGATTGTAGCCGTTCTTCAGGGTGAAGTCGTTCGGGTCGCAGGTAGCGGCCGTGTCTGGCAGCTGTCAGCTCCACAATTCTCGGACCCAAAAACCCCAACAACCAGCGTTCTGGGGTAACATACATCGCATGTGAGTAAACTCCTCGCTGCCGCTCTCGAGGTCATTGCGATACTTGGCCTGGATGGCATTCTGGATGGCGCTGGGCACGGGGTAGTCGGCACTCAAGACCGAGCCTTGCACGAGCTTGACCTTGCGCGTCATGCCGCGTTTGAGGCCGCCCCCCGCCCCACCGCCGGGCTGCTGCCGCTGTCGCCAGGCCTCGGTGGAGCTGGTATCACTCCTCGAGTACGGCGAGGGCGCGCGATGCGGAGCGCCAAGCTCGGGGGGGTCATAGTGGCCGCCCGTCGCCGAGTAGGCATCCGAGCCGGGGTGATGTTGTCCTGGGTACTGGGTGGTGGTGCTGTCGGTGGCATATGTCTCTGTCAAGCTGTATGTCGACTGCGGGCGCACCTCAGGCCCGCCGTAGACGCCATGATGGTCGTCAAAGGGGCCGGGGTTGGCACCTGTGGGATTCGAGTGCAGCAGCGACCGAGCCACCTCGTCGTCCTCGGAGCCGTGGTGATGTGGGGGGTCGTTGTAGCCCTGGCAGCGAGGTTAGCAGGCATCGTGCGGAGGGAACGGGGAAGATGCAGAGGGCAGCATACTCCTGAGTGAGGATCGCCGTATCCTCCTGGGCCGTTGTACGCCATGACGTGCCGCTGTCCGGGGGCGTGAGTGTTGCGGCGGGGGGTCGGGAGATGGAGGAGGGGAGGGAGGGTTGGTGATGGGGTGTGTAGTGATGGATTGAAAAAAAGAAGGGAAGGGTGCGGGCCTGGGGTGTTGATAAAGGCGATGGCGAGAAAAGTGTTTGAGCAGCTGAGGAGGTGGAGGTGCAGCCTCAGCCCCTTGTAGGGAATGGGAATGGTTTGGAGCGCCTCTGGCCCTGTGCTGCGAGCTGGGGCTGGGCTTGCACCAAAGGAGTGCGCTAAACGGCCGCTGAGAGGGTGAAACGCGCCCGGAATGTTACTGGTTCAAGACAGCTGCGCTCCCTGTTTCGCAATTGAATGTGCGCGGTCCTTCATCAAAGATTGCAGGAATGTCGTCCAAGTCGCCGGATGAAGAGGATATAATGCTGGAGATCGCTCGTCGTGGATAACAACCTGAGCGCATCTCCCAAAGCCTGCTGCACGTCTGTTCCCTCTGGCAACCTGTGGCGTAGCTAGCCCTCTGCCAGTGAGAGCAGCTAAATTTAGAGGCCACCTTATTCAGCTGCTCTCGCTAGAAATACCTGCATGATGGACGGGCATGCCGTGAGCATTCATGCTTACTCCATCACGCTCAGCCTCACCTACCCTCGTCCAGCGAGTTGAAAAGTAGACAAAAGCACGAGAGCAGTATAGTGTCATCGGTGGGTCATTGCGACGGTGCCGCGCTAAAGATATTTCTCCTAAGGGGACACTGAGGTGCCGCATGGCCCTTTGAGGGGAGCAGGTGTGTCTGCAGTGATATGTCGTGTGCACATCACTCGTCTTTGTGCACCAGCCTACCCTACCTATTGAGTAGGTCTACGACATCGTGCCCTCTCGGGCAGGATCTCTTAGAAACCTTGCATCTTGCACGCCTTGAGCCTCCAGTCCGCAAATAGGAGAGGACGTCAGCAAACCCTCATCTCCCGGCACGTACCGTGTAATTGGGTACCCAATCCCTGGGAAAATCTGCCGTCGGCGCTGTCTACTTTTTGCTGCCGTAAATGGCCTTCTTTCTGCTGCCCTCCCATCTGTTTCGTATGAATCGTACGTACCTCACAGCTGGTGTGGAGAATGGGCACTTCGTGTTAGGATGGTGAGGCTTGAATGTGGTGGAGTGGCGGCGGAATCCACACCGCCCTCACTAGTCCCCCACCACACGGTCTCGTCGACACATGTCAACATCATACGAGAGTTGCAATTCGCGCTCGGAGGTTTCCATTCCACATCAATCACCGTTTGTGGGACCTGGACATTCGCAGTCGTGCGGTCCCGGGCAGTTCCAACATATTCGTTCATGCAATACACCGTGTCCGACGCTCTGTTGGTCTTCACTCATCGCCCAATCATGTTGTGTGGTTAGGTGGGCTGCATGTCTTGAGCGCTGCTTCCTTTCCGTCAATCCACGGGATTAGAAGACTCCTCGTTCAACCTCCCCACCACAACCACCACAGCCGCCTTCTGACGGTCCACTCGAAAATATCTTCCCAATCAAGCTTCCATTGACCAATTCCAGCTGAGCATTTCCCCGGATCTGGCCCAACCGAGACCTTCAACGGCCCTCAGCCACCGCCCTCCGCGCTTCATACCATTCGCCCTATCATTTCCGGTAATCGGATCCTTTCATCTAAATGTCACCAGCCACACCTTCTAGAACATTACCTAAATCCAACTTCCATCACTCTATCGCTTCTGCTCCATCAACCGGGAACCCTGCTTCAGCCGCACTCTCTAGAGATGAAACTGCGGCGCGCGACAATATTGATATCGCCAGCCATTCACGTGGTCATGTGTTTGAGCATCCTGATCATGTAATCCCATCCATTAGATACGACGGGGTGCAGAATTTAGTTATTGTTTGCTGCCATTCCATTTTCCATCCCGATGCTTCCTCTTCCAGCTTTCCTTTGTATAGCCCGTATGATGAGCGCAATTGGCATCTTGCTCCTTTCCAGGAATCGAATCCTAACACAGCCAAGCCTGGAGAGCATGAAACATTTCTCGCCCATCTCACCGCCGGTCTGGACGCGCTGACTGTTGGTTCGTGGGCCGGCAACACTCTTCTCATCCTCAGCGGCGGTGTCACAAAGCGCCCCCTCACGCCTCTCAGTGAAGCTCGTTCTTACTACAATGCTGCCCTCGTCCAGGCGATGTTGCACGGCCATCGACACGGTGGTCGTGCTCGGAAGCTGTTCGACCAAGGCCGTCTACTACTAGAGGAATACGCCACCGACTCTTACCAGAATCTGCTCTTCAGTATCGTGCTTTTCCGGCAGACAACGGGAGTCTACCCAAAAAACATCCGTATCATCACCCATGCTTTCAAAGCTAAAAGGTTTCTCGAATTGCATGCGCGAGCTATTGGGTGGGAACCCGATCGAATAAGAGTGCAGGGTATTGACCCCGTCATGTCCGGCGCCGAGTATGAGGACACTGTCAGAGGCGAAGAACGCTTCGGCTACGCACCTTGGTTAGAGGACTCTCACGCAACTGGAGATCTCTTAAGCCGCAAGAGGAAGCAGCGTGGATGGGTGGAAGAAACATCGCAAGAGCTTGGAGAGGGCCTGGAATGGAGCGTCAGATGTTTACTCAGTGGCGAGCCTATTGATGGCTTGCTCGGGGACATGCCATGGATATCGAGAAGCGATCCTAAGGAAAGCCCATATAGCACCTCGGATAAGCCTGAGTAGCCCGAACAAACTACCTACCCCTCCAGTGCCTCTTCCAGGAGAGTGAGATACGAGTATCCACCTTGGCGTTCCTCTTCGAAGCCTACAAGCCGCATATAGCGCTCGCGCGGGTACTCTAAGTGAGCTCCTCCGTGAATATCGAGCCATTTGTTCTGCTTTCCTATGAAGCAGCGCACTCCTGTGTCTCAACTTGAGCAAAAACTGTTGTTTTGTTCGAATATGACGCACAGAGGGTGTTTTCTTGAGGATCGAGGCCATCATACAGAACATGGTGCTCTTTGATTATCTGCGCTGCTGCATCCCTACTATCACACCTACTCCCTCGAACGAAGCATCCATGTATAAAGAAGCCCTGACCCCTCGGGCTACTCGTTTCTCGCAAACTCCCATCAAATCCTCGAATTTCTTCCTTTTAGCAGCCTCACTAAAATGTGTTCTCCCGCTGAATCAGAAAAGCTCCCTACCGCATACAGCACCTACTCCCACTCCAGATATGCTCACCACTCTTAAATAAGCCCGCTCCAGCCAAGCTAGTGAAGCCACAGAATTTCTCCATAGCTCCATACGACATGATGTAGAGCAGTGTTTATGCGTACATAGGGTTTCGCTACTCTCTCGCGCTCGATGCGTCATCAATTCGTCCGGGACGTCTAATAGCCGTCCATCCACGGCCATACCAAAATTGACCCGGCCACCGTAGATTGGGGAAGTCCGAAAGGGAATAGCAAATTTGGTATTAAGTGGCTGTATAATTCGTGCTACATTCTCTACCAAGATGTATTTCTCTTCTTCCCTGGAGACCTCGAAGTCAGTCTTACACAAGCTGTCCATTATGCTTGGTTCTTCAAGACAAAGTTGATAGCCAACATCCCGTGTATCAAAATCGACTCCGAGCCATGGACAGATACAGATGAGGGGTAGATGGGAATATTACTAAAAGGAATATCTATCGATGAGGCAACAATCAAGAGATAGTGCGAACCCTTGCCAACTCTGAGCGTGGATCCGATCGCGAGCGAAAAGTTTTTGTGCAGTGGAATAAAGAGCATCGGCACCTCCTCCCTTCAGCAAGTGAGGAGTAAAGAACGTAACAAGTTCCTGAACAGGATATCTAACTAACTTAGAGAAGCATGTTATTGAAGTCACTGATACGCAATGCACAAGGTTACTTGAAAGGATTGTCATTATTCTTCACTCTTGAACAAGTTTGCATTAACCAATCCGACATGTTTTAGAACCCAAAATCCCTTACGAACTAACCCAAAAATCCGTGAGGCACTACCAGCCTTCCCATCATGGATACCCCCGGTATGTATGCAAGCTTCTGTCAATATTATTGTATTATCCCGAAACTCCCCACAGCTTCTCCATGTTATAAATCACGCTATTCTAAGCCAAGAAAACCGAGAAGGCGCTTCTAGATTACTGCTGGACTTGCGTTACACGATGCTACTCCTCACATAGACACTGAATTCCTGAGGCCGTCATCGTACCCACACTCTAATTTGACATTTCAAAATATCCCGGGGACTCAAATCCCTACCCAAGTCCTATCGACCTAGAAATAAAGCCCCAGGTGGAGCATCCATAGATCAACTACCCCGCGGAACTGAGAATCTCTGAATGCTCGATTTGCCACCAGACGCTCGAGGAGAAAAATATAAATAGCTTAGTGGAGAAGCGACCCATTAAGACAGCCAGCAATTATATCTTTAGCTACTCGTGCTAGAGAGTGTGGTTTGAGAAGAGGAGATGGCCTGACTGGTTGACTTGACTTCGTCGTCTTGCTGGATTACGAACCAAGCGCCAAGGATTCCTTCAGAGCTGTTATAAGTTCTTATAGCGGCGTGAATGCTCGCCTCCTTTTGCTTTTCCCCAGAGCCGCATTCATATCTCGATTAGCTGCCTGTGATATATAGACCCACAATCAAGATTCGGATGCTAGACGCTTCAGGATATAAACTTAAGCAATAACAATGCAAAACACCTAGCTCGGAACAGGCTAAGTGCTGTGCTTGAAGGCCGTTTCGACTGATTCCGTGAGGCTTTTCGACTCCAAGTTCACACACGGGCTGGGTTCTTGAAATTCTGGAGCAGTCGTCATTCTGGTCCCCGGTGGTAGATTCTCCGCTAGTTGATATCTATGGATAATATTAGGTTGAAAGTTCTGAGGATCATAGGGCAGATATTCTGTGACATGAGGGCCACAGAATATTGACAGAACCGTGGAACTGATTTCGATTCCTTTGATTTCCATGATAAAGTTGACATCTGACGAGACCCTGATATAGGGGCAGATTCGGACCTGCAGCTGACTGTCCGTGATAAGACAATGGTCGCCCACAGCTGCTCGTTGACGATATGTCTACGCTTCGGAAGGACAGTGAGCCCCCACGCTCGGTTCCTTTCTCCACCAATTAAAGTGTCCTATCTGCTAGTTTTGTGGGCTAACTTCCCCGCAGATACGCTGCAAACTGCCCCTGCTCTACCCACCGAGAATCCACTCTCTCAACTGTTAACCCCAATGCTGGTATCGTGAATACCGTGTTCAAGAATTAGGCCAGTTGCTTTTTGAATTCTGTCCTGGTTGGTCCAAGATACCGGATGAATCCCCCGGGCGCGTGCCATGTTGTGGGAGCAAGGGGAAACGATTCGATGAGGGGAGAGCGCCACACACACTGGCTCAGCGTCTTGGGTCTCCGATGCGGGCAATCAGACTGACAAGGCGGAGCCCACGATGAAGCTTTTGGCGAAGTGAGGAGGTGGTGGGAGCTTACGCCGCGCAGCTCCTCGGTTGCACAAATTACATCATGGAGTGGGCAATGCTTTTGTCCTGCCGTCCACATGAACCTGAGGGATTTGACACATTGTGCACTCCCACCTCACCTCTTCTTCTTAAACGACTGACGTGCTTTCCTCACTGAGCTGTAAACATTAATGGCGTCCCTAAGATCGAGAACAATGCTGGCTCGTCGGCTTGCCGGCGCTCCTGCGGCCTCGGGGATTGCACCCCTCATCACCCCTCTTCTTCAGAGGCGGGCTGTACGAGGTCTCTCAACTCATCAAGCCAAGTCGCCATACAGCACTAGAGAGAGTGTTGGAGAGAAGACCTTCAGCCAATTCGATGTTGGGGGGAAGGTGTTTGTAGTTACAGGTGCTGCTTCACGTTATTCTCCCATGTACTGCAGATAACCCTTGTGACTGAGCTAACCAATAACCAGGTGGTGCACGCGGGTTGGGGTTGTGTATGGCTGAAGGGCTAGTAGAAGCTGGTGGGAAAGGTATGTAGATCTGGCATACCTTTTGCAGCCTAATCGCGGATTGACGGGTTACTTACACCTTGTAGTCCATTGCTTAGACATACTTCCGGAACCAGATAAGGTCTTCTTCCGTGCGAAGGAACGAATCTCTACCGAATACAGTGGTGCCCTAGAGTACCACCAGGTTGATGTATCGAATGACAAGATGGTGGAGGAGGTGATAGGGGATATTGCCACGAAAAGGCAGCGACTGGACGGGCTGATAGCTGGTACATAATTGACGCATATCCTCAGTTGCGAATGGTTAGTTTGGAAGTCTTTATGGCTAACTTGGTCACCCAGCTGCTGGTATCCAGCAATGCACCTCCGCTCTCGACTACGCCGCGTCCGACATTGCACGCATGCTTGCCACAAACTACACGGGTGTCTTTCTCACAGCTCGGGCTTGTGCAAGGCAGATGTACAAGTATAAGATCCAAGGGTCCATGTGTCTGATCGCCTCAATGAGTGGGAGTATCGCGAACAAAGGGTTCATTGCTCCCGTTTACAATTCGTCCAAAGCAGCCGTCATCCAGCTGACGAGAAATCTGGCCATGGAATGGGGCAGACTCGAGAAAGATGGCTCTGGTGGCATAAGGGTGAACAGTCTGAGCCCGGGGCATATCCTGACACCAATGGTGGAAGAGAACTTCCGGAAAGGGGAGGCAGATCGGAAAGCATGGGAGGAGAACAGTATGCTGGGAAGAATAAGTACGCCTGAGGAATACAAAGCAGCTGGGCTATTCTTGCTGAGCCGAGCAAGCAGTTACATGGTGAGGATATGTCTTCTCCCGGCACGTGTTACGGCGCCAGGGCTAACAAATGGTAGACTGGTACAAACCTGGTCATCGATGGTGGCTGTACAGCATGGTAGATATGTAGCCGATTCTCTCCATTGATAGTTTGGCATTCGAACAAGGGCGTTTCGATGGTTTGAACTAGAGCTCAATGCCTTCATGGGCTGGTGAGGAGAGACAAGAACCCACCTCGGTGCCAAGAGGGTAGAAGTGAAATTGTGCAATAGTGCAGCATATGATGGGCGTCAGCGCTGCGCTTATTAGAACCAATGGAAAGAGGCGCACCCTACGTTGTTACTTCGATGTAGTACCATGCTGAGTGATGACGGAGGAGAACCTTGGAAGGGAAGATGGAGTCTTCGCGCCAAAACACAAATACGCTAGCTCGAATGTAGTCTAGCGCCATAGTCCGGGCCATCTGTCCTTCCGTCACCCTTTCCAGCAAAACACCAGAAGCTCATATTTGGGCACGTTCACAACCCCGGACAACACAGTCATGGACCGATCGTATCGACTCTTAAACTACCTCATTCTCCTTTTCGCTCTCCCATTTGCGTTGGCATTGAAATTCGACATCAATGCTGTCCCGCAGCACGACTCAGCCAAATATGAGCGGTGCATTCGAAACTTCGTGGCCAAGGACCAGCTGGTAGTTGTGACGGCCATTGTGAGCGGGTATAGGGGGGATGGACAGACACTCAACATGCATGTAAGTTGGATTTGAGATACAGCTCAACCAGTGGGCTGGGTTTTGTGCACAAGAATCAATGGCTGATAGCACCGCCCACAGATTCGCGATGCGATGGGCAATGACTATGGAAGGCCAAAGGATGTCTATGGCGAGAACAGATACGCCTTCACTTCGCATGCCGACTCCGCATTCGATGTTTGCTTTGAGAACATTCTGTCGTCGAGTATGCTCTCACTGACATCGCCCTAGACGCAGCTAACATATGAATTACTTAGCTCATCAAATGAACCCTAGTAGACACGTCGAGCTTGACATCGATATCGGCGCCGATGCAAAAGACTGGTCTGCCATCCAGGCTGGCGAGAAACTAAAACCGGTCGAGGCTGAACTGCGACGGATCGAGGAAGTCGTGGGCGAAATTGTCAACGAGATGGACTACCTCCGTGGCCGCGAGCAGAAACTCAGGGATACTAACGAGAGCACAAACGAGCGTGTCAAGTGGTTCGCGTTCGGCACCATGGGCATGCTGGTTGGGCTTGGTGCGTGGCAAGTTGTGTACCTAAGGGCATACTTCCGGTCGAAGCATCTTATCTAGGTTGCTTTTGGCGGAATCGGGGTCGAAATTTGGATGGACGGAGCACTCTGCATATTGAGCAGATTAGCGGGAAGATTTGGGATTGAAGTGATACACTGCGCGCGGTTATGATAGGGAATTGTACGACCAGCGGACTCATAGCGATGCGTTGTGGACTGGCCAGAAACATTGTTTCTTGCATACTCTTTGAAGCGGAGCCTGGTTTGGCGTTGGTAGGGTCACATGCATTGGAATTACAGCTCGAAAAGTGTCCAGCACGGGTTTGCTTCTTCCACTCTCGTGCCTGGGCTGAAGCAGGCTCAAGTATTGAACCCTCGAGTCCCACCTCATGATGACTGTCTCTTATCTTTCCACATTCAACGCTTCCTTCTCACTGGTCTTTCCTCTTCGAGTGTCCGCCGCTTCCTGTTGAACCTGATAAGAACTCCACCGAGCTTGACCAATGTCGCGCTCCAACTCATGCCCTTCACGCTCACCTTCAACCTCTTCTTATCGCCACAGCTCCTCCAATTCTCCATTATTCGTTAACCTAACCCACAACTCTTCTCAACTTTTCAACTTCACAATTATCTCACTACACCCAGCAGACGTGGCGAATATCGATAATACAGAAGAGGTAGTCTTCCTTCAAGTCGCACCGGGCGGCACCCCTGTTTACTACCTCGTTCTTATTACTTCCGCTCGAGTTTCTCTGCCGTCCACCCAATCACGCTCCTCATCCCGACTGCAACCTTCCCCTTACCCTCGACTGCTAAGCCAGCCCCAACGAGCTCTCCCCGCCGATCCTTCCGTGAGACCTCGGCCTCAGACCTGCCGTCCGTCCAATTCACGCCCTCGAGGTGCCCCGCCTCCTTTCTTCGCCGACACCTCTCCGCCTAGCTACCAGGAGAAAGACCCCTATCGTCACCACTGGCAACGAGGTCTTGCCCGAACTCGGAAACAGGTTCTGGACTTCTGGAACCTTGTTTGGCGTATCTTGAAAAGAATCGCAAACGACGGCCTGGAGATTCTACAGTTGCTGTTTTGTGCGCCGTATATGGTCAACAGAGAACGGTACATGGTGATTTAGGGGCCGAATCAAGATTCAGACACATTCACTAGAGTCCAAGGGTTGGCGGTGACAGGGCCGAACAAACTAACGCTCTGGTCTACGGCCGAGGGTCTCACGAAGCGGACTCGTGAATTCTTTCTATTTCAGCCAATTCGGCTATCCCCGCTTTCTCATCGCGTTTCTTAAGACCTTCTCAATCTTCTGTATGCGTCTGAACGATGTCCCGGTAAAAGCAAACCGACCCGTTTGGTTGTACCGCTTTGACTTGGTCAGGCGTGGTCGGTTGCCTCCCTTTGCACAACACCCTAAGTCCCACTCCGCAGATCAACGATCACATCACGACGCTATCCTTCAGTAGTTCAAAGCCAACCTGAACCGGGTCTTTAAGCCCAGAAACCAGGACCATGGGTAATCAGACAGACTCCTTCCTGCGTGATTTTTGGGACATACACCTCCACATGAATCCTCCTCCAGTTTTGTTTCCTCCAGGGCCAAGAAGGAGCAGAAGTCACGGTCCCGCTAATACCAATGGCGTTGAAATCCCAAAAGCTGAAGGACCACCCACTCCCAAGAAAACTATCTCAGTTCGGCAAGTATTCTTTGGAAAGTTCCTTCGTCTCAATGAAAGCCAGCGGAAGAAGATCAAGGCCATACTCAAGAGCTTTCTGGCGTGGTTATCATGGAAGGCGAAGTGTCTGAAATGCGAGCTCTCCAGAACATATCTGAAACTCAAGTACATGGCCTGGAAGACGAAGTACGAGGCGAAGAGCTTCTGGACAGATGGTTCAGAGAGATGTTATTCGATATAGGACCTCGTGTTAGATCTCCTCAAGAAGGCTAGAGAAGTCATCGCCCATGATATTAACTCCGCTGTAGGGGTGCCCCTTTACGTGGCTGAAGGTTTAGATGGCACTGTTACAGGGGAATACTTCTGCCTTGTCGTCGGAATCGGTCCAGCTTTTTGTGATAGAGGGGCCGTCCTATTCTTGAAATTTTCGCTTAAGCAATTGCGAGTCCTCGACGTGGTGTTTGGCTTACAGTGAGACGCAGGTGAATACAACAAGTCCTAAGACATATTTCGCTTTAAAGTTATATCTAATGAAGGCTGGATAAGTTGGAAGTGAGCCAGAGCGGATGCCTTTAGAGTATGAATCGAGACAATGATATCCTTGGTGAAGGGCCGCCTCTCCTGAATGTGGATCCATTGACTGAAGAAAACGTTCCTAGATAGATCAGCTTTGCTGTGGCCTTCCGCAAAGTACAACATCCTCCCCAAGTGGTATCCATTGGACGTCCTTCAACCTCTCCACTGGCACTTTTACCCCATCTTCTACTCTCTCATCCGGGCACACAAGCACACCTCCCTTCCCTAACCATGTTGGCGCGATGGTGATAATTATTGAATCAACCAATCTGATATTGTCAGGACGCAGAAGATCGTTGATGACGGCTCCTCCACCCTCAATCATAACACTCTTAATCCCTTCTTCCCGCAGCGCCTTGAGAATATCCACCCAACCTATCCTCTTCCTCTCCTCCTGATCTTGGGCAGCTGGCAACACAATCACCTTGCCCCCACACTCTTCCAACAACCTCCTCCTCCCACCATCGAGCACCACCCTCGAAACAACAAACGGCGCCCTCCCCCTACCCTCCCTCACTAACTGCATAACCTTGCTCGACTCGCCAACCTCCCACCTCCCCCTCGGATCTAAAACAACCGGCCTAGGTTGTCCTTTAAGTCCCTCGCCGCCGTAACCCCCGACGCCGGAGATCCGGCAGTTTAGACTAGGGTTGTCAGCAAGGGCGGTGCCAACGCCGATTAAGATGGCGTCGTGGCGGGAGCGGAGGTAGTGGGTCATGGATTTTGATAATGGACCTGAGAGAAGGGTTTGGGTACCCGGGGAGAGGGAGAGGGAGGAGTCAAGGGAGGTGGCGAATGTGAGGGTTACGTGGATGGGGGTTTGAGGTTGGGAGAGAGAGGGAGGGGGGAGGTAGGGAGATATCTGGGAGCTTTGAGGGGAGGGGAAGGTGAGGGCACCGCGGGTTAGAGGAGGCATTTTGGGCGGGTGGTGGGAGAAGGAGTGAAGGGGACACAGTGTTTGAGATGGGCTTGGGGCAAATGGGTGCCATTTCTTGGGACTTCCAAGTTCGACTACGTGGGCTGTTTATTCGCCACCAAAACAATCCTACCAAACCCTTTTCAAGATAAACTGAATCATATTATCGAACACAAACCATGCAAGATCCGTGGTGCTGACTAAACGGATTCAGGCAGCGGTGGCGCGGCGGGCAAAGTTCGGCAAACCGCATCACGACTCAATAACGGCCCGCCAGCAATGTCGTAGCCTATCTTTCACGAACTTCTTATACATTCACTTTCACGCCTGCGTCATACAACACTTTCCTTCATATATTCCTGCATCCTGCGTTTTCCTGGCTGCCATCCTTCCCCATAAACTAGTGTCTGTGACCAACCAATTTCTGTCTTACCTCCGGTTCAACCTGAGGAACTGTCCACGAATAGGAGCACCGACCCTAAGGCTGGTTGCTGCGCATTCGCCAAAATGCTGAAGATATGGTCTATGGTGAGTTCTTTCCCTGGTGGAGGGAGCTAGATGCTGCCAGAAGGGTTTGTTACTGACACCACCACAGAAGCAGAAACAGCAGCAGGATGAAGCTGCGGCGACCGGAGGTGCGAAGAAGAAGAAGGTCACGGCTGCTCAGCTACGAGTACAGAAAGGTATTTCCATAATATTCACTCTTCAGCACATGCTGCACTCTCCCTACACGGCCTTAACCCAAGCCTCCCAGATCTCTCCGAACTCTCACTTGGCTCGACGATGAAGACACACTTCGCAAATCCCGACGATATTCTCAACTTTGCACTCACGATAGAACCGGATGAGGGCATGTACAAAGGCGGCCGCTTCGTCTTCGATTTCAAGATCAACCAGAACTTCCCGCATGACCCGCCCAAGGTCAAGTGCACGCAGAAGATCTACCACCCGAATATTGATCTCGAAGGGAATGTGTGCCTGAATATTCTGCGCGAGGATTGGAAGCCGGTGCTGAATCTTAATGCGGTGATTGTAGGGTTGCAGGTGAGCCACACGAGTCTAGCTGAGCCGACAAAAGGTGAACATAGGACGCTAACGTAGGATAGTTCCTCTTCCTTGAACCAAACGCAGCAGATCCGCTAAATAAGGAGGCAGCTGAGGATCTGAAGGCAAACCGCGAAGGCTTTAAGCGCAACGTGCGGGCGTCTCTAGGTGGGGGCACCGTCAAGGGCCAGAGCTTCGACAGGGTGCTAAAATGAGCAAGAGGATGGTGCGCATGATGTCCAACCATTCTTGAGCAAGCATTTTCGTTTTGGCGTCCTTTGGAGCGAAGGCGCAGGCATACACAGGGTCATTGCTTCGAGTTCCTCAGCTTCACAATCGATTGGAATGGTACCTGCATGAGAGATGACGATGGAAGACGGGGCGGTTTTTGGGTAGAGCAGGAAGGACTTAGATGAGTGGACGAGCGATCGTTACTGCACTCAATACGGAGGGATGTAGAAACGCTTTTTTCATTTACCAGACTAGTTAGCTTAGATTCCATATGGGCTTTTCGGAGAGATGCTCTTCCCCCCCGACACGTGATTTTGTCTCGCTGACCGCCCCGGCCGCCCCGCCGACTTCGGGTCAGAGAAGCTCGGACGATAGGGAAAATCCAGAAATCCCCAGACGCACAAAAGCCACTTTAAAAACGCACACTCGTCCCCTCGCAGTTCAATTCACGATAGCTTTCCACACATCTACTATGGCTTCTCGACCTGCCGTCCGCGCTCTCCGTCAGTCTGTCAGGCAATTGGCTGCCCCTGCTGTGCAGAGCCGAGCGTTCGTCTCAGTTTTAAATGCTACTCGTGCTAGTGTGGCTGCTGCTCCCAGGGCGGCAGTGACTTCGCAATTCCAGCAAGTGAGGGGCGTGAAGACAATTGACTTCGCCGGTACCAAGGAGACTGTCTATGGTTCGTTGAATTCGTGTCCTGTTGTGCTGAGCGAGTATTGACCTCAGTCTATAGAGCGAGAGGACTGGCCGAAGGAAAAGCTCTTGGTGAGTCAGCCACCCCTCCATTGTGTTCAATTGCTGCTCGGTAGACACTCCTGCTAATACACGAGCTAGGACTACTTCAAGAATGACACCCTCGCCCTCATCGGCTACGGCTCCCAGGGCCATGGCCAAGGTCTCAATCTCCGCGACAACGGCCTCAACGTCATCGTCGGTGTGCGCAAGAACGGCGCTTCGTGGAAGGAGGCTGAGCAGGATGGCTGGATCCCCGGAAAGAACCTGTTCGATATCGATGAGGCGATTGGCAAATCCACCATCGTCATGAACTTGCTCTCAGATGCTGCCCAATCGGAGACGTGGCCGGCCATCAAGCCCCAGTTGACCAAAGGAAAGGTATGGGCATTCACACTAATATGGAGTGACTTGAGCTTACTAATCTAGACGCTCTACTTCTCCCACGGCTTCTCCCCCGTCTTCAAAGACCTCACCAAAGTCGACGTTCCGTCCGATATCGACGTCATCCTCGTCGCGCCCAAGGGCTCTGGCCGCACCGTCCGCACGCTCTTCCGCGAGGGCCGAGGCATCAACTCCTCGGTCGCCGTCTTCCAAGACGTGACCGGCCAAGCCAAGGAGAAGGCCATTGCCCTCGGCGTCGCAGTTGGCTCGGGCTACCTCTACGAAACCACCTTTGAGAAGGAAGTCTACTCGGATCTGTACGGCGAGCGAGGATGCCTCATGGGCGGCATCCACGGCATGTTCCTCGCACAGTACGAAGTCCTGCGGGAGCGCGGCCACAGCCCGTCGGAAGCCTTCAACGAGACTGTCGAAGAGGCTACGCAGTCCTTGTACCCGCTGATTGGTGCAAATGGCATGGATTACATGTACGCGGCGTGCTCGACGACTGCGCGTCGTGGCGCCATTGATTGGAGCAAGAAGTTCAAAGATACGCTGAAGCCGGTGTTCAATGAGCTGTATGACTCCGTTAGGGATGGCAGTGAAACGAAGAGGAGTCTGGAGTATAATAGTCAGCCGGATTATAGGGAGAAGTATAAGAAGGAGTTAGAGGAGATTGATAATCTGGAGATTTGGAGGGCGGGTAAGGCGGTTAGGGGATTGAGACCCGAGAATCAGAAGTAGATGGGTTGGGAATAGATGAATGGGGTAAAGGGGATGAGATAGCGATGGTGGTGATGGTGGGGTGGGGTTGAACAGTTTCTCTCTACTGTTATTTGGCGTCTGCGTCTGAATTCCTTTCGGTCCAGATTTTGGCGCGAATACCTGCTCTTCGATTGACTTCGGGTTCCCGGTTCAAAAGTCTGTTTTTGAGAGAATGATATGATACCTTTCTTTCAATCCTCGCCCTTCAATCCATCTCTACGTGACAACACTCCAACTCCCCAATCTCTCAACATTCGACTCCTCCTTCCTTCCCTACTTCCTTCCTTCCTTCTTTCTTTCCTACCTTCCCTTCTTCTTTCTTTCTTTCTTACCTTCCTTCCTTCCTCCTTTCCTACCTTCCTTCTTTCCTCCACGCCTCCCACAAATCCCCTGGCGTCCTCTCCTCACCTACAGCCTTGAATCCAACCAACCACCCCACAGCCGCCGCAATAACCAACACCAAATACGTCAAACCAAATTCCACACCACGTGCTGTGTTCTTAGCAACGGTTCCCCTGATCCATACCCCGTCTCCTACAGCCCCCAGGTCAAGGAAAATGGGAAAGTTATCGAGGGTACGGAATACCACGAAGAGCTGGAGAGTGATGTAATTTGTTCCCAGGAGGGTACGAGCGAGCCGTTGGAAGAAGGTAGTTGGTGGGGGAGAGGAAGAAGTCAAGATACCGTTCAAATTCCAGAAGAATAGAGGTTTACTGATGTCTGATGGCGTCGTCCACTCCTCAACTATAACATCTTCATCAGAGTCCTCAGGCAGGGCGTCCCGTGTGCTGGCGCCGATGTGTCGACGGCAAAAATAATGCTCTGCGCGACCCCAGTTGTGACGGACGTAAGGGTCTATTTTTATCACTGAATTACCCCATCTCCCGCTCCTATCTGCCTCTTTCGTAGATATTATCTTTATCAAGTCTCCGCGGCGGATGAATATCGCGCCTTTGATAAGACGCAGGTATTCTGTGTGCTGGATGTGAAAATGAAGACCAGATATCCAGTGGGACTGGCGCGGGAGGTGAATGGTTGTGATTAGCGGTGTGGAAGAAGAGGCCGAGAGGGTGGGAGAAGGGGAATGAGGGATGTAGTAAGTCACTGGGGAGGACGAAGGAGAGGTGCGGTTATGATGGTGGTGTTGGGAGATGGGGGGTTAAGGGGAATGTGGCGAAAGGGGTGGTGCGTGTGTGCCATGGTGTAGGAGGGAGGGAGCGGGTAAGGCTTTGGGAAGCTGGTTTTGAGACTGTGGGAAGAGATTGTTGATCTTTCATAGTACTTAATATTGTCACCTGCTGAGTTTGAAGGAGGAAGAGTAGGCGGTGATAACAAAGATGGGACGGCGTACTTCAAGGTTTCGGTGTGTTAGTATATTCGAAGATTGAGCTGTACACTTAATATTACATCTTTTGTAATTCTGTGAGCGGAATGGTTCCGCACAGAAGAGAGTCGATCTGTTAGGACAGGCGTTGAAACGACCTGAAGATTGATCATGTGCATTTAGTAGATATTGCGCGAAGGCTATATCTTCTAAAAGAGCAGGGAACCCATCTGTCTTGATTCCGTGTGGAGAGGCTAATGAGGAGATCTTCACAGCGCGCTTGCTATTTTGGGGTTAGCCGGCATATAAGAACCACTTTATCATTCCTGACGGATTTTACAGTCTTCTTTCTTCATGAGAAACCACAAACTGCTCCCCCAAAGGGTAATTAGCCCATATCACGCCTATTGCTGATATCTTTGAGGCCACATGCTCTGCCTACCGTTGAGGAGCCGAACCGTATTATTGCTATCTCACTTGAACGTTTGCTCGCTGACTCGAAATAACCGCATTGGAAGCTGTGGGAGTCTATCCGTAGTTAAGCAGAGGGAATTGAGGTTTAGCATACACGGTGCAGCTCACAACTATACGGCTCATTCGAAAATGGCAGATGAAGAGTAAGTTCGCGCTTCTGCACATGTCACGTTACCTCATCATTCCCTCCTTTTAAGGTTACACAAGCTTCTCATTCGCAAATTAAATCTCATAAACCTCCTCCTCTCTTCCTCCTTTGCTATGACACGTTATAGCTTGCTTGTTCCTTTGTCTCAGAAAGTAGAAGTGAAAAACGAGCCACTCTTTTGTTTTGCACGGTTTAGCCAGCGTGTGATCACTCCCTCTTGCATAGAATACAACATGAAGCTTTTCACCTTCTTGAAATCACACACCGCTAATTAGCTCTGTCAAAAACTATCACCGCCGCCACCAAATTCCGTCTGTTTCTAAGCGTTTCCTACCGCACCTTTTCTGGGAAATTACTTTTATATCACCCAGCCATGGCCCTTGCTTCTTCCTTCTCCACGACGCACTTCATGTCCATCACACTGCTGGAACCATGAAACGTCTTCAGAGTCTGAAAGGGCGCCTCGAGAAAGTTGGCAAAGCATTCCCTAACAGTGGTAACAGGCGCTCATCGACCACGTCTTCTTTCAGTAACAGTACTTCTCCGCGTCGTCAGTCAACCTACATCATCCCCGAACGTCCGGTTCTGTTCAACTCTCAATACGAATCATTCCTCGAGTCTTCCGTCGACCAGCTCCAGTCCGACTTCGAATCCGGAGCGCGTGGTCTCGCTGATAATGCACTTTCCAGTCTCTCAACGCTGATTGATCTCGCTGCCACCACCGCTGCTGACCGTGGTGATTTATTCAAGATGGTGAAGGGGGCGGCGAAACAGTTGTCATTTGCGCGGCCGAGTATGAGCGCCGCGATCACGAACTGTCTTTTACACGCACTACAACAAATTCAAGGAATATGGGACAAGGAGACAAAGGCTGGTAGTAAGACACCGACAGATTTGGCACGCATTGCGCAAGAGGCTATTGGAGCGATCTTAAAGGAGCGGAAGGCTTTGAGTGTGCAACTGGGGAAGCAGTTTGCCTTCTGGATGAAGCAGTATTCTTTGAAGGTAATACTCTCTCTCTCCTTTTCCACAGGTGTGCTTACAAGGGGCCTAGCCCTGCGCTGGTGACGAAAAACATTACGTCCACATTCTCACCCTTAGCAACAGCTCGTCCATAATCACCGCCCTCCTGTCCACTCTCTCCCGCAACAGCAACACAACCCTCACCGTCACTATCCTCGAATCCCGACCCCGCTTTGAAGGCGCAAGCATGGCTGCCCAGATCCTTTCCTCCGTGTCTGAGCCCGACAAAGACCGCTTGAGCATCCGCATCGCGCCAGACTGCGCCGTCGCTACCGTGGCAGCAGACGCTAACGTCGTACTTCTAGGTGCCGACAGGATCGCTAGCAACGGCGATGTCAGCAATAAAATCGGCTCACTGGCTGCCGCTATCTGCGCAAGATCGCTCAATCCTAGTGTTCAGGTTGTGGTTGTTAGCGATTCAGACAAGATCGTGGCGGCAGGGAGTGAGCATTCGCCTGTGGAAAGGCATGATGCCAAGGAAATGACAGAAGCTTGGGAGCATTTGCGGGTAGCACCCAGTCTGCGCAAGGAGGTAGATGTATTTGGGGAGTGGTTTGAGTGGGTGGAGGGGAAATGGATTGACGTGTATGTCACTGAGAGAGGCATTTGGGGGCGGCGGGGGGTGGAGATCGCGGCCGCAAGGGTGAAGGAGATTGAGGAGAAGATGTTTGGGGGTAGTTGAGGGGTAGGGAGTAAGGAGTTTGTGGGAGGGGTTTGATAGATGGTCTGGGATAGAGGCTGAATCTGAATCCCGCAAATTCGTTAATGCTAGTGTGAAATGATAGTGAGAGAGTAATGGAATATCAGACATTGTCCGTGAAACAACTGAGTTCTATTATTACAGCAATTGGTGAATTGATATTCCTAGAACTCTCTCCTAAAGCGCTAATCTAATATAGGGTATAGCCACCGAACAGGAGTAGCCTCTCTGGCTGCTTGCTAGGTTTTTAGGGTAAAAAACTGTCTACACACTCTCTACATTTTAAACTCTACGTTGACCTAGGCTAGGGAATGCTAACAGAAAATGTGTATCCTCCCCAGTCACTTGCTAGTGTTTAGAGAGAGAAATTGACATCCCACTCTGTGCTCCTTAACGGCATACAGCTGAAAGCCAAGGACCAGTTAGTTTTCAAAATAATGTGTCGGAACACAATCCAGCGGTTGAAGGCAATTGTATTGACTCCGTCGCCCCTGGGGCTGCATATGAAGCAGCTTGGAGGTTGATGCTGCTGAGTGCTTCAGCGCTCTTCAGACTGTGGCCTTGGAACAAAACACAATGCTTGACAAAATGTAGATGGCCTTCGTTACCATGAGGGATGGATATGAAGCATCTCTTGAGACTAACGACAGGATACTGCGCATTTCCAGTACTGATCACCCCATTGAATCCATAATAGGAACGAACCGCTTCAAGAGCGTAATCATCTACTAGTGGAAGCCGTTGCAACCCGAGGTCGACAAGAAGGCCTGCTGCTAGAAACGGATTTTGAAACGGTAAAACCGCTCTACCACAACGTCACTACGACATGTGGGTTTCAACTTGGACCTTTAGAGTGGTGCCCAAATGCTCTTGCTCACTTCAGGGGTGACCTTAATCCCAAAGATCATCCAATGTCTGGCTTAACACCGGGAGATGAAAAAAAGAGGAGGGTTGCACAGACCTGGATGAGAGCAGCCTCCACACCACCCATGCAGCCAACTGCACCTACGCCCGACCTAAACGGAATGCCGGGTTACCTTATCAAACCCCTCGTAAGCTCTAAGAGCCGAAGGGTTAAGTTAACTGCCTCGTATCCTTGAGCCGATTACGACCGCCTCGTATGCTTAAATTTTCAAGCTGAGCTTTTCTTGCTCCTCATCCAGCGACTTTAGGCGGTCGTCTTTTTGACACATCATACCCATACCATGTACCTCCCCATGCATTTGCCTTTTCTCGGAGGATAAATATGAGAGCAGGGTCTTATCTAGATCCCAGCACAACACGAAACCCAGGAAGCGGTCGTTGTACTAGGAGCGCACGCCGTCAAGATCAGGCCTTCATTAGAGGCTATCGCCCAGATGAAAAAGCTCGGAGGTAGTAGTAGTGACCAAGTAGAAAGCGCCGTAAAGAACTATTTACATTTTCAAAGGATATAAGAATGTGAAAGGCTTGAAGACTATGGTATATTTGATCAGGCTAATAGACTATGTTGTCGTGATTTGTGCAGATTCAGGGAGAGTGTTGTGCAAGCATTGGAAGCTTGGGAAGATTGCAGCTCGAGCGACTTTTTGCGGCAAGGCTGCCCCAGCCAAACTTGCTTGTTGACAAGTCTGATGGCCAGGACAACCCTAGTCAGGGATAATACGATACTTCTTAAACTTGCAAGCTGAAGCCGTTGGGGAGCCTGGGTGTAATCACACAATAGGAGCCAAGCATTCCAAACATAGGGCGAGACATCATTTGATCTCGATGCAAGTGCTGCTATTGGAAGCCTACTAGTTGGTAACTCTGTTGTTATGATTTCTTTTATCTGCGGTAAACCCGGAATAAGCTCAGGCCCTTTCAACTCACTACCACGAGCCTGAATAACATTACTAAGCTCAATACCACCTTGGATACCAGCAGCTGTATGACTCGAATCTGGGGCTCATACTGTGGTAGTCATTTCGATTGCAATACCGTAATTCATCAATCATTGCTCTAACCAAGCCGGTTGTGACTACTTACTAATATCCATGGGGGGCTTTCAAGGCAGAATTTTACTCCTCTGGAAGTGCTGGGAGAATACCGGAGGCCTACGAAAATATCAAGCAAACAGTTCTTGTAGCGAAAAAGAGGAGAAGATTAGCAAGAGTTCTCCATTATTGTGGCAAACGTGGCAGGAAAATCATTGCCAACCCAGGGACTTTCCAAGTGCCTGCGGACCAACCAACAAAAATGAAAAGTAATCAGTTGGGAAGACTGGGATAGATCGCCTATGGCCTCGTAAAAGCGCAACTGATCCTTTCAGGGCTTCTTGTATTGTGGACTGAGAGGAATACGTAGAGGTTGCTAGCGCTTAGGTTTTACTATTTCACTTCGCTGTTCTCGGACAATCAAAGTTGCTGATGCCAGTGTTCGGAGTCGACAGGTGGCGGGTAACTCACCTTCAGATTCTCAGGTGCCTGCAGCCTGTAGGTGCAATGTTTGGACCTTGAGTTAACTCTACAGAGCAGTTTATATATCCCTTATTGCTAGATTTGTTCTTCTAAACCTAAGATAAATTAATGATTAGTTTTATAGCACCTTAGGATTGTCTAATGATGCTAGTAACGCTGCCTATGGCCTCCTAGTAAACTAGTACGACGGCGTCTTCCTCAACTACACTAACTTAATTAAGCATACCATTAAGCTTTAGGGGCGACCTGCGGGCACCTGAAATCCACAGGTGGCCATTGCAGGTGCTCCCCTACCGATTCGGAACACTGGCTGACTCCCGTGCTGTCTTAGCTGCGCGGCTAATCTAGCGGGCAGGACAGAGAGACGAGTGGGCGTCCAAATGACAAGAGATGTGCTTGAACTGAGGGGGGTAGCATCTTCGGTTAGGAACCGTCATCGAGAGCTTGCGTGACAAAACAATCCACGAAGCCTCCCGATATGCTTTTCCACTCCCCTGCTCGAACGTGCGATTAATGACTGACATCAGTTCATGCTTAGTGAAGCAACAGGTTGAAGAGTTCGCATCAGGGGCAGAAGCGGAAGGAGTTCCGTCGATAGTTTGTGAAGATTCGTCGGCGGTGGTGCCCGAGGAGACGCCGTCCACGATTTCTTCTAGCTGCGAGGGAGAGAATTTGAATATACACAATCAGCACCGAGTCCTCTGGGTGTTATAATAGCGTAGCGTGACAGTGACTGTGTAGGCGAAGGAGGGTGTCGCACGTAGGACCATGACACTACCTGATGGATCATTCGTTACGTCACGCAGTACTTTCACCTATTTCGAGCTTTCACACCTTAGGTCCAGCCCCTGCTTTGTATAATATATAGTTACCTCAGAGCTCCCTGTTGAGCTCCTCAAAACTAGACCAAAACAAAATCATCAACCCATCTAAATGCTTGGTTCAATACCCATAGTTTGGATACCGGTCAGATAAGCCCTACCAGCTCACATTCAATGGTATCTAGACATGCAGGGAGGTATCTGCGTAGATAGTTATCAGTAGCAGAAGTCAGCACGTTGGTGGAGGTGATGTTAGCGAAACTTGGAACTCTGCTCAAACACAACAGTCTTCAACCTTAGTACACTCAATAGCGCATTCCCTCTAGCGTGCAATTCACAGCTACTAGTTCATTTTAATTCAGACCTTTGGTAGCCCATTTCGAAAACTGTGCAGCCCTGACTCTTGTCCTCACCCACTTTCCAGCCGGCACACCCCAAGTCCTCATCCTCACTATTTAGCCTACGTATCATCACACTACCTTCCAGGCTCATCATAAAGCACTAATCCTCTGGCCTTGTAAAATACGCAGGCAAGTAGCGCGTCAAGTTTGTCCTCTCTCCAGGGGCATATGTCACCGAATACATTGGGCTTCAAGCAATCCATTCGTGAATTTTACCATAGCGTCATTCAGGTTAATAACCGCACGGCCCGGGCTAGGCCTGATCCAGAGCCAATTTTCCTCTTTAACAGCTTTTCCCTCAGGGAGGACTTGTAGACCCCCAAAGTTGTTTACCAGAATAGTCACACTGCCAAAATCAGTGTGTGGGACTAAGCTTTTGTGATGACTTTCTTCAGGCTGGGGCAGATAACAGGTTTGGCGGCTTTAGTCTAAAGAATGTTGTTCAACTTAGTAACAAGAACAGAAAGTACCCCTGGACAGGCCAAGTTACTATAATCCTATGGAGTTTATGAGTGAAGAAATAGGTCAGGGCCGGAATTTGCTTCCTGCTGAGCCTAGGCCTTCGAGCTATGGCGTCTAACAGCATTCAATTAGTCTTCCACGAGCAGCTTGCAGCCACAGACCCCACTTGTACGCGTATATCAATGTGAAGAGCGTTCAGGCAATTAACAGTCGAGTAGTTGATCTCTAGAGCGTCGACATATCCGCCCATCTCGAATAAAATATCTTCACCATCGCCACTGCTGTCTCGGCATTCCCATATTCGTTCTGAACCTAGGTTGTAAGATTCGTGATAAACCTCTCAGCAAAGCTTCAAGAAGTGGACAACTCTTAGATTTCGCTGCATTTCAAAAAGGGCCCAGGCCAGGTCTAGCAAAGAGCACCAATGCGACAACATCACGGAGCTGAGCCGTATATCAGTTCACCACGACATTGAGCAGCGCAGCAGTCAAGGAGAGGTGGCCGCTAGTCAGGGTTGGTGTGATTAGGGCTCAAGATCTAATGCAGAGCCCTTCCAAGCTTCCTTACGAAAACATAAGTGCAAAGAGGTGGTTTGAAATTTGGACATTCTGCCTGAGCTAATAAATTTCCTTTGAATTTATGACGTGGCGGTAATCACAACACAGGCAGGAGTGGGTTCACCCTTTCCTAACGAACTTTGCCTTTTGGAAGTCGTAGTTCCAGGGTAAACATGGAGCTTAGTGGGGTAGTCTCCTAGTTGTATGCAAGTCAATTCTCCTATAGAAATCTATTAAGAATGTTAATTATTGGCTTCCCCCGCCCCCCACGTTACTCTATACAAATAGTAAGGTAAAATAACATCCAATGGCATTTCATCCCTTGCCACTAATACACCCGTCGAATGTGCGCTATCTACTCCCATATGGTTGCTGCGCCTCATGTCATGATTTAGTTAATCAAAAGTAGGTACAGGCTGTCGCGCGTGCATTTCTATCCGCCTACATATGTTCGTCTGCTGTGTATGGTAGAAGGTTGACCTTTTAGCACTTGCAACTCAGGCTACCTGCCGCCTCCGACCTGGCAGTAGTACTCACTGGAGTCCGAAATGTAATTGAATGCGCAGTACAGTAACGGTAGGGTTCAGTAATCTCCCCGCCGTCAGTGAAATTGAGATTTCGATTGGAGCGTTCGGCGTAGATGCCAGTTTCATGGCACGAAAAAGAAGCTTATCCATTTTCTCATGAAACGACGACTAGCCCTAATCAAATCTAAATACAGGAAATACGTGGTTGCAGTTTAAATAGCTCTCGCCAGGTCTTCAGATACCATAGGGTATCTTGTTGAATCGACACGTAATGAGATTTGCTCGAGATGGTGGGGGCTTAATGCGTTCTCAAATACAATCGAAACAACTAAGGAGATTCTTCGCATTCAAGTCTCTTTGGCTTTGAACCTTGAGATCCTCAAGCAATACAAATGAATGAAAACTCCTCAAATTGACTGGCTGGAAAAGTTCATGTGCTCCTACCTCGTCAAAATCTAACGAAAAAGGGTTTAGCGTGGCCAACTGCTGCCCATCCACACAACCAGCTTCCCAAACTCTTCAACAGCACACATCACAATGCCTCCAACTCTCCATCTCGTTCGCCACGCAGAAGGCTGCCATAACGTCAATGTCTGTACATGTTCTCCTCCCTCTCAAGCCTTCTAACGCCCCATCAGCATGCCGTCCACATCCATGACGCAACTCTGACTCACAATGGTAAATTGCAATGTCTTCAGCTACAAAAATCCTTCCCTCATCACAATACGATCGACTTGGTGCTCTCCTCTCCTCTGCGTCGTGCAATCCAAACGGCAATTTTGAGCTTCGGCCCAACATTGGCTCGCCCGGAAGTGCCGTATTTGGTTATCCCGGCTGCGCAGGAAGTGAGCAATTTGAATTGTGATGTGGGACACCCGAGGAATTTATTAGAGATCAGTATTTCGCAGTTATTTGGTGAAGAGAACTTAGGGTTTAGTTTGGGGAAAATTAATCTTGATGCTGTGGAAGACGGCTGGAATTCGAAGGTAAGTTGAAGTCACGTGGAACCCATGAGTCATTTCTAAATTGATAAACGTCGCATGCAGACAGGGTACTGGGCTTCTGAAAAAGCCGCAATAGAGAAACGTGCGGCGGATCTGAGAACATGGCTCTTCCAACGCCCTGAATCGCATGTAGGCTGTACCTGACACCCAACGAAATCAATGGTAGCATTTACGCTGAGTGCTTTAAGGTCCTCCTCGTCACACATGGCGCATTCCTTCATTACCTGACAGAGGACTGGACTGGAGATGATCCAGTAAGAGGTGCTCAACCCCCTAATCCAAGGCATCAGACATCTTTGCTCACCTGCTTAGGAACTGCCTATCTGAACTGCGAAGTTCGCCAATTTAACTTCACTCCCTCCTCATCAAAATACGAGGCCCATATCGTGGAGGCTGCTGAGTCTAAAAAGTCAAGAGGTGCAAGTCACCCAGAGGATGACCCCCATGTTCTAGAAGAACTGGGGGAATTAGAGAAAGTGGAGCCAAGCAGGCTTTGATATTCTCATAGTGGAAGCTTTTTCAGTGATATATGCGTAGACAGTTAATAGAGTAGAAAGTTTGAATTTGAGCAATAAAATGGCATGTCTGACAGGATAACATTAACTACACAACAAGGGCGGAAGGAAAGAGCCAAGCAGCCTTCCGCAGCACGCAGAGAGTATACTCCTTGAAATCCACCGTGATTCCTAACTACCTCTCAGACCCTGTATATCAACAGCTCCCAGATCTATATTCTTACGTCGAAAAAGCCTTTCGTGCCCGTCCGTACATCTATCGCCAAGATTTTTAACCCTCCATTCATCTTGTATCTCTTCCAAGCCCAGCCTAAAATCCATTCACAGACTTGTATCCTGAATCGTTTCTCTTTTAATTTAGCCTACATGATGCAATTTGGAGAGGAATCTAGTGTATTGCGCTCGGAACAGATCGGGTGGGGATTATACCTTATTTGGTCTTGGGCCTCGACTGCTCGACCTATTCCGATAGGTTACAGGATCAGTATTTGAGAGTTGGATGAGTGGCTAGTTCCAATTGAGGCGGCATTGTACTACATATGTGCCTAGTGATCGCCAGGCCGGCTTGTTCCAATAGGTAGGGGTACGTGTGGAGTTTGGTAGCATATGTGGATAGCACTCTAAACTGAGGTGTCATAGCTATTCACAGAGAAGCCTCTAATAGTGTAATTGCACTGAATTTCATGGCGCAGCCATCAGGGACTTCGTCCAGGCGGAGGTGGTGGCCCACGTCCAGGCAGAAACAGCACGTTTGGAATTTTTTCGCAGAGGATAGCTAGAGGTGAGCAGTCATTTTGGTACTCTAGCGGAGTCTCCTCCGCCCTCTGAGTAAGCTCAATGTGTGAGCAGGATCGAATCATGGCTGTCTGCCACCCACATCGGCCTCTTGAGATCGTCATAATCTCTATAGTCTTAACGGGGTACCATCCACCCCGAAGAGGACTTGGCTCCTTGTGCCGAAGAAGTAAAACAGCCGACTGTTCCCCGAGGTTCCATTTTTTAATTCATTTCCATCTTTAACACCAAGATATAGTGTCCACGTACTTGGAACCGGATCCGCTCCAAATTAATGGCCATGAAGATAGGAATATCGTAAATGTCAATTGTCGAGCGTCATCAGCACTCCACTATCATTTATGTGAGGCCTGAGTTATTCTCGGAAGGACTTGCCTCATGCATAACATTGTCGCCTAGGAGCTTTTACAGGCCGTCAATATGCTACAGGTACTTCTGGCAGGTACTCAACATTTTCCCATTCAATATTGCTTGCAAAGACACTTCCATGCCCTCTGGGGCTAAGCTTTGATGTACTTGACTCACTGTTCATAGGTGAATTAAGTACCTGAGGAAACGCTTGCTCAAATTCTTCGGCAGAGAGCGTTAGAGGCAAGCTTCAACCGTGCCGAGTAGAGCTCATAGGCATCGAAATTCAACAAGAAAAGATGAAATTCTTCAATGCCTTAGACCTCCCTTGGTTTCATAATCGCTTTGTAATCCGCGAAGGGAGGCCTTTCATATCCCTAGTACCAAGCGACAGTATTCGCAGGAAAGTCTTGTGAGTCGTTGAGTGGGCTTCATCCTCTTCCAATCTTCGTACAAGACCGCAAACTCTTTCTCGATCCGAACCAACTCTTGCCTTCCTCTCATGGAAAACTCCTAAATTTGCGGCTGCTAGTACTTGTTAGCTAACTTCTCAACTGTGGTCTCGAAAGGGAGAGGTGGGCTTCTTAAACTCGCAAGCAGGCTGTCTCTCACCTTCAGCCTGGAACTTCTTAGTAGCTTCTATAAGTTGCTGGGTATCCATCCACCCTCATGCCAGGTATGCAAATTCCTTCGGAGATAGCTCAAGATTGTCGGTAATTATCTTCTCGCTCTCTGGAGCCACAACGTAGTACATATTGATATTCTACGCTACCAACCCCTATCCTAGCCATATTGCGTGAATACCCTCGTTTAGTAGGTATTTCGACTCCAAGGGCCTTTGTAAATACATTCCGCTCTCCAGATAATCGAAAACTCTTCAAGAAGCGATTTAGCTCATATCCCACAGCTACTTCTTTAGGTTCCCATATGCTTCGACAATTTCTTGGGTTACGTGTCGGCGAAGTGGTCGCGTGAGGCTCGAGGCGGAGGCGTTAAACGTGCGCGTAGATCAAGAAGTGATAAGTTTTGCTATTGCATAGAGGAACTGAATTGATTGCGAAAAGAGTGTATCTAAGGGTCTATATATGCAAAGGAGTGGACTAAGTAGCAAGCTGCTCAGCAGGCAGCACATAATTATAGTATGCGGTAGTGATCCCATGTATATGGGCAGGTGGTGGAGCTCGGGGAGCTCCGCCTACTAAAAGGCTCACCAGAGGCTTCACAAAAATTATGACAAGGGTCGGCAATGCCAAGAGCTTTTCTTGAGTAATTTGCTTCCCTGGAATTCAGCCATTGTGTAAGGTGTCAATGCGCCAAGGTGCGTAACAGCCTGGTGCCATAGCATTATGGCCTTGTAGATTAGAATCGCTAATAGGTTCATCATATACCGAAGCATCGGTCAGCATCCTTTACGTATAAGTCTTCGTCAGGAAGAGAAAATAAAGAGGGTTGAAGAATAGTAATATGCTGCAGACACTGCTTCTAATTCAAGTCTATGAACAACCAAGTTCAAGTAACATAGTCGGAATGAACATTGCAATCCATATGGGCCGCAAAAGAACAATCTCTTGCTCTCACGCGCCGTTCTTTGCAAGACTAGTGTATCCAGGGAGCATTTTTGTTTGCTTGATTTAGGGTTGCGTAGTAGTGATTACTACCGCAATGAACAAATCTGTTTTAAAGTACTCTTTTGGGCATTTACCATTCATACAATGGCCAGGGTCTTTAAAGGCGTACCTGGTGATCGGTTGAGGGAAGTAGTTGAATCCGCGAGATCACTAAAGGTCGATCTCAGAATACTCGAAGGGGTAACGAGACCTGACCCAAAATGTCAGGTGTTAGTATATGCGACAAGGGCCCGAAGGCCTAGTCTGGAGCTTCCGGTGTTGGTGGAACTCTTGGAAACCCAGAGTCCTGGGTCCATGGGCCTAGCGTTAGTGTGGGTGGTGAATATGCAGAGGCCTAGTCCTGACTCACTGATGCCTCAAGGCCTGGGAACTTTCCAGTCCTTGCGGTTTGGGAAAGTCGAATTGGGGAGTTGCGAAAGTGTCCTATTGACTTTTTGCGGGTGTTGAGGCCTTTTCGAGGTGATTCATTGCTTAGGGAATTGACAGAATCTAATGCTAGTTCCATCGTGGTGTCAGCATCGCGGCATCAATGTCCTCTTGGCGCTAGGCTGCCTATTTGCCAAAATTGATGCATTAGGGCACGTCAGGTGAGCTTGATCGACGGGAAACTTTAATTGTCCAGTTCTGTGGGAAAGGAAAGTGGAGTTAAAGATAAACTTTCGGTAGATCCGGAGTACAGAGCCGTGGAAGCAGCAAGGACAAGGATAGCTTAAGTATCCTGCACAATAGAGCAGAGAAACTAATCCAGGGATTGGTCGGGCCGGGGTCTGATTAGGGTCTTCTGTTCAATGCACCTTCGAGAACAATCTGGGAGTTTGCCTACACTGCACTCAATTACACACGACACCCTACCTCAATTATCTTTACGTCTTCTTCTTGGTCATTTCCCTGCCCTTTCAAACCCTGGTCCTGCAAGAAACAGGACCTGCACGATTGGAACAAATCCTGTAATCCCCAGAGTTTCGTACTTTTCCCACCGAACCTTGGCGAACAACAATCGCTCTTGTGCATAGAGCCCCTCCATTAAGCTATAGAACAAGGCAAATACTGTAATTAACACACCAGCCTCGAAGAATTTCCTGACTTTAACGTGTTTGGTTTAGCGGAGCCATAAAGACCATCAAAAAAGCCACATCATAAAGAAGTCGCAGTCGTTGCAAACGTCAATGTTTGTAAACTGATCGATGCTTACGAAGATAACGTTGTTGGAGCCGTGTTATACTCGCGACTATGTTCTAGTCTCTAGGCAGGTATGCGACCAAGATTGGCTTTGAAACCACTTGCACGAGTTTTACAACAGTTCCTGTAATTAGCGCGGCGAAGGCAAGCTTCAACTTCTCTAGGTTAAGGGCTACACTGATTCAGAGCTGTTAATAACGACTGTAAAGGTGTTGGTTAGCCAGAAAATAAACATTTGTGAGATGAACTGAGCTGTGCCCTCCAGCGACAAGTGGCGTCGATTTGTCTAGAACTCTAGCCCAGTGAGTCTTCAGAAGGTGGATTTCCACACATTACGAACCTAGCCTAATTAACTTGCCTGGGCCTAAATTCGCCTCACGGAAGCTTCACACGTGGAGCGGTTGAAAATAATAGTGTTCAGTGCTTTGTGAGGAGAAGCCACGACCCGCTTGAAATAGAAATTGAGGAAGTCAAAAGCAGATAGATTCTAGAATTGACTTGTCGACTTGTTGTGATTTTGAATTGGGGTGGCAGCATCTTGCTTAAGCACGGCCATTACCATGGAAACGCGACAGGATAATTTCAGCCAATTAGAGTGTAGAAAATTATGTAGAAGAATTCCTGGAGAGCGGTATAACAGTGCATGGGGAAATATAGAGAGCCCTTGGGTTCCTTGAGCTTCTTCAAGGCACGAAAAGCATTGCCTGAAGGACATCTACACCCCGTAATTTGTTGACTTCGTCCAATTCCCGAAATAGTTTACTCGCTCATAATCGCCTCATATCTTCGGCCCCCACTAGAGATACCAATTCAGTAGTACGTCGAAGAGCCTGTGCAGTTGCGTAGAGACTGCAGCTCTACGTTTTAAGAAACGTATTAGCGCTTAGTTAGAGCATATAGAGAGAGGGGTCAAAGGAATGCAGATGCTGAAACGGGTGCCTCCAGTGAACCCTAAAATATCCTAGGAACGATAGTGTCCGTTTCTCATGTCCTTCCTTCACTCTGGAGGAGCTATTTTGGCACCAGAGACAAGGACATGTAGAGAACAGAACGCAACCTTGAGAAAGACTTTCAACCTCAGCTCAGCGCTAGACCATCAAAGGCAGAATCACGTTTCGGCACGTGCCACATCGTACCTTGCCTTAGGCCCTTGGCTACTAATTGGCGTCTTAACCTCCGGCCCCACTCAACCCACCATCTCGGCACGCTCCTGTAGTTATCGACATAAAGAGATCCTGCTACTTTGCTCCCTTTCATAAAACCTAACATAAGGAAAACACCCTTTCTACCCTCTTTAGCGGCAGTGTTAGCCCAGCCCCCCATGTGGTCATTCTTACATCGCCCTTCTCCCATTCTAGCGAAGGATTATGATTGTAAGGGAAGTTAATTAAGGCAATCCATCAATGCTAGCCTCGACTTTCCAAACCTCCTATTCAAGATGCAAACACGTGTGATGCACGCGATGCCACATGGAAGCCAGGTGCGCCTGGCCACCTGGGCAGCTCCGCTAATTATGCCCGAACTGGACTCGCTTCTCTATTCCATCTGCAGGTGCAAGTTCTAAAGGATTATTCCGCTTCAAGACTCTTGAGTCTTAAAACCCTGATATTCCTTCCAATCAAGCCAAACCCAAGCTCCTAGACAGCGGAAATCAACTGTCATGCCACCTCGGGCGCATATCGAAGCGACGCCCCGCCGCACGTGGTGCGGGGCATAAAAACGCGGATCCCGAAGTATTTGTACGGCCTTGCCTTGAGCTTTAGGTGCCTGAATTCAAAACCAACACTTTCACAACAATTCCACCAATCTTTTCTCATATCCTCAAACCAGTGACTCCCGCACTCCTCACCCAACTCGAAACCACCATGGGCAGTTCACTCCCCCCAAAGCCTTTTAACATCGCCATCATTGGAGGCGGCATCGCAGGACTTACCCTCACCATCAGTCTCCTGAAACACAATATCCCACTCACGCTTTATGAAGCAGCCTCGCAATTCGAAGAAATTGGTGCTGGTGTTGGTTTTGAACCATGTATGGTCAGGATCATGGATCTTATCTCGCCAGGCATTAAGGAAGGATTCTTACGTTGCGCGAACAACGTCGAACTTGACCCACCACTGTGGTTCACAGTTCGAGTTGGGGATCGCAGGAAAGAAGACGAAGAAGGGGTTGTGTTGCAGAAAGACGGCAGGAAGATAAGACTAGGGGAGCCCATCTTTGAGATGCCTGCGAGAAGAGGTCCAAGGGGTGGAGTGCATCGAGCACAATTCCTCGACGAGCTGGTCAAGTTGGTTCCCGCTGATGTCGCCAAATTCCGCAAGAAACTGGTCAACATCACCAGAGCAGACGACGGATCAGACGATGCAGTTCTCCACTTCGCGGACGGAACTACTGCCCAGCATTCTGCAGTGATTGGTTGTGATGGCATCAAGTCACGAACGCGGGAAGTGGTCCTTGGCAAAGACGAGGCTCAACCCGTGTTCTCGGGAAAATATGTATATCGGGGCCTCATCCCGATGCAGAAAGCGAAAGAGATCATGGGCGAGCAGGAACCGACAACGCCACAGATGTATGTGGGTTATTCAGGCCACGTCCTCACCTTCCCGATCGCGAATGGGACGATTATGAACGGTATGCATTGACCCCTTTGACAGCCCACATTCACTAACTGTTCCTGCAGTTGTGGCGTTCAGCTCAAAAGCCGAATGGAACGATCCCGAGTGGGTCGTGGAAACGTCAAGGGAGCAAATGTGCTCCGATTACACCCGCTGGAGCCCAACGGTTCAAGCAATCATGGCCAACATGAAGAACCCAGACATCTGGGCCTTGTTCAATCATGGTACCCCGGCTCGCACTTATTTCCGAACTCAACCACGAATATGCCTGGTCGGCGACGCCGCCCACGCTACGACACCGCACCAAGGGTCTGGGGCTGGAATGTGCATCGAAGACTGTTACATTCTTGGAGAACTTCTTGGTGAGGCGAACAGCACCCATGACCTTGAAGCAGTGTTTCGGGCCTACGACGAAGTGAGACGCCCAAGATCTCTGAAGCTTGTCCAAACCAGCAGGGAGGCTGGTATGCTCTGGGAGCTCCAAGGCCCGAAGGGTGATGATCTGGAGGCACTGGAGCGCGATGCGCTGGAAAGGATGAACTGGATTTGGGATCACGATTTGACGAAGGACCTTGACCAGGCCAAAATGCTCCTAAAGCAGCAGTAAAGTTTGTTGTCATTCATCTCTATGTATTATATACAACGTCCCCACTCATACTGATACCACCATTTTATTGTCGCGAAATCTGGAAATCCTTCGTCACAGTAATGCCTTCAATCATATGCTCTTGACTTGAGCTGCGACTCACGATATGGCTGGCTTCCATCACAGTGACCTCAGTCTTACTCTTTCCAGGCATCTTATTCTTCACAGACTCTAGCGACTCCAGTGGATACATGCCTGCAGTGCCATGCTGACCGCTGCGACCGAGTCCAGAAATTGCTTTGCCAGACCCAGGCTGCCCGTACTGTCCATACTGTCCGTAGCTAGATCCCTTGGTGCTCCGCCACCTGGCCGGCCAAAGGGAAGAGATGCTCTTTCGGAGACTGATGAGACAAGAACAAATCACGCCTACTGCGGCCTCAATGAAAGACCAGAGGTTCGTCGGTGCTGATTCCCAGGTTGGCTCCTTGGTCTTCAAAGTGAGTGGTAAGGTCGCCATGCGGAGCATGGTAATGAGGCAAATGAAGAATCCCATAGAGAAGAGGACGATGAGGCCAATCTTGTTGCCGACGGACATTTTTAAGCGCATAATTACGGGCATTGGCATGAAGAAGATGATGAGGTCGGTGACAAGATTGGAAATCGCGTTCGACCAGCTACCGGAATCAGCATAAATCGGTGACAATGACTGTCATGATTGCTTACCGATGCCAGAAGAAGTTGATACAGTGTCCAGGCACTGTCCTATCCCAGGTCCTATGAATTGGCGTGCATTGGAAAATTGCGACAAAGACATAGGAGACTGTCCAAGAGATACAAATGGCCATCATAGTCATACAAGCTCGTCGAAAGGGCTTGATGGCGAAGACACGGTAGTATAGTGCCAGAAACGACATCTTGTTGAGTCCGTTGCACAGGGTGTAGAACACCTGTGTTAGCCAGAAGAACTGCGTTGTGACGAATTAGTTTTGCTGAACGACAATCGAAAGGAGAAATTCACCTGCATCGCCTTCGAAATATTACCTCCAGACTTCTTGATATCCACTGCATGCGTGCCAAATCCGTATGTTGTCGACATGTATACCATTGCCGTGAAAGCAACCAGGAAGATCTAAGGGCGCTGTTAGAGAAGCACTTGCTCTCGGAGGTCAGTCCACTCACATTCGCAGATACAACGAACGCGTCCTCCATACCCAGCCAGCCTCTATTCCTCCATGTGGTTATCAACCGGCAGCACAGCAAGATCGTCGCAATACTCGTCAACGTAACCGTCACCCACCGCAGATCACGCTGCTCCTCTACGTACGCACTGAAGACCATGATAAGGGACCAAAGAGAACCGAGGGACCGAAGCTATTTCGAGGAGGTCAACAAGGGGTGAGATCGAATCTAGACGCTCCAACGGGGAGGCGGAAGGAACTACTGCTGGGCCGAGTATCTTTTATAGAAAATTTCTTCAGTCCTGGTAGAGCCGCAGGATCTGAGCAGAGAGACAGTGCCAAGTCCAATTCTCACACCTGAGCATCTCATGAAAGCTGTGCTTCGGCACATATCGTGCTGAACCAGACGGCTGGCTCCATAGGAGTCCAAACTGCGTGCGCCCGGAGAGATTCCCATTGGAGGAGAGCTGTATCAGGTCACTTCTGCCGGGAGAGAAGAATATACCAATGCTCGAAGATACTAAGAACAGATCGAGAGACCCTCGAACAAGCCAAGATACTAATCCTGAGGCAGGAAATAAAACGTCAAGTCACGTCGGTTGGGGGTCAGTTGTGGGTCCTTGGGCGCATGAAGCTCCATGGTTGCATCCTGGAATCAAGGGGTCGTTCGTCAAATTTTGACAACGCAAGGGAGACGCGGTCATTCACAGTCGGTTAAGGGAACCGTCGCCGTTTATTGGGTTCAACGTTCGGTAAGCATGCTCATTTAGGCAATGAACCGTTCCCCCGGATTTTTTACGAGATATTCGATCCTTCGGCAGCGGTATTACTTTCCCCGCGCCGCGGCCCGTTGGTTGAGAGTCTGACACTGGGCGGAAATCAGAGATTCGGAGATGCTCCGGTAGGGTACCGAAAATTTTCCGTCTTCTTTTGTTTGTCCTTATCCACGTAATATCGTCTTCCTTCTGTTGTACCACCATCACAAACTGCTCTCAAGGTACGGTTTAGAACTTCTTGCTTCCTTTCCCTTTCTCAGAACAATTCGCCGCGTATATAACGGTGTAATTCGAATTGTTATCTTCCCAATCCCTTTGTGCATTGAGACAAGACCAGGAGCTGGAGAGCAAGTGCCTGCAAGGATGATGCTAGCGTCTCCACAGTGGAATTGCGAGGACGCCTCTTGATATGCCAAGATTATTGCGGCACAGCTTGCACAAGAACGCCTGGCCAACCAACATCCTGTATGCCTCAGGACTTGCAGTATAGACCTCTGCAGCTGTTCGTGTAAATCAAACCTGCCCCACCGCTCACCCCATTTTCCCCAACCCCATGTCCCTCCAGACTCCCTCTTCGCCCACAAGGGATCCCTCGCCCACGTTCAAACCGTTTCGGCACTTGGCACGTTTCTTCTGACTCGTGGTGAGGAACTCGCCCCTCGCCTACAAGCTCCGGCAGTCGTTATATACTCCAGTATCTGACTTCTCCATATCTACTGTGACCTTGCATATTCTTTTGCTTCATCCTCGAATACTTCTCAAGCGAGCCGATCGTTTTTGTCCCATTTTTGTCCCATTTTTGTCATTCTTCAGCAACGGCGCTCTATTCAGGCGCGTCCTAGTTGGATTGTTCCTCACTCTCCACCATGACTGACTCGCCTTCATTAGAGAAGGGCGCTGTTATCACCGACGGACCCTATTCTCCCACCTCCTCCACGCTTGAGGGTTCTTTCGATGCTGCCGCTGAACGACGACTTATTCGAAAGCTCGACCTCCGCATTCTCCCAGTACTATGGGTTCTTTATCTCGTAAACTTCATTGACCGGCAAGCTTCCCCTCAGATATTTGAAGACAACCCTAATTTTAGTTCAGAGCCAATATTGGGAATGCAAAGATTCAAGGGATGGAGAAGGAGCTCCACCTCATCGGTCAACGATTCAACATCTCCGTCTGGGTCTTCAATCTTGGGTACTTGGTCGCTGGTGTACCGCTCATGGTTGTGTTCAGGAAGTACGGTCCCAAATCGCTCTGCATCATGATGTTCTTCTGGGGTATCACTGTCATCGGTTGTGGTCTCGTAAAACGCTGGGAGCAGCTCGTAATTTGCCGTCTCCTCGAGGGCATGTGTGAAGCCGCTTATATCAGTGGTGCAGCATATCTGATCGGAGCATACTACAAAAAGACCGAGTACCTTACTCGCTTCGTTTTCTTTTGTACTGCTGGTATCATTGCCGGCGCGATCAATGGATTTATCTCAAGCTTGATTGCGAAGATGGATGGAACAGCTGGATATGGGGCCTGGAGATGGTAAGTCTCTGTCTACTAAATCATCATTCCTCCTCGAATTGGGCTGACTTGCTCTCAACAGGATCTTCATCATCGAGGGAATTATTACTATCTGTGTCAGCATTATTTCAGTGCCGCTCATCATGCCTTGGCCCGAAAACTGCACCTTCCTGGCACCAGAAGAAAAAGCCTTCATGCTCGCCCGCGTCAAGGCTGAAGGAGGGCACATCGCTGAGGATGAGATTACTTTGAAGGAGGCGCTCAATGTGCTCAAGGACTGGAAGATCTGGGCTGGGTATGTCTCCCGCTCCCTATACTGCTCTATATTCAACGAGGACGATACTAACGCTAAATAAGTGTCGCTATGAATATGGGTGTAACCGAAAACGCTAACTCTCTCGCAAACTTCCAACCCACGATTCTTAAAGGCTTAGGATACACTTCTACTGAGGCCCAAGTGCACACCATCCCTGTCTACCTCACTGGCGCGGCTTTCTCTGTCATTTTCGCATACATGTCAGAATACCTGCAGCGCCGGTATGCATTCTACATTCTCGGCTGGGCTGTCCTTGCCGCCGGCCTTGTCGTCGAGATTGTTTATCCGCCGAAGGCATCAGTCAGATACATGGGCATGTTCTTCATCGCTTGTGGATGCTATCTCGCCATGCCTATCTCGATCATCTGGGTCTCCATCAATGCCGGGAAGGGATACAAGCGCGCCATTGCCATTGGTGCCATCATTAACTTTGGAACTGCCGGTGCTTTTGTGAGCTCCAATGTCTTTCTCTTCAAGGAGGCGCCCAAGTTCCATACTGGATTTAGCACTGGCTTGGGTCTCGCCTGCATGGGAGCTACCGCCGCTACCATTACGTATCTCGGATGCATGTACGAAAACAAGAAGAGGGACCAAAGGAGAGCGCAATTGCCCGCAGTGCTAGATGAGACTATCGCGGATCTAGGCGATGCTCACCCAGACTTTAGGTTTGCCTTGTAGAGGCAATGTTTGGGCGGCCACCGTGCGATTATTTTAGAGGGCTGGAGCGAATAGCCTCGGGGATGGAGACGAATACAACTGTCGCTTCAGGATATTAATATTACATCGAATGTTCCTCAGTGGAGCAAATGTGCGTTTACTCTTCACCTGTGTTTCAAGACTGGCGTGGCTTCTTTCTGTATCCTATCCTAGACTCGCTTGCAATCCTTAATTGCCCGAACGTGTCATAAACTAAGCGTATTGGCCTTAGTGGGGCTTAAAGGGATCCTGAGGATCTATTCCTTGCATTGGCCTCCTTGCTTCGGCTAATCTAGTTCATACCTTTTAATAATTTTTATGCGTAAGCATGGCCTAAAACATGATCGAAGAGCTGGGGTGAACAAACTAAAAACGCATGAGAAAACCCTGAGGCTCCTATTAGTTTTACTGGAGCTGAGAGAATACCTCTACATGATCTGCCGAGTGAGTATTTGACATGATTGAAAGGCACCCTATGATTAACTCAAAAATCGGGCCGGTACTTGCATTTTAGGCCCTCAATTGGTCAAGTTAAAAAGGCACACTTGGCAGATCTTTCGGGAATTCACCTTGATGAAGCGTTCACTTGGAGGGAGGAGCGCCGCAGCGCCGCAGCGCCGCTCCCGAGCCGTCGGGTCGGGTCAGATGATTGAATTGGAAAGCCTGGAGAATGGTAGGCGCCCGGTTTTTGGAGAGTCGACCACTCGGGATATCCTCATCCCTCGACTTTTCGCACTTGTTCACTCTCGGTTCTATTCATGTCTTTTCCACCCCGCATATTCGGCCCCCACGACGGGTCCTGAACCTCGAAGTCGATATCACATCTGCTGTATAATTTTTTTTCTCTTCCTATTTCCCTGTCGTATTATGTACGAGCCCAGAAGTTCGGCCGAGCGCGCCGTTACCGAAAGTTACGTTTGCATGCTGCCTTTTTGTTGGGAGCCTAGTTAAGTTCTTACTCGGTCTCCTAAATCGTGGGAGAAACCGCCCTGCCACTCAATAGTGCCAAATTCTACCTCGTTTACCGAGACACGGAGCCATCAGGAGATACTCACACGCTTCACAAAGCTTCGGCATGTGAAGGAGCTATGGAAGGCGAAATCTGACACAAGTCATCCTCAACTTATCAGACCATTAATCGATTCATGATGAGGTTAACAGTAAAGTTTCATTTATATTCTAGGGACCCATTCTTCTTGTTGCGCTAGCCTCTTCTTCGTCATACCTTGATTTATTTTGCTTCCTGTTCCTGAAATGGACCAAAAATGCGCGCAAGGGTACGGCAAGCGGCAACAAGGCAATACGAAAGCTCGCAACGGTGCGGATTGGCAACATACGCGGATTACGTCGATCACCTAAAAAGTCATCCGAATTCGCCCTATGATGTCTACAAGCCATTCTTGGGAGATTTGGAATGGGGAGCTTTCTGTTTCCGTTCCTCTCTTACTTTATTCGGCTACCCTCTGGATCCTCCGCCTTTCCCCTCACAAGATATCTATCCTCCGCTTTGTGGGGAAGGAATTAACAACCCTTCCAACGGGCCGTACTATAGTCCGTATAAAGTGAATCGTAACGGTCACGTGTTCAGTACGAACGTACCGAGTTCGTGAGCCGCACTGTATGTTTAATAATACCCTAGGTATAATACATAGTACAGATGATATTACCCTTTTAGGAAGTTTGTATAGGGATTCTAGAGGAGTAGGAGGGCTAGTAAGAAGTAGGCCTACAGGGAGCGTTTAGAGGGGTTTCTAAGGTTCTAATTAACTAAAAGTTTTAAGTTGTGAGAGCACTGTGAAGCAGGAAGCGTGAAGCGCAGAAGGGGGTACAGGATAGTATTGATAGACGAATCCTTGAGGAGACTCAGGGGTTCGTAAGAGGATATATATATATGTGCTGGGGCACGTGACGGGACGTCATGTGCCCAAGGCTGGGCCGAGGGCTCTCCGGGGAGAGTCCGAGGCATGTCCAAGTTGACCGTGACATGGCCCCCCTCCTTCTGCAGGTCGTCCTCGATCCTGC